CTTTCTGCATTCCGCGTACTCTGGCTTTTTACATGTGGTCTTGTGCCCAGCCTGGTGCCCCCCCTGGGAGCGCTGTCCAAGACACGCTGTTTCGCCCGCTGACGGCTGACCAGCGGGCTTTCAAGGCGGAAGCGCTGCAGAGCGCCACTCTTGCCGCGCGGTTACGGCTACACCTGCGGGCTGCTCAGTTGTACGACGGGGAAACTGTGCACAGTTTCCGCCGTGGTGCCCTGCAGGCCGCTGCGTCGGCCGGTGCGGGTGTTCCCGCCCTGATGGAGTTCAGTCAGCTTCGGACTCCGGCGGTGCTGGAGCGATACCTTGATCCTCATCGTCACGACCGCAATGTGCGGCCCCGCAACTGAGTGCCTGCTTCTCGCCTTAGCGGGTCTTGCGATTGCTAGGACGATTTACTTTAGATGCCGGGGTCTCAGGGCGTTACCTCTAGGGGGGTTGGTTGTGTGGTCTTGTCGCTCGCCCCACCCCAAACTACACCAGGGGGGGGAAAGGGAGGGGTGTAGTTTGGCTGGCTCTTGGTTGTCTCTACTCGCTACCTTAGCGAAGAGACGTTAAAATGATATTGAGAGAGAGGGACTGAATTGCGCAGATGCTCGGTATGTTGGAGTTCACTTGCTGTCGTACCACCGTTGTTGCGAGCATTTAAGTCTGCATTTAAGTGCTTGAATGTAAATGCTCGTCGCTCCGTACCGGACTAGCGTGAAGTGGGCCTTTGCTGCCCGATCCCAATGTTTAATCAGGCCACACCACATCCCAGCCACACCGCCTTGCGGCTCGCCTGCCAGTCTCAGTCTAGCCACGTCTCTGGCTTCTTTGGGTCCTCGCTTTCTATCAGCTCCGTCGTACTCTCGGCCTAGTCGGGCCTTGCCCTTACCACAGAATGTACACTACTTCGACCGCATAACTCGGGGGTAATTAGGAGTGGTCCAACCCTTTTGAGATTACAGGATGGCTGACAGGTACCCACCCCCTGGATTAGAGGATTAGGACCCCCTTGCAGCCTTCAGGCTTAGTTAGGCGAGTATCGCAAGCCGTCTGGTGGTAGGTGCGGGGACTCCCCGCTTGGTTATTGGGATTTCGCGGTAGCTGGCTTCCACCCGGCCGACCTACAGAATGAAGACTTAGTTTAGTTGATTGCAGGTACCCTCTATAACGTATGATGAATTCCCATGAAAAGGACACGAGGACGGAGTTTTGCTTTGCCTCTTTAACGAGACGAGGAGTTGTTGAATATCAACAACAGAACGTGTAGCTGCGATTTGACTTGTTAAAGGGTCAAGCGCCAAATCCTCACGTTATCATCGTATACCACAAGTTCATAGCAATCCGCGGCCGAGCGGCACGTAATAAGCACACAACGTTTGTAATCAGACCATGCGACTGTCGCATGAGAGGCGTACAAGGCGCTAGCCACTACGAACGCGATATCTGGAGTGTAGCTGGCCAAACTTTCGGTTGCAACACTATGTGGCAGCACCTTTCGGTTGGGAAACCTGTCGGGCCGGTTTTACCCAATTGTCATCCTAGCACCTAGAGTTTACTTCCACTCTCGTAACTTGATGCTGTCAGCACACATGTAGCCGAAGTGTTATAAGCTTCAAATAAAGCATTTCACACTTGCCACCGCAGCTATTCGCCTTGGCATAAGGTACGCACTTGGATGACACGCCTTTGATTGTAGTAGTGTTCAGAAGGATCAGGCGGCACCGGCAACTAGGGGCAACTGTTGACAATGATCCTATGCATTAAAGAATAAGTCTGCTGCGCCACGCCAAGCATTTTTCACAGGCCAGATGCCCCCCTACTATTTAGACCCACATCAAAAGAGCTCTAACATATTCGCAATATCGCATCTTGCGGAGAGGAGCCAGGAAACCTCTTGAAATGCTGTGGTTACTGCATTTCAAGAGGAAATGCAGTAACCACAGCTGTAACACAGCGCATCAAGGATATAAGGAAGAGAATGCACAATTGCACTATCGGTACGTTTATCATAAACAATGCCGCACCCATGCAGCTATATATGCAGACGTCCGCAGGCAGACGCCCGCAAACAGGGCACCCCGCATGGACGAAAACGTGCTTCTTCCCCCAGCTTTCCGATGTCGTCCCACAAATGCAACCTATATACGCCTATATAGGTTCTCATTAGCGTGCGGCTCTTTGTCGCCATTGTGTTGGTGCCAAAGTTGCCTACCTAACTGCAGTTCCAACCGAGTAAACTTGGGAAAGTGACGGATACACACATGGCTTTATTTCATTTAAAGCGCTGTTTCTTACCGTAAACGCTGTGATACATGTATAGCAGTGGTAAGGCAGGCTGTATATGCCAGAGAGCGCCGTACTTTTTGGATCAACAGTCGGCAAACTCCAAACAGGAAATCACCCTGTTGCACCTTGCTGCATAGTGTTGGTGTTTCCCTAATATAGTTTTTGCGTCTCAATCAGTGACCAGTTTTTAAGTTCCAACAATTGGCTGCAAACGCATTAAGAACACAACACACAAAAGCGTAGCCATGCAGACATATGGCTTGCATCTAAATGCAACGCATGCTGCCAAAATGCCGAGAGGCATGCCGGCCGGGCAAGCAAACTTTGCTCGCCGGGTAGAGCCATCAGCAGTGCATTGCTGCAACGCTCGTCTAGCAGCAAGCTGTGGGACATCTACCTCAGACAGTACAATGAATTTACCCCTCGGCAACGCTCTCGTTTACCTTGTGGATGGAGCGCGGCGCGCAGTCATGCTGAAAGCACGGAAAGCTCATCGTGTTATGCGGCGGGAGCTTGAGAAGTACGTTTAATTGACAGCGTTAATGTTAGATCTTCAATGGCGTAGAGGGAGCGCATGTCGGGTAACGCCTTGTAACGCCATCACCTTGCAGCGCCAAGTTGGTTGCGGGGCCCCAGCCTGGGCTGGCGATGCTAGCTGCGGTAGCTATACCACCGATTCCAGGCAACGGCGTGACTGACCTATTAACCAACCGCGTCTTCCTGGTTGGCTTTTGGTCCTGGTTCACTGCGCAATTCCTGAAGGTGCGCATCCCCTCCGACGAACCGAGAGCCTCGTGGGGCTCCCCCGTGCCGAAGCACGCAAGCTGCAGCTACGTTGGAGGAACACGACTCCCCTGACGATGCGCCGTGTACTGCATGCTGCAGATCTTTACTAAGCGCTTCAAGAAGGGCATCTGGGACGCGGGTGCCATGCTCGAGTCCGGCGGCATGCCCTCCTCGCATTCATCACTTTGTGCGGTGCGAAGGATTGGGATTACACCGCTCGTTCAATCGGTCTTCTTTGCGGCTCACCGAGCCAGCCTCCGGGGAGTGCCGAGTGCGTGTGCAGTATGGCGAACCAAGGGATTTATGGCGATCCTCTGTCGGTGTATTCCATCGCCCCCGCTCTAGCTCTTTCTGCCGGGTCTCCCGCCTCCCTCCCACTCCATGAACATAAGCCCCACAGGACGACATTGGTATGGCAAATGGTTCCCATGCACGTTGTTGTGACTTCTGTCTGTTTCAATCCTGTAGGGTATTACGACGGCCATCGCCATCCAGCAAGGCTTTGGGAGCCCACTCTTCGCGGCGTGCCTGTGCTTCAGCGTTATCGTTATGTACGACGCAATGGGCGTACGGCGGCATGCAGGTATTCAACTGCATGTTTGCCTTTTCATAGGGACACACGAAAGACTAAGAAGAACCTCTGATCCACTATATGGATGCGGCGGTGCGGCATTACTCAACAGCACTCGCAGCGCACCGGTCGACGTCTTTGCAAATTGAGATATTAATCACGGTGAATAGGCGGTCTTTACTTGACATCACCTTGCAGCCAGAACAGCGCAGCCCCGCAAACCTCTGTCTGCTCCTATGGCCCCGCAAACGTTACTTGCCTAGTCGGTCTCAACGACCCGCGGGCCCCGTCTCAAACATGCAGCAATCCGTATCCACGGAAAGAAATTGGATCCCCCTGCTGGTTGCATGGTCCTTACCTTGTACCCCCTGACCGGTCGTGCAATCCGACCTGTGGCCACCCGTTACCCTTCCCCGTTCTTACCTCCCGGCCCCCTCCCGCCGTACTCCTCGTTTCTTCGACTGACGGGCTACACGACGGCACCCCGCCACGACCCCTCTCAGGTAAGCAGGCGGAGGTCCTGAACAAGGTGATTGATGAGCTGCTGGACGACGACCACCCGATGGGGGAGGTGAAGCTCAAGGAGGTGCTGGGGCACACGCCGCGACAGGTGCGGAGTGTGCTCCGGAGCTGGGCAGTATAGGGGCTGGGCTGGGCAGTATCACTGGTGCTGGTGCTGGTGCTGCCCTTGAGAGGCGAGGGACGCCGCCTCGGGGAGGGGGTTGCAGGGAGCGGCGGTGAGGCGGGAGGCTGGGGTTGGCAGCGACAGAGGATATGGGTGGTGCCACCATCAGGGGGTTCTGCGCAGGCGGGGGGGATTATGCCGCTGATGCGTTGGGTTCTCAGCACCAGGTCTGGATGCATTGTACCCCGGGAGGGCCCTATGGGGAAAGGCCTTATGGGCGGTGTGCAGAGAGCGGACGCGCCTGGAAAATGCAGGGGTTGGGTTTTAAGCGGTTGCGGTTTCCTTCCTTCCCAGAGATTGGGGTCATGGGGGCCGGGTGGGCCCCGGAGGCCCCGGAGGCCCTGGCCCTGGCTCAAGGGTGGCGCGCTGCACGACCCTTGAGCTTGGACCAGCCGGACTGCAGTGCCCGCCCGCCCGTAACCTAATGCATGGCGGTGTGGTCCCCAGGGATGTACAGCCGCACCAATAGGTCGCTCATGACGGCAGGGGGCAGAATGGGTTGGGTTGGGTCGGGTTGCGACTAGGGCAGTCTTGCAGACTAGGGCACCTTGACCGGATATGCTGGACCTTGCAATACCTGCTGTGCCGCCGTCGTGCCCATCCCACCCGCGACCATACCTACCCACGTATCTACGTGCCTGCCTGCCTGACTGCCCCTCCTTCCCGTGTTTGCCCGTCTCTCCCCCCCCACCCCCACCTCCACCTCCACCCCCACCACCCTACGCAACGTCTGACCGCACCAATAGGTCATCTGCGGGGGTCTGCTTGGACTCGCGGTTGGGTTGTTCTTCCCAGCTTGCTGACCTTCGGGAGCGCAGCCAGCAGATGGCGGAAGTTTCCCTGGCAGCTTGGTGGTGGACATGAAATAGAGAGGAGTGGAGAGGAGTGGAGAAGATAGCGGTCAGGGCCCAGGGGGTAGCAGGAGGGTGGGTCACAGCGGGGTTCATTAACGGGCCGTGGCACCAGCGCTTTTTAGCGGCTTGAGGTGCCGCTGGTGCCACGGCGCTTTATCTCGCTTTAAAACCTAACTGTGTGTTTCGAATGACCACCGGGCGCCCTTGACGGTCGTGTTTAGATGTGTGTGTGTGTGTGTGTGTGTGTGTGTGTGTTTTAAATAGCGGGGGCGCAAGGGAGGGTCGGGAAGGAGCGCCCGCCTGTGAGTGAAGGGGGCGCTTCGAGGGGGCAGTGGCGCAGAGCTCTGGTTCGGTATGGTGTTTTGAAGGGGGGGGAGAGGGTGGCAACGGGAGTCGCGTTGAGGGCCCTTTGTGGTGGGGCGAGTGGCGCCGGCGGCGCGTTGAGCGGCGGGGTGTCTGTTCCTGCGCGCATGTGAAGCATAACGACGACATGGAGAGACATGCGAAAGGGGTAGCGGGAGGTTATTCGCTTAGAGTGATGGAGCGGCGGTACTGGCCGGTACAGCAAGGAGGAGGGGCTTTTCGTGTGGTTGTGCGCGGCTGGCTCATTTAAGGGGTATAATAGGGTTGTAACAGCCACCCGTTTTTGCGCGTTGCGATGTACGGACCTCTTAGGACAGCATGTGGGGTTGTCTGTTTGCGTTACGACGTGACACCGTGTTTGTTGTGGCTCGTGCGGTGCGGTGGGAAGAGAGTGAGCTGATGAGCAGATATCCTGAAGATTCGAGTTTTGGTTGTATGTTTGTATTGCCTGTTCGCAATAGGCCACACCGCGAGAGCAGCGCGGCAGTAGGAGGAAATCGAAGTTATCCGCGTCTCGGCCTTTGCGAGGGCCATGGGGGCCAATGGAGTAGATTTTGCCCTAGCACTGCTGCTCAGCTTGCAAGCGAAGAGGCAAGGGATGGAAAAAAGCTGCTGTCTGCGGTTGTGAAGAAAAATGTGGTTATTATCGTTTGTGTTTCGAAAGATTTTACCTTGTGTAAACTACGTGCACGCGGACCGGACCGCCGCCTTTGCCGCTCCCTTCCGTCCCGCCTGGCTTGGTTGGCGGTTAGCACCTCTGCGGGGTTGCTGGTGCGCCTGGGGGCCCCAGGTCACCCGCATCCGGACCGGGCTGTCCTGCCGTGCTTTGCTGGCCGGGTGTCTGTACTGGAGCGTGAACCTGTGCGTTTACAGATTGGTCCGTACTGGCGGCCGTACGAGGGCAAACAAAACAACCCTGCAATCCTGTTTTTGCCCTCGTACGGCACCAGCGCGGACCAGTCTATATTGTAGGGTTGTTTTGTTCTGCTGCAGTTGATGCTTCCTGCAAGCACTAGTTCATGGCAGGGCAGCGCATAAAGGCAAGCGCCATGACGAGGAAGGCAGGTAGTAAACGCACGCATCTGGGGTGCTTGTAAAGGGCTCGAAAGAGGAGATGTGCCTCGTGGGGAGATGCGACGGCGACGGAAATGTGAAGGGTGGAACAGCTAAAGTGCTGGCCGAGGCGCGAGGCTCCCTTCCTCCCTACCCCTGCCGTGCGATTCGGCTGTGCGGGCTGTGCTCTAGTGTGAAGGCTGGCTGCTGTTGCTGTTACTGCCGCTTGCACTGTGGGGCGGCACTCAGTTGCTTTTGGTCCCCGTGATGGAGCTCCCTCGGAGGGACCGCCGGGTGAAGACCCTGGCGGCCGATCTGGATCGGCTCTGGGGCAGAGTGGCTCGGTTGTATGGGGGAGGGATTCCACGATTTGGCTTGCATAGGTTACGGATGGGTTTGGTTGCCTGGTGCACGTTACATTCGGCGAATGGACTCGGCTCGGGTGTTGTAAATTTGTACACTACCACGACGGCGTTGTGGATTTCTGGGGCCGTGTTGCGGGTGCATATTGTGCATGAATCGGTCACACGGCGTCGTGAACCACGTGTCTGGCGTGGGCAGGGCTTCCCAGGCTGAGGGTTTGAGCAGTATAGGACGTTGTTTGGATAGGGCAGTGGAGGCGCCATTTGAAGGACCCAGGGGCGGTGTGTTAATACGGAACAGGATTACTGCCGGACAGAGGACATGATAGGCTCCTTTCTGAGGTGGCGGTCCTCTGTGCGGAGCTGTGTGTGTTTCGTACCGTTCCACAGGAGGGCAGCTTACGGCAGCTGCAGCATCACCGAATTGAGCTTTTAGGCCGCTGGGGGGTCGGCTCCTACACAGAGAAAATAGCAGAAATGCCGTGAAGGGCCTGAAGAAAACCGCTCGCCACACCACACCTCACCGGCCACACTCCTATCCTCTTCGCCCCTTAATCCCATCCCTCCTCCGTAACCCCAGCGGCCACATCCATGCCCACATCCATGTCGAGCGCATACACGCAATCATCGCGGCAACCGGTGTACAGGGACAGCGTAGCCGCTGCCGTTGCTGCCGGCACCCCCCCGGCTCCGCTGCCGCCACCAGCACCACCATAGTCCCCCAGGCCAGACTCATTCAAACTCCCCTCACTGCCCCCCGGTCCAGGCACACACACTGCGTGCTCCCTTTCCCTTCCCCTGCCCCTGCCCCTGTCCCGGCCGGCGCCTCGGTCCCCACACCACCTCATCTGTGAACTGGGTGGTAGATGCCCCACCCGCACCGCGTCTGAAAGTGCGTCGCGATCCACATCCCCAGGGCCATGCAGAGTTACGGCGAGCTCAGCGGCTAGTCGGGGCGTCGTGGAGGGCGGTGGTCGCGGCGGGGGGGGGCTCGGGGGATGGCGCCTGGTGGCGCTCCCGGGCTGTTTCTAAGGGAGCTGTCGGTGGAGGTGTCGGAGGCGGCGGTGGCGACAGCCGCCACAGCAGCAGCGGCGAGGAGAAGACCTCCCCTGCAGTCACCACGGCAGCATATTCGTGAGGGACCCGCGAAAGGCGGTCCTCCGTGACGGTGTTTGCGTCACGCCGTATTGTGCATCCCCCCGCCCCCCCAGCCGCACCCCGCATGCGTGCGCACGTACACAGTGCCAATGGACACGCGCACCACACCACATCCCACAGCTCCCCACCCCACCACCCCAGGATCCCGTCACCTCTAGGTGGGCTGGGTAGCTGGCAGTGGGACGTAGCATGTGAACATGTTGAGGGATGGGACACGTCACGAGCCCCACCACCTACGCACCAGGGAACTGGCTCGCGCCCACGACCGCGGCCCCCACGGCGGCCAGCTCCAGCTGCGGCTGCGGATCCTCGTCACGGTGCTGCGGCGCCGCCACGAAGTTGTCGACCGCTCCACCTTCTACATGCCGCTTAAGGACCACCCCCGACTGCAAACCCTCCAATGAGCCCTTTGGCGGTCCGTTACCAGTGGCAAGCGCGGAGCCAAAGCCACTCCGCAATTCCACTTCCGCTGCCGCGGCTGCTGCCGGTTCCGACGCAACCTGGCCCCGACTCGGTCGCGTGTCGCATCTGGCTCCGAAACCTACGCCTGCGCTCAGGCACGTCATGCGCACTAGCAGTAGCGCACCGTTGCTAGCACACACAGCCGCCACCGCGCTAGCGCCGTCGGCAACCTCCGGACGGCGGCGCCGGGCAAATGACATCACCGAGTCCAAACCCGCGCTGGCGGCGGCACAACGGCCAGTCCAGGCCGGGCTCAAGGCCAGCGCCGGCGCGGCGGAGATCGGCCCACAGGCTAGGTCCACGAGCCATAAGGTAGTGCCGTACACTGAATCCATGCCGTACAGCAAGCCCGCATGCGTGGCGGCGAGGATGAATCCTTCCCCGCCAGGCGGCACAGTGCCAGGCGGTGCGGTGGCGGGGTCGCCAAATGCTGATGGAGTCGGTACGTCTGCAGCAGCAGCAGCAGCAGCAGCCGATATGTCGCCGTTGCTGCAGCGACGACGACGCGGCGGCGGCAGGTAGGCCAGATCAGCGAACAGGTTACCTCGGAGCCGAGATGTCCAGCGCACCATCGGCGGCGCCATACTTGCATCAAGCTGCCGGCGGGGGGGACGAAATGAGGATGGCACAGTTTGAATCAGAGGGAGGACGGGAGGGAAGGAGGGAGGGAGGGAAGGAGGGAGGGAGGGAAAGTAGGAAGGGAGGGAGGGAAAGTAGGAAGAAGCCGAATCTGCAGGTCGAGCATCGCAAGGAAGAATGGGGAATGGAAGGAGGAGACGATCATCATCCCGCTCTGAACAACCAGTGCCGCAATGGGGGACGTCATGGTGCGCTGCTGTTGGGCACACCTGTGGGTATCACCTGCGGGTCTTCGGGAAGACAAGAGGTCATACACCTCGCAGTGCGGCCCCTCCCGATGTGTTTCCTTTCAACAACACATCGCAGCAACACGTACATGTACGGCGCAGAACCTCCGCGCGGCGAAGAGCACAGCCAACCCAACTAGGGAACAACTCCCATCCACGGAAGCGGTATTCTTCGCCGTCGTCCTTCAACAGACCACATGCCGCCCATCCGGACGTATCACACAATCGCCGCAGTAGCAGCGCCGTACCGAGTGATGCTGGTGAGCCGCTGCCAGCTGCACGGCCCGCACAGAGCCGTCCACATGCCCCACGATGATGACCACGGCAGCGGCTGTAGCACCGGCAGCGGCAGCGGCTGTAGCACCCTCTCCCCCAGGCTGCCGATCATGGCTGCCCCGGGCTGTGGGCTGATGGCCCCGGAGGGACGGCGGTAGAACCAGCGGGGCGCTGAACACAGGCGCCGGGCCCCCAAGTACCCATAGCCGAGTCAGCCGCAGCTGTAGCAGCCACCAGGTTGCCCGACCGGGGCCCCTGCTACTGCCGCAGCCTGATCGCCTGGTGGCGCCGAAACCGCCAGCGCCGCTGTCGCAGGTCCGTTGGTCACCGGGTGGTGGTAAGTCGATCGTCGCAACCTCAGCAGCAATGGGGGCGGTCGCAGCTGCCCCCTCAATAATCTCGACGCGGATGCCATAAACACTGCCATCCAGCGCCGCCACCAGCGCCAAACGGACGGGGTCGTCCACTGCCGCCACCTCCTCCCTGGGCTGTAGCTGCTCCCTCAACTGCTCCTCCTGCCGCTGCTGCTGCTCCTGACCCCGCTCCGGAGCCTGATGCTGCTCACGTTGCGCACGGCACGCCTCACTGTCGTCCGCCGCACCGCTGCACCGCCGGTACGATGGCGGCCCGGGTGAGCTGGCCGCCGTTGCGCAGCGCGGGGTGGCGGGAGGTCGCGGAGTGGAGGTGAAGGTAACTGGCACGGACATTGGTGCACCTATGTGAAGCCTTTCGATGTGGGGGCCGCTCCGGGGCAGGTACGTGTGGGCGGCAGGGGGCACAGCAGGGCCAGACAGAGGCGTTGCGGGGTGAGCGTGGAGGGCCGGACACACGCCGGGGTGCGGGTGCGGGTGCGGGTGCGGGTGCGGGTGCGGGTGCGGGTGCGGGTGCGGGTGCGGGTGCGGGTGCGGGTGCGGGTGCGGGTGCGGGTGCGGGTGCGGGTGCGGGTGCGGGTGCGGGTGGTCCTCGAGGAGATAGAGAGCGGGGGAATACGGGGGAGGGGACGTTGCAGCCATTTACGTCCCCAACAACATCACGAGGTAGACAGGTGCTGCTGCGTGATGGCGTGATCTCGCTGGCCTTACCGGCCACCCAATGCGACCCCCCGGCGCCAGTCCCCCGCTCCCCTGGAGTTCGGGTTACCCCTGTGAGTTCAGCTGAGCTACGGCCCGGTCCCACTCGCCTACACACACACGTACATACACATACACATACACACACGTACACACACATACACACACACGTACACGCCCAGCCCCGTGGGCCCCATTCCGTATTGCGACAGGACGTGCAGGACCCACCTGGCGAGGACCTCATTCGGGGGGCCCATAACGCTCAGTTGGCGGCTGTGCCCAGTGGCCCACACCGCTCCGACCCACGGGTCGCACACCGGCGGGCTCTTAAACTCTCCGCCGCAATCCACCGCGCCCTTCACAGATCCGTCCGCGAGATCCAGACTGTACAGCACACCGTCACCACAGGCCACCAGGACGTACGGCATGATGTCCGGATGGTGAGAATGATGGTGTTGTGACGGTGGCGGTGGCGGCGGCGGCGGCGGCTTGCTGGTGGAGGCGGTGCCGACTCCGGGAGGGGGAATGCTGCTGGTGGGGTTGGTGGGGATGGTGGTGGTGCTCGGTCCCCGGGAAGGTGCGCTGACCTGGGGGTGGCGAAGACTAGGAGTTGCCCCAAAACGTGAATGTACGGCACCAACCCGTGCAGTATCAGCGCTGTCGCGGCCTCCGTTGCATCCGAGAGCTGTAGCTGCAGCAGTTGCATCGGCGGTAGATGCCGCAGCGGCGGCGGCGGCGCTGATGGTCAAATCGTTACCGCCGCCGCCGCCGCCACCAGCAACGGGTTCCGCAGCAGTTGGACAATTACTTACTTTGGCAGACGTCGCCGCCGCTGCTGTACCACAGCCGCCGCCGCCGCCACCGCTGACACTGCTGCGCCCTGTGGGGCCCCATGCAATCGCCATGCCGGCCTCGGCCCGGGCCGGCAGACGCACGTGCCAGTACGGCACCCCGGTAGCCTCGTCCAGACACGCCACGTCCCCGTCATGCGAGCAGGCCAGCAGCACGGTCAGGCGGGAGGGGCGGAATGCCGCTCCCTGGGCCGTTAGGGTTGCGGGGGGGTGCGCCGGGGCAGCATGCTGGGGCCGCTGCTGGGGCTGCGCTCGCTGATGACCATGGTGATGGCCACCAGGCCCAGCCCATCCGCCGGCGAAATCCACCTGGCCAAGATCCAGATCCGCTCGTCGTGATCCCGGATCTCGTAGATCCAGGTTGACGAGCAGGACGGGCGCGTCCACGCAGCGGCCCAAGCGGTAGCGCCATCGCGCACGGACTTGGGCTGCCTCCGCCGTCGCTGCAGCAGCAGCAGCAGCAGCAGCAGCAACGGCAGCACCAGTAGCAGTAGCATTACCCGCAGAGCCTGCACTCCCAGGAACAAGCCCTGGAGAAGATGTATCGTGTCCCTGCGCGCTCGCGCCGCGGCCGCCGGCACCTTGGTCACCTCCGTCGTCGCCGTTGTCGCCCCCGGCAGGGACGTGGCGGAGGACATGGGTGGACCCCGCACAACTTCCACCTGAGCTCCAGTCGGCCGTACCGCCACGCCGCCACGTCAGCTGGCGGCAGGTGAGAACAGCCTCGCGGAGCGCCCGGATGGCGGCAGCGGCGGCGGCGGCGGCGGCGCCGCCGCCAGGCGCATCCAGTCCGCTGTCGACGCTGCTGCTGCTGTCAGCGTCTGCCGCGTTATTCTCAGAGACATCAGCGCCGCCAGCAACAGCAGCAGGAGCAGCAATGGTGGCGGCGGCGGCGGCCGTTGTCTTCTTGACTAGGCGCATGGGAAACGGTGGCTCCGTTGCAACTGCGGGTCCGGCAACGGCGGCAGGTGGTACGAGCGGGGCGTGCAGCGGCTGCGGTCGGAGCCCGCCCAGGCGGCGTCGCTTCAGCGGCAGGCCTGTAGGTTCTTCGTCGCCTCCGCCGCCATCATCACCCTGCAGTACACGCCTCCTCACGCCGCCATCCCGTTGCCATTCTCCCCCACGTCGCGTCATCTCGTCATCCTCCCAGTCCCCCTCACGCTCCCGTTCGTGATTCTCAACGATGGCGACTGCTCCGCCGCCGCTGCTGTGGGCGCCTCCGGCGCCGCCACTGCTGCTGCGCAGCGCCGCCGCCAATGCCCGCGGCGTTGGATACGACAACACCAGCCGTACATCCGTACCCAGCAGAGCCGCTACCTGTACGGCATCAAGGGAGGACGCTCCCGCCGCGAAGATGTCCGTGGTGGCTTCCAGCCCCGTTAGCCCGGTGACCGCCACTACGGCTCGCATCACTGTCCCCTCACCGGCGGGACGAGGAGGGGGCCCCCCCCCGGCGGAGCCTGGGTCTGCGGAGCCTCCCTGTAGCGACTGACCGCCCGGCTGAGTGCGGGACTCAGAGATTGGGAGCTTCAGCGGCATGTGCGCCGGCGGCTGCGGCTGCGGCGGCTGTCGATGCGGCTCCTTGTGTGATTGTGCTGGCGCCAGCCGCGGCGGCGGTGGCAGCTGACGGCGCATGATCTTGCCGGCCGGGTTCCTCGGCAGCTTCTTCGACAGGACCAGGAAGCGCAGCCGCAGTCCGCTCCGCAGCGCCAGACGCCCCGCTAGCCAGGTGCGCAGGGCGGCCGCGACTGGTTCCGGAGCGACTGCTGGGATGTCGGAATGCTCCCCGCTGACCCCGCCGCGTCCTGCACCCCCCAATTCCGCTTCATCTGCCCACGTCGCCGACTCGCCCTCCTCCGCCAGCACCAAGTACGCCAGCAGCTCCGGAGGCGAACCCGATTTCCTCCGCGGGAGCCCAGACAGACCCTCGAGCGGCGGCAGCTCCTCCCCCTCCGCCTCCCCAACCTCTGCAGCCGCCATGTTGCCGTCACCGCCGTTGGGGGCCGCGGCCGCGTGCCCTTCATGACCTTGGTCCTGATCCCCACCCACCTCTGTGTCCTCCTCCACCCCTCCTCGCGGTCCCTCTCCGGCCCCACCAGCGGCCGCGGTGGTCAAAGGCGCCTTCGCAGCCGGGGCGGCAGCTGCGGCTACCGGGTTCCGTGCCCCCGCCAGCTGACCAAGTCGCCCGAGTGGGGCCCGCCGCTGCTGCTGCTGCTGCTGCTGGCAGAGGCGGAGGCTGCCAATATGGCGGGGCTCGGAGCCAGTCACTGCTGACTTCGCCGCCTCCGCGAGCACCTCGGCCGTCACCTTCACAGACGTCGCCGTCACCACCGCCGCCTCCCGCACGGCAGGGTGCGCAGCCAGCAGCGCCTCCACCTCCCCAAGATCCAGTCGTACACCGCCCACCTTGACCTGACGGTCCACTCGACCCAGGAGATGTAGACAGCCTGCCTCCGCCACCACATAACACGGCGGTAGACAGCAAGACAGAGCGCGGCAGCACCACTCAGCCGCCAGCCGCAGGAACGGCACAGGCACAGGAACACGTGTAGAAGGAAGGGCCGTTACGGCGGAGGGAGGGGGGATATTCGGTGCAGACGCCTCCCCAGTCGCGGCCCCCAGGATATCTAACAGCAGCTTGCGAACGCCCAAACCGGTCGAGATGGCCTCCGGGGGAACTTTTGCTTCGGTACCAGAGCTCAAGCTCTTTCCCTTCCCTCCAGCTGCATCACAGCCGTCACAGGGCGCCCTCAGCCACCAGAGCCATAACATCAGCAGGTAGTGCAGCGCGGGAAACATGCAAACCTGGCGGGTAAGGCGACACACAAGGGGCTCTCTAGTGCGAGGTAGGTAGGCCCTAGCCACCCACCGGACGGCGTGAGGCGGCCCAGGTCTCCGGTACGGAAGTACGTCGCCTCCAGGACGGGGTACCGACCCGCCGCCGTCGCCACGCGCTGCGCCTGATCAGCCGTCAGCCGTACACGCAGGAAGCGATCCCGAGCGGCGGCGGCGGCGGGGGCGGTACCAGCCCCACGAGTTACCCCGGCCGTTGTCCCCTCCCACTCGGCGGGGCCCCCTCGCGGTGTGTCCTCTTTAGGAACCGGCCTTTCCGCTGCAGACCCTCTGAGTCCGGAGGCGGAGGGAGTTGGGATGGCGGTTAATTCGGTTGAGACTCGGCGGGCTCCTGGACACCTCCTGACTGGTTGACGTTGCGTGGGCTGAGCTGGCTGCGGTGATGACGATGGTGGTGGTGGTGGTGGTGGTGGTGCAGGAGGCATGTAGTAGCCGGCAGAGTGACAGCTGCCCGCCACCCACACCTCGCCTGCCGAGCCTAGCGACAGCGGCATGACGGGATCAGGATCAGGAGCGGCAGCTGCTGCGGTGTCGCTAGTGTCGGCTGGTGCAGGTCGGGGCGAACCGCCACGGCCACCACAGGGCCGCATCAGCGCAGCCGTCGTGCCGCTGCCGCTGCCGCTGCTGCCGCGGCGAGCGCTTGGGTCACAGTCGGGACCGTCGTCGTTGTCCGAATCGTACGGCAGCGGCGCAATCAGGATTTGCGTGTCACCGATGGGCCAGCCTGCGGGCACCCAACTCGCGGAGGCGGCCGTGGCGGCCTCTAAAGACACGTCACCGCCGCCGCCGCCGCCACGCTCTACCTCAAACCAGGTACAGTCCGCGGTCAGCTCCGTACAACCTGCTCCAAACCAATCGCGTTTCTGTCGAGTCCTGCGATTTCCTCAATATGGGGTAAACCCTCCAGGGCGGCACTTACACACCGATCTGGCCACACCGAACGACATACAAGAGGACAACAGCCGCCGCAGTAGCGGAGCAGAGGTCAAAGGTCCTGCACACTAAACAGGCGAAAGACGCAGGAACAGTAGCAGCAGCAGCCACCGTGCCATGGCGTACGGCTTACCGTACAGGTTGAGCAGCCGTACGCTTTGCGGCAGTGCCTCCGCCAGCTCCGCCGCCAGGTCACCCGCGAGGGGCTCTCCGCTGCTGACCAGCAATCTCAGACGGCCCAGGCGGTGCTGCCAGGTGCGGAGGGCCGGCAGCATGTGGCGCAGCAGCGAGGGGACAGACACCTGGGGCGGGGGCCCGGGGGAAAGACGAACCACAAACGATTGAAGCCGGGGGAAGACGGTGTGCGGGGCTGGCAGCAATACAACGCGCAATAGTTCAATCTCAAAGGGGGGAAAAGATAACTTCAATCCGTGCGGGCGAACAGCGGTGCTCCAGGACACCCCTGTCAATCGGACCACCAACCGTGTCATACAACCACCAAAGGAGCAGTTCGCATCTGACGATTTGGGGGGAAGGGGAGGTGAGAGCGGACGCGGAGTGGCGTCTGGCCAGCCAGGCTTGAGGACGGTGTATGGCGTTGTGAGGACACACCACGCGGCACCGTGTTGGACCCAGTAGGCTGTATGTATGTCGGGACCCCGGGGGGGCCGGGGGTGATGACGCGCCGCCCAACGCCCCCGCAAGCTCGGGGGCCCGGGGGCCTCCCCGGGACTGCTCTCACTGGGCCCTCGCCGTCGGTCATCCAACACTTCCATTGCCAGGTGGTCCGTCTGACCGCGTGATAAAGACCGCACGAAACACACACACACACAGGGCACTCGCACACGCATGGACCAGGCAGGCGATGTCCCGTCCAAACCCGCACCAAGTGTGACACGCCGTACTCCGCAAGCAGACACACGAACCGCTCCGGCTGCAGCGCCGCCAGCCCCGGAGGCGGGATCAGGACACTGCAAGGTCCAGCCACACGTCCCGCCGCTGCCGCTGGCGGCGCCGTCTCCAGATCCACGGCCGCCGCTGCCGCTGCCGCTGCCGCCGGCTCCGGCGCCAAGGGCGTAGTTGCCGTGGCCTCCTTCCCCTCCTCTCCTTCTCGATGCGCGTCCTTGCCCTCGCCCACACGGTGCCCTTCTGAGCCCTCGAGGGCCCCGCAGCCGGGAGCCAGGATCGGCGCAAGCAGCTGCCAAAGGTGATCAACGAAACTGACGGCGGTGGAGAAGCAAACCACGCTCCCAGGCTCTTCGCCGCTGCCGTCACAACAACCGCCGATGCTCCCTTCACCGCCGCCGCCGCCCTCCCTAGAGTCCGAAGGTTCCGCCGTTTCCCCCCCCGTACCCGCCGGCTCGCTGGCTCCGTGTCCCGAACGAAGACGGCTGGAGAGGGGTGGTGGTGGTGGCAGTGGAGGTGGAGGTAATCCTGCGGACTCGGAGGTCGGCGCCCTTAGGGGGTAGCGCCGCTGCATCCAGGCGATGCGCGTCAGCCAGGCGGCCGCACTCATGCACACGCCCAGCGGCTCCCCCGTCGAGCCTGACGTGTACAACACAGCAAAGTACGGCATGGCGAGCTGTCGTACGGGATGACGATCAAGCCAGACGGGCGTTTGAGAGCGACCGCCGCCATTACCCACACGGTCAGTATTCACTTCCGGTGGAGGGACTTTAGGCGCGAGGGAGCGTCCTGTGCGGGAATGCGAGTGCTGCTGCTGCTGCTGCTGCGGCGGCGGCGGCGGTTCCAATCCGGAAAGCGGCCGAGCACTGGACTCTGTTACCGCCGTCATAGCCGCCGCCGTCGGGGCGACGTGGATCTTGCATGTGCATGTAGCGAGCAGCAGCTCCTGCGGTAGGAGGTGCTCGTGGGCGCTGTTTGTGAGCAGCAGCGTGGGACGAGCCAGGCGGACCACCGCCGCGACCCGTGGGGCCGGCCATTCGGGATCCAGCGGGAGGAAGGCAGCGCTGTACGACAGCCGGCATGCAGGCGTAAAGGACAGAATTCCAGGAAGGGCAAGGGCAAGGGTGAGAGGCCCGGTGCGGGTTCGCATTGACGTGCCGGGGGTGCGGTGCGGTGCAGCTGCAGATAGCCGTTGTGGATTGGTGCACCCGTCCATCATCCGGTGTCCATAACTGGTATTGGATTTGTGTCAGTCGCGAGGCTGGACTGAGTTGGGACGTTAACGACGATTTGTTTTGGGGTCCTGGTCGCTGGGTGGGATGCGACCCTGCTGCTGGTGCTGGTGCTGGTGTTGCTGCTACCGTGTCAGGTCATGCTCGGCCTGTCGTGTGGATGACGATATGCACTGCGGCTGCCTGCGGCACACGGACCGAGCAGCAAACACGTAGGGGACATGCATAAGCCCCATCTCGCCATCCTGAGGGCCCTACCCCCGGGTACCTACCCCGGCCACAGAGGCACATCATCAGCCCACCAGCAGATGAACCACACACACCCGGGGGAGCAAAGACGAACCACACACGATTGAAGCTGCTGCCCGGCGGGGGGGTCACGAAGGCCAGACCCGGAATTCAGCACGCTGTGAGTCCTACATTCCGCCAACTCCACACCCTGCCAGGTCCTCTCGACCTGAACTAGGCCCCCTTCAGCCTCTCGCCGCACAATCGCGCCCGGGGCCCCCAACAACGGACGGTTGCCCACCCTGCTGCCAGCACCGCTAAAGTCATGCGTATGTAGTCCAGGGATGCAGGGCAAAACACGGCCACCAAGGAGGGACCCTCGACGACAGCCGCCGCCACCGCCGCTGGCGCGCAGTCATAACCCCTAGCGCCGCCTTCGCCGCTGCCCGAGGGGGCCACGTGTGTGCCGATGAGCACGTGGGGTTGATGGGTTTCGGGTTCGGGTTCGGAGCGGTCAGGGAAGTCGGGCCCGTCAAGGCCGGCAACTGGTGACCCATCATGGCGTTGGGCGATGGGCTCCAGGCCCGTGCGGCGCTGCCCGGTGGTTGGAGGGTTGCCGCTATCCCAAAGCCATGACTCGATAAGAGCTTGCAGATCGACGATCTGCGAATGCGGACAAGTTGGGAGCCGATTGATTGCCGAGGTACCGGAGGGGGTAGTGATTTAGGGAGGTTGACCGCCGGTGTGAACAGTAGCCTGAAATTGCTTTTGTCAAGTCGCGGTGTGGAGTAGAACCATGGTCCAAAGCTGTCATAGCCGCACCTGCTGGGCTAACGCGCTGAAGGGAACTTGGATGCCTGTACCGACGTCGCAAACGGTTGCCGCTGCAGCCGCTGGAGCAAACAAGGCGATCCTTGCTCTCGCCCATATCTCAGATGGGTAGGCATAAGGGTGCATTGTGTAGTCTTACATCGTTCCCCGAGACGGCTGTCGCGGCTTTTCCCTTTTCGTTCCTAGTTTTGTCGTACCGCCGGTACCGGTACCTCCGCTGTACAGCGAACATGCTCATAGAACTGTGAAATAGGATAAGCGTTTACCCGTGCATTATTTAACAGCTCGTTCGAGAACTTCTGCCGGACGTTGGAAGACATCAACATATGCCATCATACACCGGTGTCATGTGTATGCATTCCAACATGGTTTTTCTGTAAAGTAATAAGTATTTTTCGGATTCGAAAATGTCTAAAAGCTCCCGAGTCCTGTCTGGTGCACGCGCGCTGCGTACCGGACAACCATCTATTACTACAGGCAGTCTAGCTTTAGGCGGCGCTCTGTTGTTCGGCGGCACGGCTTACTTCTCATACCGTTACGCGAAAGCACACGTTGCTTTGCGCGATGAGGAGGCCTCCGTGGGCCATGCTTCCAGCTTCCGTGTTTTTGACAAAATTGCCGACAAGTATGATGAGGCCATCGGGCAAGAGGAGGCGGCTCTTTGGTGGGTGGCCCCTTAGATTTCGTTTAAGTAGGCGTGTTTCTGTAGTCTGTACCAGATGCGTGGTATGCGGTACGGCGCAGGTACGGAATGATGCGGCGCTGGCTACTCCGCGAGGCAAAAGGGGAAGTCCTAGAAGTCTCTGTTGGGACGGGCCGTAATTTCCAGGTAAGCTATTATCCTCGGTCCCACGCAACGGGGGGCCACCCTTAGATGAGGAATACCGGTCCGGCTCTATGGCTGCATGACTGGTATGCTTACTCCAGACGCCATGGCTGCCTCTTAGCTCGTAGGGTTCATGTATCACCACATCTCGCGTGAGGCCAGCCACTGATGTTCCGTGTATGGATGTGTGCTTTCGTTCCCATGCGCCTTGTCGGCGTTGGACCCACCGCGTTGCCGTCCAACGACACGAGCATCTGCCCACCTGCACTGCCTGACAGTACTATAACCTAGACAACCGGGACATCAAGTCGCTTACCTTCACTGACCTGAGCCCCCAGATGCTGCTGCGAGCAGAAGACAAGGTAAGGAAGCGGCCTGCTGGCGCATCGTGCTGTGGCTATGGTATGTATAGGGACTATCCCTTACATATCACTCTTTGCGTGGTGTACGGAATAATGCAGTTGCTTGGGCTCGCACCACAGCGCTTTCGGTACCCATGCGTGGGTACCTGCGGTATCTATTGCCCCTCCTGGCCCCGCCATTCCCCGCCCTGCAGTTCTTCGACGAGCTTCACCTGGGTCACAAGCACCCTCATGTCCGGACGAAGTTCTGCCTCGCCGACGCGCATGTGCGTGGCGTATGTTAGCGGGTGACGAAGGGCGAGGTTCCCTCTATTCCCTTGCCACCAGGTCCCAGTTTGTCCGTATTCCATGCTGAGCTCACGTGTGTGTGTGTGTGTGTGTGTGTGAGTGTGTGAGTGAGTGAGAGTGTGAGTGTGAGTGTGAGTGTGAGAGTGTGAGTGTGAGTGTGTGAGTGTGAGTGTGAGTGTGAGAGAGAGAGAGAGAGAGAGAGAGAAGGTTACAAGTATCTGACCGGGCCTGACACTGGCCAGGGGCTTCTGCCCAGCCCCAACGGAAAGACCCCCTAAGCGCTCCCGCGGGCGGGAGAGGGGCGTGTATGTGACTGTGCGCACGTGCGTGCGTGCGTTAGCCTTCGCCTAAGGCCGGATCTGCGGGCTTTTGCTGCGACGCGAGCCCCTGGATCGTGTTGCATAACTAGGCATTGCGAGCTCTTATGAAGGTTGAGATGATACCGTCATCAACATGACAGGAAGCAGTTACCCCGTCCCTGCCGCCCTTCAATTATCATATGTCTGCAACAGTGCCTAGTGGACAGCAGCTCGGGCAACGCGCCGCCGAAAGCTTCTAATGAAGACGGGACTTGGGAGACGGCGGGCACCAGGGAAAGGTGAGCGGCAAGGGTCAGGGTATAAGTGTCGCGGAACGCCTGGACAGGAGTGAGTGAATTGTAGAGGCCCCCCATATCCGCTCACAGGCCGACGTGGTGGACGTACTGGAGGCGGCGACGGCCAGAACCTGCAGAACCTGGCAGCTCAGGGGTGGTGGCCAGCGAGGCGGTTGAGGTCAGTGGCTCGGTCACTGAGGACGCTAGGGACGCGAGGGACTCGGAGGTTCTGGAGCCCGAACTCAAGGAAATGCCTGGCTTGCACGCTAGGGGCTTGTTAAACTTTTTCCGCATTCTGATGCCCCCTTCTACTGAGCCGGAACCAGCGGCGTCGGCTCCGGGGGGCGACGCTTCAGAACACCCAGTGACAACAAGCAACCGTCCAACGGTTGAATCCAGAAGAATGTCGTCCGTGGTGCAAGGGCCGTCTCACGAGGGGTGCAGCTGTGGAGACGCATCTCGAGCATGCAGCTATGCACAGCGGTGCACCTCAGGGAAATTGGAGTCCGGGGCTCAGTTGCATCGCTTTGCACCTGGCCAATTTGACACAGTCGTGGACACCTTTGGACTTTGCTCGCATGAGGATCCCGTCCAGGTGAGGGGACTGTATGTACACCAGGAAGATGTGCTCGCTCTAATTTTTTTCCCATTTCCTTGTTACAACAGGCCCTTAAGGAGATGGCGCGTGTGTGCAAGACTGGCGGAAGAATTCTCCTTCTCGAGGTATTGCCGTAACCTGGTGTGTGTGAGGTTTACGCAGGGTTCTTAACTATTGCTTTCTCATTCGCAGCATGGCCGCTCGCATTACAAGTGGCTCAACAAAAAACTCGATGCATCCGCAAGTGATCATGAGCGGAAGTGGGGATGCTTATGGAACAAAGATATTCTCTTTCTGGTGGAACAGGTAAAAATGATAGATACCATCCGTACATGAGTGTTTTGATTCCTAGTAATGATTTCCTGCCGTCTGTTTTACTAATTTTGGGGTGGCCATGAATAAGGTTTAGCGACTATCCCAGGAAATGTTGAAAAATCCCCCTGCGCACACTCCCCAACCCTTCGTCCGGTCAGGCAGGGCTGCAGGTGGAGAAGGTCACCCGCTGGCATTTCGGTACATCATACTACATCGTTGCTCGGCCAGCTTACGCAGGGTGAACTTTTTTTTGGCTAAAACAGTGTAATTATACCTGTACATTATACATACACATGCGGCTGCCTGGAACAAATTTTGTTATCTCAGCGTAAGCAACATTGTGCGAAGGCATAGAAACTGATGTAACTGAGCTTCCGTTACACGCAGACACAGTCAACAGCGAACCACTTCGGCGGCTCAACAGTCATGCACAACAAATGCGTGCACACCAGCTACAACGCTGTGGCCTGCGCGGGGAGGCACTCGAATCATCCAAGGGCGCCTCGGCATTGAAGGGCCTGCATCTGCTGGTCCTGTCGTTCATGCTGGCGCTGGGCAGCAGCTCCAGCGAAAAGTTGCCATGTATCTGGTGAACTGCTCAACCTGCCTGCCACCCCAGCCGCCAGCCCGGCTAGGAAGGCTTGGCCGTCCGGGCGATTGAACCCGAGCGCTCCACGCGTCCCGCTTAGTCGCTCTTCTTGCGGAAAGAGCAGCCTGAATGAACACCCCAACCATCCCGTCAGAATGATTTTCACTCGGTGGGGTACTGGAAAGCAGATAGCGAGTTTTTCGCTAGAGCACGTTGTGATAAGTTGAGATTGACATAAAGGCATCAAAGAACTTGAAACTGCAACTTGGATACTTCCCGGAGCTCGATGCGCACTCACCCTCGGTAAGACGGGCACGGCCACCGGTTGGGGTGCACAGGACAGATGAGCAGCTCCCGCACATGACAACGGTCTGACTGTGGGAGAAGACGGTGGTGCTGCAAAGGGATAGAAAAGGAACACAGTTCAGTTGTGGCGGCCGAGTGCAACTCCCAAGGTCACCAAATTACGAACACACAACGTATGTAGCAAGATATAAATTTATGCTTAAAAGAAGACTTACATGTTGAAGCAGCCCTGGCACTTCACGTCCATGAAGAACTGCGGCGCACGGCGGCAAGTGCCGAAGACTAAGCTCAAGGCTCGTTCAACAAAAGCAAATTACATAGCTGCTCATACCGAGTTCGGGCTCTGGACAAGCCGCTTCCGCTTATGCTTCTGCTTCTCCAGGTCCGCTGGAGGGTTGAGAAGATCGATATCACTGTGGAGCACCTGTGTTAGGGCAACGGCTAATAAGATTGAGAAAGATAACTCTGATGTCCTAAGCTAGAATAGGAAGACATCTGCGCGGCGGTCGTGTCTGCTCTGGGGACTACTTTTGCGCCGCAATGCAAAGTGGTTCAGGGAAAATTTTAGACAGTGCGCACCATTTTCGCGCGGAGGGGCAGGCTCCACGTCGAACAAAGGGGAGAGAGACTGTTCTCAGACAGCGCTCAAATTTTATTCCACATCGGCCCCACTGAGGTACATGCCCTTGCCGTACCCAGAGTGTTTTGTTGGCCTCCGCGAAGACGTTGCGCATTTAAAATACAACGTCATCAGCTTCTTCAGGATTCAGACAGGTCGCCCTTGCATGGAGGTTCAGAACGTGCGTATAGTACTCGTTTTGCTCATTCTTTTTGGACACGTCCTAAAGCCGTGATGTTTATTTCGCCAACGTGTGGAATTGCTGTTTTACGGATACCTTTAAGCTGGCCCTCTTGGAGAGCAGAAGCGGCATACTGCGACACACAATTGTTAACCTGCCCGCATGCGATGCCGACGTCTGTGGAGGCTGGTGCTTGTCCTCCCTAGTGCCAATCCTCTATGCTTTCAGTCCTCATCTTCATATTAATCGGTAAGGGGTCCCAGAACATGGGTTCGGGAGTTGCCTCGGCCTCCTGGTCAGGCTGGGGGGCTTGCAGGACACACGGTTTTCTCCTGTCATTGGGTGCATGCACGCTCACCCTACCCTTCTTCATCCTACGCCCGGGGCACTGAAGCGTATCCTTAACTTTTCTTAATCCGGGCCTGTTTCCTTGCAGTGACAATCTTGGCTTTCAAGTGTTTGCCCTGTTTTGTCATTGATGACTCTACCGCGTCAATGACCTCCTCAACACTATATCATGTCAGCGTGAGCGTGTGAAATTAGTTGCAGCCCAAGTTGTAGGAACTGTGCATGCATGCATTGAATGCAATCCTGTCGGGTGTTGCGGCTCCCCCCAAGTCTGCCCGGCTCCCCACTGGAGAGCGTTTATTACGTAACACGGCTGGCCGTTGACTGGCGGCTTTCCATGATAGACTGCCGTACGGGTTTCTGCAACTGCGTGCGTTTAGGTTTCTGCAGTCTGCCGCGATTTGTTTGCCCATCACGGCTGTGGTTCATGTGGTTCAGGGTCCTCGCCACCGTCACCACGCAAGGCATGTGAAGGTTAGCTCCTGGAAGGAAGCGGTGCTCAATCCTTTGGAGCTTATCGTACACAGCAGCGCTGTCGGTCGGATGTGGCGCAACGCGGCTGCCGAATTCTGAATTGGCCTTCCGCGGCAGTTTCATTGTCAGGTTCCATAAATGGCTGGATGTTTTCACTTCCGGACGCCCCGAGGAAGCTGGAGGTAACAACAAAACGCTACGGCCGCAGCAGTCGATACGGCCGTAGCAGTGGATACGGCGACAGCAGTGCATACGGTTACGGCAAGCGGGAATAGCAGCGGGGACGCAGAGCTGTGGCGGTGGAGAATATGGTAGTAATAATTGTCCTTCGTCTCCTTACACCTGCAGGGACAAACCTGTGAGTTTCTCATTCATGAAAGGGCCTCTGCATATTGATGGAATTATAATTTGCGGCGCTGCTGGATAAGTTGGGGGTTTTAGGGTTTAGCGCCGAAGACAGCGCGGTGCTGCGTCGGTGCGTGTCATGCACTGTGTGTTGTGCCAGGCATGGCTATCTTCAAATCTTCGACATACAAGTTTCGGCAGATCTCGTCTGTGTGGGATGTTCATCCTGTTCCTCGTGACATCAAGTCCAGAGGGAGCTGGCTTTCTGTCAGCCTGGACCGCATGCCCGCTGTACTCCGTCGGCAACCCCAAGCTGTTTGCAGGTCTACGTTATCTTGGTGAAAGGCGGTGCCAAGAGATGCACGCTATACCGACCCTCAACAGGTTTTGTATCCTGGGTACGACGGGAGATGACCTGCCCCTATGATGCAGTTGAGACGAATATGCGGCAGTGTGAAACAATACTGGCTTTTAGAGACTCTGTTTAGGGTTTTTCAACATTTGCCCCAGCCAACCTGAGTTTCTCTGGGTTTCACTGATGCGTATTGAAACAAACTGGGACAAGCTGCGATGAACAGGGTTTACGGCCCAGTTGTTTTTCATGGCCAAATTGGCCTCCTTAATACAATGGATAATATTTGGAAGTAGAGCACCGGGACAAGAGGCCCTGGGACAGGCTACTTCATTACAAACGGTGTCTCTCGATACCTTCACACGTGCTCGCATCCGGACTGAGGCGCTGATAGTACGCCGATGAACTCCCGACAAAACTAAGACGGAGAAGTCTCAGTGTAGGTCATTTGGAGGCCGGAAAGGGCGGGCGAGGTAAGGACCAATACTATACTCCGCATGCAGCCGGCCCCACTTACCGTGGGCAGCCCCTGCGGCTCGACCTGCTGCTGCTTCGCCTGCTACATTTAGTGTATCAGGTCAGGTCATTATGTGCAGTTTTCACATGCAAACCTCATACGTTGCAGTTTAACATGGCCATTTATTTCGCCTGACTGTCATGATTATGCGCACGCTGCTGCCTTGCCGTAGCCGCACCGGTGTGTCTACTACCGCTGCAAGCTTACAAGCACTTGGCCAGTTCTTGAAACTCGTTCTTGCACTTGATCAGTCCCTCAACTCGCCGCGCCAGCATATCGCGCTTGGCGGCAAGAGCGGCGACAGCGCCCGCAGCTGCAACAGGAATGGCGTTGAGGACATGAAGTTAGTAAACCTGCCAGTATGAGCGCTTCACCACCTAGGAGCTATATGAACAACACAGTTCACATCGTCTTGCCGCCGCCGCCTAAAAGTGGACTGAAAAGACCTCGATGCTGGCCGCACGGTGGAGTCTCACAACAGAAAATTCAAGGGAAAACCCATGCTGCTTACCGCTGAACATGCTGCCAAAATCCGCATCGTTGCGTGCAAAAAGATCGAGCGACACCTCAAGCGCCAGCCTGTCCGACATGGGGTCCAGGAACGTGCTCTTCAGCGTTGCAGGGGCATATTGCGTGGCCACAGCGCAACGGATCTTGCGAAAGAGTGACTCGGCCGCTGAGATGACGTCGTCGGCGGAAGAACCCACGCTGCTCCCACCTGCGGACACGCCATTCCCAGGTGCTTGCCCCGCGATCAGGGGCCGCTCTGCAGGGCATCATGAAGCAGGGAAGCCTCAGGCAAGGACAATCTATGTGAACCTATCACTGTAAGGCATCGCCTGTGGATTGGCTTAGTCCACCAGACAAGGGACAACAGACAATAGACGCAAGCCGTCCCAAGCCGTTAGGACAGCAGTAAAAGATGCTGTCCCAACCTACGCCAACTCTGTGGTATAAATTACTTCACCCAAGCGGTGATGTGAGCCACCCCAGCGCATAGACAAGCGGACGGACCTGAGTTCTGCTGCAATCCGACGCGTCGGGACTTCGTTGCCCGGCGGCTTGGCGTGTTATCCTCGAAGCGCCCCGGCCCAATCGCCAGTGTTTTTCCAGCAGCTGGCGCGAGGTGCACCGCCTTGAGCCGCTCGTTGAGCACCTGGGCGGTGGCGGCGGAGGCAGGCGTCTCAGGTACCGTCATCTGTACATGCACCGGCCCCGGAGTGGGCATGGCCCCCTGCGCGCAGCGCATGGTCGGCCGAAATTGCTAGCATCTACTCTAAGGCTACCAAGACCCTAGCACAGGAAACTTCATAATGGAAAAGCCTGTACATCAGCAAATGTTAAAGGCTTCTCCTCTGAAACCCATTGCTTTAAACATGTTCATATACTTATCATGTGAGAGCAAACGGAAAATGTTTTACTGCAGAAACTTTATTGCAGAACTTAACCACAGGGCTCTGAACCCCAGACATTCACCCCCTCCTGGATGTGTGCGTACCTCTGCACTGTCGTCCAACCGCTCGCCTGCAACCATGCATTCCTCCGCCACGTCGCCATCGCTGCAGTCCGCCAGTTCATCCGCGTCCCCAGGATCAGGGACATGGATGTACATGTTCATGGCAAACTGGCTGGTCGCCGCCTCCAAGTGCGTGCGCAGCATTCCCCGCGCCTGCTCTTCAAGCCGGTTGATGAAGGCCTGGTGCGAGCTCCGGAGGGCGGCGTGGAAAGCGATGTACGGGTGCAGGTTCTCCTTGCTACCCACTGTGACCACATGCAGAGAACAAAGCGACTGGTCAGTTATTGGTTGGATAGTTGTTTGGGTCGTTTACAATGTCTACCACCCAGCCCTGCAAGGGGACACATCCATTCGTTGCTTTGTTACATGGTTGGGCAAACAAAGAACTTACTCGTCGCCGCCGCCCTGTCGGCAGCGATGTCGTACAGGCGCCGAAGGATGAATGACAAGCGAATACACGCTGCGTCCAGCAGAGGCCCTAGAGCCTCCTTTGCCGCCTGTCGCGCGATGTCCTCAGCCGCCTTCGTCGGGCCCCCCGTATGGTGCTTTCCCTTGTACGCATACATGATGTTGCGCAAGCGGTCGCTGCTCATGCCTATGATACAATGTGGAAACAGGCTCGTTCCGAACTGCATGAAATGCCGTTGGATGCATACCCCACTTAGACAAACCCTGGCCAAGATGCGAACGCTGTCGTCTGTGGTGCAATGATAGCTCAGACACTTAACCCATCACAAGAAAGCATATGAAATATAAGAAGCTTTTGACTCCGAAACTTTCCCGATGACCCCCTGTTACGCACTTGAGGGGAAGCGCGTGCTGTTTACAGCCATGTGGAATTCTTCCAAACAACGTTCAAAAGCCGCCCCGCCGAAGAGTTTGCTCTCATGGTGGAAGGGCTGCACCGGTGCGCTGATCCCAGGCCACTGTGTGACGCGGACAGAACGGGAATCCGGGCAGGGAACGAGGTTGACTGTTACGTGCGACCACGAGATATATACAGGCCCCGCTTGACCGTCATATTATGTTTCTATACCGTCTGTATACTGAGCCACAAAAAGGCGGCACATGATAAACACGTTAAACGGACCGTAGCATAAGCTAAACCGGATAGGCATGACGACAAAAACGTCGAGCCGATTTTGTTACACCACAACTACACATATTGCGCCCCCACCCCACCTGCGGCGCCCGTGACGTTGCACGCTCCTCATCCGTCGTGAGACCGTGCTGTATCGGATCCGGCTCTGCGGAACCCTGCAGCATCATCACTACTTGCCGTGCCACCGTGTCTGCGTACTTCATGGCGGCGCGTCGCAGAGCGCCCACATCCTCCGCCGCCTTGAGCCGTATCTCCGCCGCCATGAGCTCAGCTGACACTGCGTCGCATCGTTCCTGAAGCAACGCCAGCGTGGCCGGCGCAGCCTCCCGGTAACGCCGACTAAGCTCTTCCTCCAGGAACCTGGGCGACAGACAGATGCACAAGACACTTCTAGGGGCCGTACCGCATAGCCGTCTTTTGATCGGAAACAGTTCCTGTGTGGTTGATTTGACGGTTCACAGCGAGTTGTATGGGATTGGTAAGCATTGTCAGTACGGCGTAACCTAAACGAGCGCCTCAACAAGCTTTGGATCAACTGGGGGTGAGCCCATGTAACAATCGGGCTGCAGCACGTACTTCTTAAGGTTCGTAAACCCAATGCGGCTCGCAAAGCGCTCCTCGTCGAACCCGCCCTTGATTCCCTCGCGTAAGTGCTTGAATATTGCCGCGTCCACTTCCGCCATGCTTCTTCGCCACTCCGCACTGCTTTGAATGGCGCGGTCCTGATATTTGTCCGGGTGCCAAGTTGCTGGCATTAGTGTGCAGCTTGGCGAGTCAACACGAATCAGCAGTGGGGCCCAAGCCTACAACTGCTGTTTCGCACCTGCTTCCCTTGTACGTGGGCTCCAACGCTACTGTAATACAGCCGATAGCATAGCAGCAATCACGTACCTTGGGCAGCGCAACGAAGAAGGGGCGCACGTTGGGCGGCAAGTACCCCGTGGCACTGAGGTATTTGTCAACCTCCCACCGTTCTGCAAACTCCTTGAGGCGGTTGTCAAACTTGCTGGCCACGATGACCTGACGGCCAACAATTTATCCAAACACATGCACAAGCTGTAGAACAACGCACCGAAATCCTTGACTCTTAAGTGAGCTCGACATACAGTTGAAACCAATATTGCAGCCCTTCACCCCAGGTCCATCACGGCGACAAAATTCGTGACTCAAGTCTGGCATACCACTGCCACAGAAGTCGTTACCCAGAACCCTGACAGCTGCAATATTGCCACACCATCGAAGTCAAGGGCAGCGACGGCGCGCGTGACAAGCAGGGAATACCCGATATCGTACCGTGCGCTGGAAGTATGGATCAACCTCCTGCACAACCCGCAGCCACAACGAGCTTGCCCACTCCACACTGGACTGCTGCAGGAAGAGGATCATCCTGTTGGCGCATACAAAACACACCATGCGCAAAGGTATCAGCGTTGTTCATCCCATTGTCTTCGGTTGACCATATGATAGGTGATCATTGGAAATATCTTTGTTATTAGGCCTAATGGGCGTGAGCGCACCGCGCGTACCTGCAGGCTTTGTGACTGTGGAGCGGTTGAAGATGAGTTGCATGTTTTCGAGGAATGTCCCGCTTACAAGAGCATACGGGCTAAGTATGATGGTGATCTAGTCTTTAAGGGGCGCAGCATGCGCACCATTATGACTGAGGCGCCACCCCTGGCATTGGCCAGGTACCTCTCGGAAAATTGGGAGGCCAGGCACGTCGCGCTGAGGCGCTTCGCCCTGAAGCGGACGAGAGAGAATGAAGATGACCTCCCGCGTACCCGCAATACAACGTCCATGGCCCCCCGGCTTTTACGGACACACCCGCACTTGTGTGCGGAACTTGTAACTTGTTGCAAGCGATTGAGGTAGACAAAATAACATGGCGAGTCACTAGATTGCGCTCTTAGCCCAACCCCCTCAGCATTAGACCACACCTGTGCGGAGGAGATGCCTGCGCCTTCACCATCGACATAATCTCGTCTGGAGTGTTGTCCAGTTCACCAGATTTGGCCTTTAGGATGAAGCCTGGCGTGTCGATGATTGTAAGGTTGGGACAGTACGCGTACCTAGCACGCAAGAAGAATATATTGGTATGAAACACGGATACATTTAAGATTTCCCAACACACACATCTCGCAACGAGGATCTGGATCATGGATTTCTTGACTTAGCGAGCCGGGCGTGGAAGCGGGGAGCCCGTGGGTATGCGTAAGATGAATTGCGAGAGGTTGACATACTTAAGTCCACCGGTGCTCCCGGGGCAGACCGACTCCCGAGGTCGTTCAAAGGGCTTCTTACTTACTCAGCACGCATGACGATGGGTTTAGAGGACACGGCGATGTTGCCCATCTTACGAAGATGCTCCTCAGTACGGCGCTGGATAGCGTCAGCCACGGACGTCTCGGGCACAATCGGGGGCCCTGGTAGAAGGGCACAAAGGATTATGTCGACAAGCAAATCGGCGCATTTGAGAACACGATCTGTGAACGGAGCTGTGAACGGAGCTGTGAACGGATAAGACGATGGGCCATGGTGAGACATACACACATATTGCTGCTGTGTTTGGTGGCTGCGAGACTCAGTTCACAATGCTCATTCAAGTGTCCACTGCTTACCGTATTCGTCGGAATCCTCCTCCTGTAGTCTGCACCGCGGCTCTTGTGCTGTTGGATCATGCACCATCTGCACAATTAATGGCCTCCGCGTGCCCATCTCCACTTCGCGCACATTGAAGCGAAACTGTGACGGAGGACAACGAATTCACACCTTGCTACTAAGTCATCGTAAGGTTAAAGGGGATCATAGCTTTTGGAGGCACCACAAACCAATCAGTGATACAGTTCTCTCCTGATGCGATTGTGCTTATGGTACTCTTGATAAGCTTGTAGCAGGGCCTAACCGCCCAGCACGCACAGCGCGCCTTCGCAATCCAAAATGAGCTCACTCCTGTGTCGTACACAACCCAATAGGCCTGCCTTTAGTGGAAGACACTATTCGGCATGAACTTACGCCTAGGAATGCCTCCAGTAAGGATGATTTCCCGTCCGATTGGCCACCGATCGCTACAATTTCTGGGATGGCTAGGGACTCCCCCATCGCTACGGCGGCGGCTTGAAGCCGGCTGCGGTGGGACGGGAATAGGGAAGGAGAGAGGGGCGCATAGCATCCGTTGGGGCCATTCAGCAGATGTCTGGATCGCCCCTGTCTGCAAGCTGTCGGCCGTGCGAAAAAAGCGAAGACAGCTGTCCCAACCGTTTACTGCCTCGTCGTCACTACCTGTACGCATCATAGCGCCTGTATTCAGACCTGGGGGCCGCATGACACACCAAGGTTTGTGCGCAAAAAGTTGGCGCAGAGCGCGCATTTTTATGCGCTGAACCGTCGGTCCAGCTACTCCATAAACCAGGCATTTTGCCAGTGACGATGTTCCCACCACATTCATAGAAATTATGTCCATAGCAATTACAGGCTTCTGGCGTACAGGTCAAAAAACTGCTCAACTTCCGGTTACTCACCCCTGACTTGGGGGACCACTGCCTGGCTCACCTGTAAGCGCGGTATCTGATCTGAGCTTCGCTGGTCTCAAAGAGCTCCTGTGTCGATTCCCTGAGACCGGCGCCCTCAGAAACTGCAGCGCGCCGGGGCAACCCATTATGCTGACCAGCGACCTGGAAGGGCTTCAGCTGGGCTGGCTGCATCTGTAGCTTATGGGATGTTTGATGGAAGGTTTGGTCGGGTGCTGCTGAGTCCCTATCGAAAGCAGCGTTATCAAATACACGACCTGACATATTGTCGAGCACTCCCGCCTATGTAAGCATCAATGTTATAAATTAAAACACGTCAACATCAATACATACCAAAGGTATTGGGCTCAATCGACCTTTGCACAAGGACCCGAAAGTTGAATTTGCACGTACGGCGTGCAGTACTTAATTGAAACCGAAGTGAGGAAAGATACCAGTTCGCGTGAAATTGCTTATGCCTGGGAAGTATAGATTTCATTGCCCACGAGTAACTTACGTATACCGTCCTGACTTTTCTTGAAACCCTTTCTCAGTGGCGCCCTAGAACAATATGGCGAAAAAGGCAAAGAAGGGAAAGAACCGTTTGGACAAATACTACCATCTAGCGAAAGAACAGGGGTGAGTATTTCCATGACAACTCCAGCAGTCTATGACGGCTGTAGATGTGTATCCCTTATGCATGGCATTCTCCCGAAATAATTGGATCTCTACAGCGTCTGGCATAGTCGTCGCTTGCGGTGATTCAGGCCCTTAGCGACGGCTCGTGTCGGTCACGCCGCCGCCGCCGTCGTCAGCCAACGTTTACACTTAACCCCTTCCGCACGACGCATTCCAACCGCATATGTCGCATGCAGGTATCGCTCACGTGCCGCCTTTAAGCTAATCCAGCTCAACCGGAAGTACAACTTCCTGGGGAAGTGCAGGGCCCTGCTGGACCTCTGCGCTGCGCCAGGTGCGGCACATCCGCCAACTCCAAAAGGGCTATGACAGGGTGGCGTGGCGGCTGATCTTACCGAATCGTGGCGGCTGATCTTACAGAATCATTGACAAAGCGTTTTCGATTCGCTCATTAGGTGTTTTACCGAGGGTATGTGGGTGATGCACCCGGGGTTCTATCAGTAAACTAGGCCTGCGTACATTACGCACGGGAGAATGAGTCATAACGGCCGCGGCCTTTATGCCGCGGCTCCACCTTGAAATGAAACTGTCGATATCTCTTCCACGCGGCGTACACAGCCTGCCGGCTAGTGGACCCGCAACGGCTACGGATGTCGCTATCGTCTCCTCAGTTAAAGTTTAACTGATCCTATTGCCCCTTTCCCTATGGGCCATCCCTCAGTTATTGCAATGTTCACTGCCTGAGGCCCTTGTGGTCGTGTTTGCGCACAGGTGGATGGCTGCAAGTGGCCGCCAAGACGATGCCTGTGGGATCTCTGATCCTAGGCGTGGATTTGGCGCCCATCAAACCCATTCGTGGCGTCAAGACGCTGGTGCAGGATATCACCACTCAGCAGTGTCGCAGTGCCATCAAGCGGGAGGCGGGGAACGCCAAGATGGACGTCGTGCTGCACGATGGTGCCCCCAACGTGGGCGGCGCCTGGGCGAGCGAGGCCTACAACCAGGTGAGTCTTGAGCATGGAGAGGTGCGGGGCAGGCTTCTTAATGTGGTCTCTGGGATTGAATGTCCTGATAGTTGCGGTGTGGTGTCAGGGCGAGAGGGACACGGGTGCTGTGCCATGGGCCGACCCTTTCGTAGGGCCTCTATGTCGGCCCGAGAGGCGTGCTTTTAACGGCGTTGATGCGTCTTGATGCCGATAACCCCTCGGAAGGCACGTGAGGTTGTGTCGGCATCTTATGTGGGGAAGGCATTTGGCTTTTGGGTACGGGCTTGGAGGACTTGGTAGCCGATGTTTATTGGTGTTGTGAAAGTTGTGGGGACGAGTTGGACCTGTTGGACCTTGGGACGCCGCAAGTTCAGGATTGGGGTTGTGGCAGAGCGTGGGGTGCTTGATCTACAGGGGAGCTTACAGTGTGCGTAATCGCTGCTACTGTATAATTCATTACCAACTTGCGTTTCTGCACGCTGGGGTTCTGTTCCTCGGACACCAATGCTTAGTCAGTGCGCCTGTGGTGAAGCCGTGGAACTGTATCCTGACGGAGTGTAACTGGGCAAGCAGGCTAGACCTGGCCTCTGTAAAGAGCGACCGCGACGTCCGTGTGATGGAAACGGATGCGGCTCAGCCCGTTAGGTGGGCTTAGGCACTCGGCGTGCGTGCATACGCGGGGGCCGCAAACCCACATGCCTTTGGCGGATGGACAGGGCCTGGATTTGGTGTTCATACTCGTCATCACTTGGACGTGACTTGCGTTGCCTTCGGGTTTGGTCTCCACTTCCCAGTCGACGCTGGTGCTGGATTCCCTCAAGCTCGCGGTTGACACGCTGGCGCCCAAAGGAACCTTCGTCACCAAGATTTTCAGGTGCGTTATAGCAGTTACTTGGTCCCTTACGTTGTTTTAACACCAGATCCGTGTATTGCTGGGGTTTCATTGCGGACATCAGCTCAGAGGCAGCTCTCGTTGGTGCGAGGTTTACGCTCACGCACGGTATAGGCGGTGCACGTTTGTCATGTATGTGCAGCTCGTTATGTAAAGAGAGCGAGATGCGCTGCATCCTTGGACCTGGCTTGGGCCTAAGTTGGTTTTCGACTGGCACACCGGCAGGTCAAAGGACTACAACGCGCTGTTGTACGCGTTTAACCAACTCTTTGAGAAAGTTGAGGCCACCAAGCCGGCGGCTAGTCGCAATGCTTCCGCTGAGATCTTCGTTGTTTGCATTGGATTCAAGGCGCCTGCCAAGATTGACCCGCGCCTGCTGGATCATAAAGTTTTATTCCAGGTATGCATGAAAATGGCCGCGTATGTTGGGGCTTGCGGTCCCTGTCGCCGGCCTGATCCATAAAGGCTGCGTCCGGCTAGGCTCAATTTTAACCAGACTTCATTGCGGGTGGGAGATCATGCGTGGTATCCTGGTAAACAAGCCTGTGGACGCCGGCCCTTGTCGTCGCCATTACCTGTTTCGTTTGCAGTACGTTTGGTCCCGTCCCAGGTGCCGTCGCTGCATGGGAGCATAGGTTGACCGTTGAGGGCCTTGAGCCTCAACCAGTCTTCAGCTGTCCATTGCTTCGACACCGGGTCCCAGTCTCGAGCAGCGCCCAGAGCGAGTGTGTCAGTGTGCCTCTTACCATCGGCCCTGTGGTGCTGTCGTCGCCGCGCCCTACAGGAGGTTACCGAGCCTAAGAAGGTAATGGGCCCGGAGGCTCTGCTGCGGCAGAAGATCAAGCAGCGACGCTTCAGGGAGGGCTACGAAGAGGGCATCTCCACGTCACACCGCTTCACATCTGCACTCGCGTTCCTGGTCAGCGACTCGCCTGTGGAGATGCTGGGCAGCTTCACGGAGGTGCGTGGGACGAGCTTGGCGGGAAAATGTAAGAGAGGAAAAGCTTCCGGCCACCTAAGGGCAGGATTGACTCCTCGCACATTCCCGAGGGGCATGAGCGCTGAACATTCTCCAACAGAAGGCGAGGCTGTAATACAACAAAATCCTCTGCTATCGCGCGACTCATTTGGAGGGTCAGTTCCTGGTTTTATTGTTCTTCAAGTCCCTGGTTTTATCGTTTCCTAAAAGCCTTCCGTAACGAGAAATCGACTTCTCCCACGCAGCTGGTATTCAATGCTAAATGACCCTGTTTTCAGTCCAGTCTTCCTGTCCAGGACTTGGTAGGAAGGGTTGGCCCTTGAGGGTGTGCAAGGGCTCAACTCTGCGGCTCTAACTCTGCCCTCTTTCCCCTTACCCGCTTCTTCGTAGTTCGTACTGGAGGGCCCGAACTCTTGGGCGCCCGTGGAGGGCGACAGGGCCGCGGAGCCCAAGGAGCTGGCGGCCAAGATTCGGAGCCATGCCGCCACCACCGCGGAAATTAAGTCCTTATGCAAGGACCTGCAGGTATGGTGCGGACGGAAACAGGACGCGTCCTGCGTCCTGTCATGAAACTGGAATCACAGCGGCTGTCTAGCTTGTTGACAACCGATGGGACGTTGCCCGCAGCCATTTCACGTCATTCCTTGGATATTGATCCAGAAATTGTGGCCCTTGGTCGGTGGTTGCGTTTGTTGCCTTACGCTTGGCTGGCTGCGACGGCAACCCTTAACGACCCCATGCTCTTGTAGGAGCATGGGGGCATTGATGACGGTACAAATTGAAGGATCTGTGCTGCGCGTTTAGGATGGTGGGGCATTCGGTGTGGTGGGTCCAATCTTCAATCTTTATGGGTCTCTGCGACCCCCCTCCAGGTGCTTGGGCGGAGTGAATTCAAGCAGCTGCTGCGCTGGCGCCTGGCGCTGCGTAAGGACCTCAAGGAGGATCTGGGCACCGAAGAGGAGGCAGCCAAGGCCGGCCACCGGAAGGCGAAGGCCGCGGATGGCAAGCAGCCGCAGCCGGCGGATGGCGCTGAGGCGCCGCAGGACCCTGAGGAGGCGCTCCTGGCTGACATGGCGGCGCTGAAGGATAAGATGGCGCGGGAGGCTAAGCGCGAGAAGAGGAAGCGGCGGGAGATGAAGATTAAGGCGCGGCTCCGGGCGGCGCAGGCGGCCCAGGCGGAAGGGCTTGGGGAGGATCCACAGCAGGTGAGAAGTGGAGCGCTAAGGAGGGGGGTGCGAACTGGTGGAGACGGCTTGGGCACCGGATGGGGACGACGGCGAAGGTGCAGCTGAACGCTGGGATTTGGTTTTGGATTTGATTCCAGGGTCAAGATTAGGATGGTTCGATGATTTTTAATGCATTCGTTGGCAAGAGGAAATCGTTTAGTTATGAAAAGACTTGTCTTGCCGCACGGGGCCCCTGTGCACGCGGTCTGCACACGTGCGTCCGCAAGGGCTGCTGGAGGACACCGATACACAATAGGTGTACTGCAGCATGGCAACCCACCCTGAAGACGTACATGGGCCACATGGGCGATAGATAGCCTTAGGTGCGCACCTCGCTAAAGTTCATGCGGAAGTCCCAACCTTCGCCCCCACCTTGTCGGCTTGTCGAGGCGATGTACTGAAGAGTTGTTTCTGTTGCCCGCGGTGGTCCGCGCGCATGTCGGGTCTTGTGCACGCCTCTGCTCCAGGGCGGTCCAGAACAGCTCTTCAATTTGAGGGGCGTGAGGACGGAGCTGGGCGACGCGGAGGTGCCCGATGACGAGGACCCGGGAGCCAGCTCCGATGGCGAGGTACGCCACCATGTGATAAGTGACCGCACCTGGGCTATGCCACTCAGCCGGGCTCTCCCAGCAGCTCTTAAAAGCTATGGCTGGGTCCTTCGGGGCCGAACACATCAGCTCCTAAGCTTCACCATCCGGACTGGGCATTGACCCCATACGTGCGTGGTTTTGTTTGGGCCGCCTGCAGGACTCAGATGCGGGGGTCTCGGGCTCGGATGCCGAAGACAGTGATACGGACAGCGGGTTGGCCTACGAGATGGAGCTGGAGGACGCACTGGAGCACTCGTATAAGGAGTACCTGGAGCGCAAGGTAAGGGTGTGAACAGGGGGCCACGCCCACGTATGTCGCCTGCTGCCGTGGCTAGCGCGTGAGTTGTGCCGTTTCCCGGGGCTATTCATACGGGCCTACACAGCGGGCATTCCTCCATTCCGCCGTAGTTGATGTTGATGTTGTTTCAGGGTGGTTAAGCTTCACCAGTGGCCTCCTTCCCGAGGCAATTCCCTGCTCTCCCCTGCTAGAGGGGCACCCTAAGCCATTCACCCCATCCGACTTCAGAGTGTACTCTTTGAGTTTGGGAACTCACCACCAGCATCCAACCAAATCTAGCGGATCAACGGCGCGTCAACTTAGTTCCTGGTCAGCTCGCGAGTTGATGTTATCACGTCCTACACCGTCCACAAGATGGGGGGCCACCTCCCATTTCATCACCTCTCAAACACTCCGAGAGGTCGGCAGGCGGATTTGAACCCGGACGCGCCGGGACGCGTCGGGAGCAGAAGCCAGGCCTTAACCTCTGCCAGCCGCCTGCCGTAGTTATCTGTCCTATTCTGTTGTCCCCAAAGTGCGGCAAAGATGCTGTTTTGTTGGTTTTCTCTGGTTTCTGGGCCGCATAATGGCGCCGATACCGAGTGCATGTCACTGAAAGGCTTGCCTATTATGGAGCTGATGTGCCCGTGACTGGATGCACCTTGCAGGGTGTCCGTGCGGCCGCAGAGCGGGAGCGGCGCAAGCGGCTGGGCATGGATGGCGAGCTGGACGACGGTGACGACGGTGCAGCGGCGGATCGAAGTGATGACGAGGATGACGTGGAGCGGCTGGGGGACGACGAGGACGACGTGGGTCCTTTGGGTAAGCGGCCGGTTGTGTCGCCCGCCATGATACAGCCACACGTCGGCGTATGAAAATGGCTCTCTTCGAGGCCCTTTTGATGCTTGGTTGGTCTCTTTCGACAGAGTCATTCTTCAGTTTATGAAGGACGACGTATCCTACTGAGCCCTGCTGCCGTGATGCGTGGAAATTCTGGCCCTTTGGACCTGTGCCGTCTTTACAACGCTGTCTCTGACCCCTGCTCGTGTAGTGGCATGGTGGATATGTACCTCAGTTTTGAGTAGCTTGGCCTCTATGCATTGGACTGTGTTGTGTAGGTGGTGGGCTACTGGTCTCGCTGGACGAAGACCGCGCTGGCGTCGCCAAGAGCGGCTCGGCGATGGCAACTCAGTGGTTCAAGCAGGACCTGTTTGCGGACCCCAACCTCCTGGACGATGATGACGAGGAGCAGCCGCAAGGGGCTGCGGCCTCCAAGGCGGCTGGCAAAGGCGACCGGCCAGCGAAGAAGGCGCGTACCGGCGATGCCGCCGCAAACGGCTCGGCCGCAAACGGCAAGCACGCGGCCACACAGGGTCCAGACAGCAATGAAGAGGGCGATGATGACATGGAGCCGGTAGGTTAACTTGCTGTTATCACGCCGGAGCGTATGCATAGTCCACGCATTCTTCGCTTGTGGTGGACCTCCCTAGTTGTCTTGCTGCCTTTCTGTGTGTCGTCTCTGTGCGTGGTGCCCTTGATTAGTGGGGCATACCTGTCAATGAGGACAGCGGACGTTGTAGTTGACTTCGCACGACGCATATACATTTGGCTTATGGGAATGCACTTCTTGAGAGCGCAGACGTTGCATATTTCTAGCCAAACGGGTTGGGTGAATACTTACAAACAATCTGTGCTGTCTGTGTCTTTCCCTCATGTGCCGCGCAGTCTGCTGCGGCACGCGCACGCTCTGGGCTGGGTGCGGGCCCCTCGGCGCCGGGGCCGGTTGCGGGTAAGCGCGGCCGCCGTGGTGCAGCGGACTTCGAGGTGGTTCCGCAGGAGGCATCTGGTTCGGGATCCGGGTCGGGCTCTGAGTCCGGCACCGACTCGGAAGATGAGTTCGACATGCTGGACGACCAGGTAGGGGGCTTGCTTGTGATCGCAGGCGTGCCACAGATGCTGGTTCGGTTACCGGACTTGTGGGACACGGGGAAGAGGGTCCATGCGTAAGCGAGGGTTTGGGACATTGGCAGAGGGCCAGCCCCACTTTATGCATTATCCTGCCACGCACATGTACCGCAAGCCAGTCTGCAAGTCAGCCTCCCTCCCGACGTTTTCTCCGGTGAATGAAATCTTTTTCGTTGCTGCCGTCATGCAGGGGAAGGCGGAGGTCCTGGCATTAGCCAAGCGCATGCTACGACGGAAGGAGAAGGAGTCAATAGTCGATGCCGCGTACAATCGGTTCGCCTTCCACGATACGGGTCTGCCCCGCTGGTTTGCGGAGGATGAGCGGCGCTTTATGAGGTGAGTGACGGGGAGGGTTAGGCTCTAGGTTTGGTCCCGGGTTTGGTCCCTAGGGAGAGTGCAGGGCGATGTTCCGACGTAGGCAGCACTGTCTACAGGATTGAGTGCGGCGGCGTGAGAGCTGTGGCGTAATTGTTGTTACGTTAGGGGCACGTGTTATGGTGCTACGCTTGAGGTGTATGTTAAAGCATACATGCATGGTTTCAACATACGGCCGCGGCAGCAGCAGCAGCAGCAGCAGCGTCGTTGCCTTTCCAGATATCTGCCCCCAGCAGTGCATGGCAGATGGTTGACATTGGAAGAGGCGCATGCGGCATGCGTCCTTAACTTTGCTTGGCAATGTGTAGTGCTGGGCGAGACTGTCCGAGAGACGGTGGGTATGCTGCAATGCAGGCCTATCCCGCCAGTTACGAAGGCTGAAGTGGAAGAGGAGAAGGCGCGCTTGCGAGCTGTTGACGCACGGCCCATCAAGAAGATCGCCGAGGCCAAGGCGCGCAAAAAGCAGAAATTGGTTAAGCGCTTGGAGCAGGCCCGGCAGAAGGCGAACGTGAGTTTGGGCGGACATGGGGAAAGGGGCGGCGCGCTTCCTCATAACAAGGTCCTCATAACAAGCATGCTTCGTGTCCCTGTACGCATGTGTGGGCATGTACGCGGTGATTGCAAGCCACAGGGCCTGGCCTGGGCTGCCTCGCGTTCATCTTGCGGTACTGTGTTCCGTGTAGTTCATATTTGACGCGGCTTAGACTAGTCCGGCAAAATGTTCCCGCTTTCCCAGCTTATCGTGTCTTTCATACGCCTTCGTCCTTCATCCCCTCCGCGCAGGCTGTTGCGGACCAGGAGGACGTGCCCATGAAATCCAAGGTTCGGGAGATCGAGAAGATCTACGCCAAAGCGCACATCGGCGCCACGAAGGGGAAGAAGGGAAAGAAGGGAAAACGAGGCCCACCCGTAGATCGGCGACTGAAAAAGGATAAGAAGGCCATGATGCGCGCCAAGCAGAAACAGATGAAGAAGAAGGGTCGGAAGGGCCGATAAGGCATCGAGAGTGCCTGAAACTTAGCAAGAAGGCGAACGTGTAGGGATTATTCCGTGAGGTGCAGCTGGTGTGCGTGGTCTAACCTGGTTCTGCACTCCACTTCGGTCCAGTTTACGCACAGCTGGGCGTGTATGGGGGATCAACCCTTAGCTTGCTAGGAATCAGGCGGTAGCTGGGGCATCGTAGCGTATGTGAAGGTGTACGTAGTTGCGGGCAGGCGCCAGGCTGTTTTGGGTGCGTGGTCAAGGTCGCGTTGGAGTCGTTCATCGTTAGACTGTGTTGTTGGTGTTCTGGGATAAGCGCGTCGCAAACATAAATGACACTGCACCTTGCGTAAACGCTGCCAGGAGAGTTAAAAAAGCTAAGTCTTTGCGGCCGCTGAGCATAGTGATGCTGCGATATGCACACGTTCAGCCATTGCGGGCCCCCAACTTCACCAAACAACCAGATAACGCGCTTGTTAAGGACCCGAGAGCCGAGGCGTGGTACGGACGTGCAAGATGCTGTTACGTACGGTTGTTGTCGTTATACAGTAATCTCCTTTGAGGATGGGCTTTGGCAGAGGCCTCCCATGTGTTGAAGTACCAGCAATATGAGTCAATGTAACTCATTTTCATTCGGTTACCCCTGGCATCCGTTCAGGGAGCGCCGTCATCTTTGGGGTTTGCGTCATAAACCCTGTACCTTGGAACCTTGCTGAACTTGACTTCAAGCTTCAGGCCTACATACGCATTATAATATCTAGCTTCTTGGATCGTACATTGGAATAAATCTGTTTAACCTCCTTGCTGGTATGTCTACCTGGCAGACCTCCAGTGCACTATGCTACCCTCTTAAGCAGCTAATCATTATGTGGCAACGCACAAGAACTGATCTTGGTATTATTTTAGCTGAAAGAGCGTGCGCCATAAATCACACGGCCATAGCAGGTTCCAGAGTCTTTATGCTTTAAACAACGCAAGTATAGTTCACGCTCGACCATCCTTTCTTGACAAGTTGGTTGTACTATTTCATATACAACTGCTGTAATGCTGTAATGAACGCCCGGTACGACGTGATAGGTCAGCGTAGTTATGGCTTAGGTTAACAAAGAATAACCTTTAGGCGCGCCTAACCATCGGCGTAGGTTACATCATGGCTTGAAAACCCCTCTCTTTTCTGTCGACGTCATAGTTGCCCTGCATCGACGCCCAGGAACCGTAGCTATATCCATATAAGGATGTCAGCTAGGTAAGCCCTTATAGCATTGTATCATTGTGCTGCAGCTGGTGGTTGAGCATCGCCTGCTAAGAAGTTGCCAGCTGACCATAAGGGCCTGCCGTGCACAGGGTGGACGGTGCGGCATCATGTCGAACCATTATTGTTACGCAGCAGTGTCCTTCGGGGATGCGCAAGCGCGATGTTTGGTGAGTCGCGAGGAGAATTCTAACGTCTATGCAAGACGTCTCCAGCTGAACCAGTTAGATGTGCATGCGCAGGCGGATTGACCAATTTCATTTATTGCGGAAAGTTGGCAGCGGGTATGCCAGCACAGTGTACTTGGGCACTTGTCGCACAACTGGAAACCAAGTCGCGGTGAAACTCTATCACAAGAATAAGCTATCCGAACTTAATCATTATCAAGTGGCGCGTGAGATTACTATCCATAGCGGCCTTGATCACAAGCATATTATCCAGCTGGTAAGAACGGGATAAGCACTGGTAATCAGGCATGTGCCGCTCTACTGACCGCCTTGTTCCTGCGATGCATAGTGGGCGGCCTTTGAGGACCAGTATGGTATCTACCTTGTGTTTGAGTACGCAAGCAAGGTACGCGCGCCTCCCTTGTTATCCTCCACACCCGGACGGTCGACGAGCTGCCTGCTTCTTCCCTTGGTTTCTTACGGTTTCCCTCCATCGGGCAGGGCGATGTTTTCACTGAGGTGGAGCGCCGAGGTGGGCAACTCAATGAAGCAGAATCCGTGCGACAGGTGCGATCTAGAGAGATCTTCCCCTCATCCGAGGTGGAGAGAGAACGTGGTGCGTTAATCAGTCGCTGGCATGACCCGAACTAGCCCCCGACGTACGCGTGGATGCACAGGTGATATACCCTTTCCTCAGCGCGCTGGACTACCTCCACAGCAACTACATCATCCATCGCGATATTAAGCCGGAAAATCTCTTATTTACGGCCACTGGCGTCCTCAAAGTTGGAGGTCAGCAGTGCGGGTTATGGCTGGGTGTTGCTGGCACGGGTGGGCGTGGGTATGGAATGGATGGGAGGGCGATGTAAGGTCGATCCTTCCATTCAGGGGCCTGTCCCAATGGGGGCGGCACGGCGGGATGCCCACATGCCAGGCTCCAACATATGCACAGATCAACGACCGTGGCTTGTCCGTTCAAGCATCATAAGTGTTACCCTGACACACAGGAGCCTGCGGCGCATCCATACGCTACCGTCCTGATGCAGTGCGGTCACGCCTTGGTCACTGCGGTCACGTCGTCTGCGTTCAGCGTGTTGTCGATCCCATGAAGATACCTCCCTCGTATCGCCGTAGTGTGTTCTGCCCTCCTTGTGGCCTGGCCGGGGCGTACGGCCCATTTACTACTGTGCTGCATCTGCTTCCGCACTGCCCCGGCCCAGATTTCGGGTTGTCCATCAACTTCAGCCAGGAGCGACCCGTCACCCGGGTGGGCACCCTGGACTACATGGCGCCCGAGGTGGTGGTGTGTCCGGATAAGCACCGGCCGCAGGATCACAAGGAGCTGAAGCACCTGCATTACACACCGTTGGTAGACGCCTGGGCGGTGGGGGTACTAGCCTACGAACTGATTGTGGGGCGGCCGCCTTTCGACAAGGTGCGGAGCGGCCAAGGCGTCGGCAGGCTGTACGTTTGACATCTGGAGTGTTTTTTTTATGAATACTGGGCTACTCTTTCGGGATGGCAGCTGCGTCTTGCTGGGCTTCGGGGCCTGGTGCAGTGGGCGCTGCGGGCAGACTGCAGATTTATGGATGCCATGCAGCAGAGGGCATGATGTAGTACAGCAAAATAGTAATATGCTTGGTGTCGCATTGCACACACAACACACACACATGACCGGTATGGGCATTCAAGCGTCCGTTAACCATCCGCCTCGTGTATGTGCAGGGGCAGAAGAAGGCGACCATCCACGAGATTCTGAACGGGGAGCCCTTCATTCCGCCCTGGTTGTCGGAAGGCGCTGTCCACTTCATCAAGTGGGCTCTCACGAAGGAAGTGAGCAAGCGGCCCTCGGTGCAGCAGCTCTCGGAGCATCCCTGGATCACCAGCCACACGAAACAAGCGGTGCTGGCGACAGCGAGGCGACAGCTGATCAAGACAGGTGGGGGATGTATGCAGCCTCGGGTTCCCGCGCACGTGGACCTGGAGTTGAAGCGATGTGACGAGCGAATTCACTTCTTACATGCCTGGGGTGTGCATCCCTTAACGACCACATGGGGGAGGCAGCATCACGGCTTTGAGGCTCACCTGAGAAGATGCGTATAAACTTAACAGTATAGCTTTTGTCAGGGAGAGCTTAAGTGGCTGTGGCTGTGGGGAGAGTGCTGGACGCCCCAGGATCATTGATCCCCCTGGCATACGGCTGCACCATTCGCCAATCCGCTTCCCTTCCCCCCGTCGTCGCCTTGCAGACTCGTTCGTAGAGCCCCGGCAGCTGGGCTTCCGCGGGAGCAACATGCCCGTAGAGCCCCCCAGCACGAGCAGCAAGGAGCCGCCACGGACACTGCAGGTTGCGTCCGTGTCCCAGGGCGGCCGCCAGCTGGGCCACTCTAACTCCATGTCCGCAGTAGACGGCATGCGCTATCGCGATGTCAACATCGATAGCGTGACGAATGGCATGGCATCCACAGCGGCATCGGCCCTGAACGCTGTCAAACGCGTCTCCGATGGTGACGGCACCACGGGCGGACGGCCGAGTGCCGCTGGCGGCCGAGTTAGCCGCGCGGGAACTGCCCGGAATAGCGGAGCTGGCGGGGCCCCAGCAAACCGCTCAGGAAACCTGAATGTAGCTGCTGCGGCGGCTGCCCTGGCTGCCGTGGCGTCAGATGAGATACCGAGAAATGGCCGCCCAATGAGCCGGGAGGAGCTTATGTCATCCCTTTCGGCGCCCATGGGAGGGAGGAGTTTACAGATGATGCGTTCGTTCACGGCTGGGCGGCCAAATCTGGTGGTGCAGTCGGCAGCGCAGCAAGGCATGCGTACAAGCAGCAGCGGCAGCGCGGGCGCTGCATCGTCAGCAGTCAGTGGGTCGGTGACCGCGCATGGTATGCGGGTACACCCGCCGACGATGTCGCCGCTGGCGCGCACCGCCAGCGCCGCCTCGCAGGACTGGGGCCAGCTGCACCAGTCCCCACCTCCCCTCCCGTTCAGCAACGCTACCGCCAGCGCTGATCTGGCATTGGAAATGAGCCGCGTGCACGTTGACGCCAGCACCTCCGTCGCTAGCTCTACTACCGCGCCCTACAGCCCCAAGCCGAACACTCCCCTGCGGCCCCAGCCGCCTCAGGCGCCCTCGCCCTCCGCCCGGGGTCTGAAGAGCGGCTCGCCCCTCATTCCAAGTCGCTTGTCGCAGTCCTTCACCAGCTCCATCTCACCGCTCGCAGCGGCAGCAGCGGCGGCAGCTGTCGCCGCTGCCGGGGGCGCGGCGCCAACGTCGCAGCACACGCCTAGCAGGCTTGGCCAGCTGTCGAGCTCAGGTGTTGCGAACTCGGAAGCAGTGGCCGCGGCCCCAGCGGCATCGAAGGCGCCAGGTGTGCCTGCACTGGATGCCGTCGCGGGTCAGGAGGTCAGAGAGGCGGTTGGCGCAGAGGGATGTTCCGGTTCACCCGTGGTGCCTTCGGTGTCGGCAGTCTCCAGCAAGGGGACTGCTTCCGGCAGCGAGGCCGCGCTCAGCGTGGTGGCCAGCAGTAGCAGCGACCAATCCAGCCCCTCGCCGGCGGTCCCGTCCTCTGTCAGCCCGCTGGAGCTTCTTGGCGAAAGGGGTGAGGCAGACGACCGCGATGCGGCCACCATGGAACGGAAAAGCCCGTCCAGGGGCCCTCGGTCTCTGTTCGGATCTTTCAAAAAGGTTTTCTCGTAACGTGGGTGATCAGATGGTACGGACGCTCGCAGCCGTGTCGACTGGCTGCCTTGCCGCAGGTTTAGCAGCAGCAGCAGCAGTGCACTGTTCAGAGGAGGCTCTTAAGACGCGGGCAGGGTTGATGTGAGTGTTTGACTAGGGCTTTGACGTTTCATTTGCGTGCTTCGCGAAGTGGGCCGCCTGGCCGCCAGGGTCACGCGCCGATAGCTGCAGCTCAGAGGGGTCGGCGGACAGTTCTGGTTGGGGCGGCGGGTACTGTTTGGGGAGCTCCTAATGCGATTACTCAGGGCGGGTCGCCCAGCTGGCGCGGAAGCGGTATCAGGAGGAGTACAGCGGTCTGCCGGCGTGGCACGTTTCGTCTTGTACCATGCTCTGCCTGGGGGCAGGGGTGCACATCTCGAGCAGGGCCAAGCCCTTTTATGCGGTACCTGGTTTTGTAAGAGCTAGATTGTGACTTTTTTCATTAACCTGTTTGGCTTTTCGCCAGGGAATTGTAGGTGCGTTCTGGTTGGCCTAAATTTGGCACTAAGAGTGTATATGACCGAAGCTTTCGGCAGTGATGTTGTCAGCAAACATTGCTCTGCGGCAGGTGATGTTGGTGATCGATAAGAAATGAAACGCGGTGCCACACTGCAAGAGTGCATGCGCGCCAAAGTAACCAGTGCCGGTACCAATCGGTTGGGCCACGTTCTCCTATCCGGTTAAAAAACGTGGGCGGCGTGAGCACGTATTAGACAAGCCTGGACTCCGGGACATTCTCTTTGCATATTGTGCGCATGTCCATGCGAACTTGCGTTTTGAGTCGCTGTGTGATAAGCAGGAGTGTGGATGAGCAGGAGTTTTGTTGTTAGTGCATCGTTCACAGGCAACACGTTGTCATATAGACGCTGTTGAGCAGAATTAAGGAGGACAAGCGGGCAGAATTTCTTCTTTCTGACTTTGCGACTGAACATGTAGGTAGGCATTATAACACGTGCTACAATGCTGTATTTTTGCGGATTTTGTGACCTTATGCTGCGCGACTTATGGTTGCGGTGCGCGGCACTGTGCTTAAGCAAATTGCACGGTGTCAACGCTTCACGGCCGTCACACCCCGGGGCCGAATAGGAGTTATGTCGCTGGCATACTATGGATGAACCTGCGTGGTGCATTGCAGCGCGTGGGAAGTAGTACGGCCACACCTTCGTTAAACTTTGTCTGTGCCACCAGCGCTCTGCGTAAGCACAAGCCGTAATTTTTATAAAAGAGCCTGCGTTGATCCTGGATTTTTAGTATGCATGTGCGGGTGGCGCGGAGCGGCAAGACGGTTATTTTGGATTCCCCCCGTGCCCTTACTCGGAGGAGGATGTAGCAAATAAAGCCGCAATCCCCTCTTCCCTGCGCGACTAATCGAGCAGTTGTTTTCCCTACTGCGTCGGGGTGCTGCACCTAGTTTTAAGAGGTGCTAAATGCTACATCGACCCGCATGCACCGCAAGTATTTATCCTTAACTCCTTAACTATTTGACGCTGCATCTTTGCTACCTATGTTGTAACGCGGTTCGAAACGATCACGTCCATTTGCTTAATCTCAGGTACCACCACCGTTTTTGATCCGGATCTCAAAATTCACAATGATTCTGATTATTGTAAAGCGCACCAAATTCTTCTCAGCTTCAGGAAAGCAGGCGCACGTTGGATACATGGGCATCACGGGCTTGCAGGCACCGGGCCCCTGGTCCGGCGGTAGTGCTATAGTGCAACTATGCTGCTGCGCTGTTGGGCAAGTCTTCCACAGAGAGTTATGCCATACAAGGCCGGCAACACATCATAGCCGTGCGACTGTCCCTGGCTTTTCTAAATCTGCCCACTTAAGGATCAGGTGTCTATGCGTTTCTATCCTTGCATCCAAGCTGGAAGCGTCTGCTAGCTGACCCTGCAGATATTTACAAAGCCTGGGCAAGCCGGCCAAATAGAGCAGGAGCAAGCGCTGGTGCTAAGGCCTGCACCTGAATATGTCCAAATTTAAATGTTTTACAATCGACACTTGCGACGCCTTCGTATCGCCCGCCGTACGTGCTGTTTTGTCAAGGCTACAGTTATATGACGTGAGAGCCTCCTTTGCCTTAACTGGCTCGGCCCTAGTCATTCCTTCTGTTCCCTACCTACTGCCGTCAATCCTGCCTGCCTAAAATGACCCACCGTACCGCCCACTATCGCCTTCACAAGTGTGCGCCAATGCGCTCAACTCACCAGATGATACCAGGCAATGGCGATCATACCGCATCCTTCTGCCGTACACTCGCGCTTACTGCGTGCCACTCCTTTCCTTGCTCCGTACTACCTACTTCGTACTACAGCATACCTTTTCGTTCCAATAGCACAGCAGACTCCCTCGCAATTTCCAAGCTACGGTTTTCTCATCACTGCACGTGCATGCAACCCCCTCACGTGGGATTCAATATTCCTTCACTAATCTAAGATCTCCTCAATTTGAGCCCGCAGTCCCCCACTGTACTCTTTCCCATCTGCCCGTCTCTCTTCAGCACTGTAAGACGCGCTGTACAAATCAACTGCTAAAATGTCTTACATGTACGGCCCACAGATACCACCGTATCGATATGGGGATCTAGCCTGACTAGGGATTACGCTCAAAGGGGGAACTTCCGTTTCCTGTGGTCCTGGCAAGAAACAGCAAAAGGTTCCTTGTCCTTCCACCTTTCCGGTAGACCACCTGCTCTACTCCCACTCAGCACAGCCGAGGCTCAGCTATGACTACAGCATTTTTTCCTTTTGTACAGCAAACGCTCACAATTTCCCAATCAGAGAACTTAGGGAACTCCAGCAGCAGCCGGGCCGCTTATACCGCCTGCACACGCAGTTCAACAAAAGCCCTAGAGCGAAAGAAGCAAGAAGCCAAAGACGACGTCCTCGTCCGAGATTTCGCCAACGCCGGTAGGTAGTTGACAACCACGCCCAGGTTGTGTTCATTCAGGTTCGAGTTCTAGCCATATAACTACAGCTGCAGCGGGAGCATGACACACAGTTCCCACACAAGCATCGTAAAAAATTGTGCCAGTCATAAGAGTTAAGTTGGTCCAACGTCAGAGTTAGTCACGTCGGTCTCATGACGGAGACCATTAACAGCTCTACAAATCAATATTCTGCACCAGCTCCACACAGCCGGTGCCAAGCTCCACGACCCGTCCAACGCACAAGCGGGCAGCAGGCGACTTGAGGTCATCCATGGCACCTTTCAGCGTGGCATCCGTCAGGAAATGGGCCGCCGTCTCGAACGACATCTTGAGGAACGGAGAAACACTCGACTCGATGCCAACGCGGTTGCACGCCCGGTAGCCGCCCTGTTTCAAAATTCCACGCAGGGAAAGGTATCAGCCGCAGCATTTTGAGACTCATTAAGAGTCGTCCCCCGGTGGAATGGCGTCCCCCGGTGGAATCAGCAACCAAGGACATAAAGGACATAGAAGCGACACCTTCAGCGAGCATGGCCACTCCAACTGACCTGGTGGGTCATGAAATCTGCAATTAAACTGAGGTGCCGCGGGTCCACACCGATGCCGTACGCGCTAAAGACAGACTGCGCCTCACGCATGATGGTTGCACGGGCCGCCTCAACTCCGAACGTGGTCAGCATGGCATACACGTCATTAGTGGTGACCGCGTTGACGTCAGCAATGTCCGAGTGAATCCACGCTCCCTCGAAGTTGACGCCATCGGTCTGCACCTTGGCCTGCTCCTTACCTTGACCCTCCACAACGTAGACCTTTTCAATACCGGGCGTTGACCGGACGAGTGTCATTGCAGCGACCCGCTCGACAATTTCCAACATAAGCAGCTTTGGGCTGCTCAGCGGCAGGGTGACAGTCAGGCTGCATGTGTGGCGATCGTAGTCCACGTCGGGATCCAGGCTGGCAGAGTCATCGGCGGTGCCCTCAGCTTTCCGGCCACGAACCTCGCCAAGCTCCAGGTCCTGCATTTTCAGATCGGACAAGTGGTGTTTGCACATTGCTGGACAGTGGATCGTTAAGGGCCGTCAGATAGTGGTGCATGAAGGTTGTCCTTCAGGATTCAGGAACATTACGTGGTTGGTCATCTTCCTCGGCCCGTTCCGAAGCACTGAACTGAGAGCCGCTGCAGCACTGAGGGGTCGGAGTGGTGCATGATCAGTGTTCTCAACACAGATTGCTTTCAGAACAGGTCTGTGTGGTGTAATCATCTTCGTCATCCCCCTCGATGCCTTGCGGTCGCTTAGCAGTGCGAAGCTCGGCCGTTTTTGTCTGGAAATAGGATCTACGTCACGAGAACGTGAGTTGGTCATTGCGTTTCCGCCAGCTATCATGTCATGGCAGGGCATCGCGGCTCAACACGGTTGAACTTCCGGTCATTAGCACAAGCCTTGTCGATGAAATGTTGCTTCAACACATACCCTGCCGGCACTTCGCCCCGGAGCTCGCTCGTCGTCATCATCCACATCTTCATCGTCATCATCCAAGGCCTCCAGACCCCGTCGTTCCGTTTCTTTGCGCGCTTGCGCAGCGGCCAGCTCATCCTCATCATCACCGGCATCATATGTGGCCGCCTCGCCTCGGCCACCCCGAAACCTGTCGAGATACAGCAGGGAAGGCCATATTCGCTCTAAGACCGCGAAGTTATGATCAGGTATTTGGAAACCTTTCTCGCACCTCAGCTTTCCATCGCGGAGCTCCTCGTCCTCTTCGGCATCCTCAAAGTTATCAGCCTTCTCACTCTTTTTCGCCCTCTTCGCGGCAGAACGGTTGCTGCCGCCGGCTTCCCCCTCGCCACCCTCCTCTCCTGTACATTAGAGAAAACGAGAATGTACAGAACCCTATTAGAACTCGATTAACAACGCAGGGCACCACGTGAATTGTGGTGAAAATATCAGATGAAAAACAAGATGATGGCTCTGTCGCTTTTAGACGTGGAACTCAGTCAATCATGTCTTGTAGGAAATGTTGCCGAGCACTTGTCACAAAAACCCCAAACCGTAAAACACGGGGCTCCCGCGCGTCAGGACGGCTTGCTGATATAGCGGTCATGTGGCTGCTACGGTGGGATGCCAGGACGCGACCCAAAGCGCCCAGACCACCAAACGGGAGTCACGCACGTGCACGTGTCGCGCACGCGTGCGTTATCGAGCACTGCAAGTCCGAAGGCAAGCAGAGGTTTCGAATGGCACCGCATTGCCGTCTAATTTGCAGCTGCAGACGTTCCGCATTGAGATGCTATTCCAGGCGCATCTGTCAGGACCTTGGAATGGTGTCAGCACCGGTATGTGCTCAGATATTGTCAGGTGAAGGTCATGATTGGGTCATCCTCCAGATGCTCAAAAGACCTGTCTTCGTCGGATACATCGACAGGAAGCTGTAGCCGCGTCATTATCACACGGCTCCGTGAACAGATGGAGCGTGGCCGCGTGGTCTTTTCGCGGCGAAGTGAATTGCTCTAGGCATCACGCGGCATCCCCCCAGTCACGGTAATGGACAGGCGAATGTTTGACCGTGTGCCACAGCAATAACTGATACCATAATGGATATCCCAAGCTAGGCCGTTACTAATCCGTAAAATGGACCGAGTGGATAAGGAGACGGTGCGCATTATAGCCGCCCTAGAAACACGAAGACGCCGCGAAAGGCTTCTGCCAGCGTGCTCTTAAGACTGCAGAACATTGCTCTAGGCATCACGCGGCATCCCCCCAGTCACGGTAATGGACAGGCGAATGTTTGACCGTGTGCCACAGCAATAACACAGCAAAATGGATATCCCAACCTACACCGTTACCTGACCCTGAACTCTCTTAGGACACACCTGCGTTGCCGCCCGCCGCAGTTGCCTCTCCGTCTTGCACAGTGGAAACGTCTACCTGGCCGATGCCCACGCCTACCGTGCGTCGCGTCTCCTTCTCCACCTCAAACTGCAATCGCTTGGAGAAGAGGCCCCGGAACACCCTAACGAGCTCCACAAAGCTGAGTGCGGTCTCTGGCGGGTACTGCGACGGGCTGTGAAAGAACACACAAAACAAGGGACGCATGGATGCGTGCGTTAATGATCTGCGCCGCGACAAGGGAGATGCCGTTGGTGTGGATGAATGTGATACACCTTGTTGTTGCGTTACCCTCCAAAGCATTATGAGTACTGTTGACTACAAATTCTTCATATGCGCGGCTGCCTTTGCAACAAAGGACAAACCACACAGTACGAGGGAAAGCGTTCAGCCCGAGTATTCGTAAAGACTCGTGCGCTGTGCAACCTTAATACGTTTTTCACCTAAATTAAGCTGCACCGACCAGCCGCGTTTTTCAAGACACCTACCTGAAGAAATGCAAGGTGACCCTGTAGACGCGGCCATAGCCCCCTCCCAAGGCCGGCACATGCGCCACAGGCCTTTCCTCCACTGTGATGCCCGAAAGGCACTCCGCCAGCCGCAGACGTCGCATGCGATTGGCCAGCACCTGAGCCTCCGCAGCTGCCATGCCGCGCCGCACAGGCAGCGTCATGACGGGCGTCTTGATGCGCTTGGCAGCCGTCATGAGGATTTCACGCAGGCGAGGAATACCCAGCGTCACATTGGCCTCACCACGACCCGCCATGTGGAACGTGTTCAGTGTCATCTGCGTGCTGGGCTCACCTGCGCGTAGGGCAGATTTCCCCCACTTGTCATTGAAAGGGATTTGTTTGGGATTTACACCGTCCACCCTAAGTACGGTCTGGCTAAGTGAAACGAGTGCGTTACATGGCGGACTGCTCGCAAGCATCAGGCCGAAACGCACGCGCAACAGCAGTTTTGCCAGTTGCAAGATGATATCAGGAATTTAAGGACGGAGCTGCGTTCCCCCACACACCTATGGACTGCGCCGCCAGCACCCCGACCGCCTCTCCGGCAGCGGCCAGCGACCGCATAAACTTGAGCATCATCAGCTGGGAAAACGTAGCGCCGTCCACTCGCCCTGGGAGGATGTTGGGTGCTTTCGCCTGGTGCTGCTTGTCCCTTTTCGACTTTGTAGCTGATGGGCAGAGGGATCAGGGACTGGAAATATCAACGAATGGGATGGAGGATAAGACAAGGGACTGGCAACAGTAAGCCTTCCGCCATACTTAGGGAAACCCCAAGAAGAACGAAATTGCGGTTATCTATGAGCCTCGGTTCGCAAGCGAACTTAATTCCTTGTTCGAGATTAATAATATAATCTAGAAGGCTATCACGGACTGGAAGACGCCGAGATACGACCCACCTGACTTAACGTCCGCCGCCAGCAGGTCGCTTCCAGCATTAGCTCGCATAAAGGCCTGCAGAGCGTCCGCGAAAGCTTCACTTGACGCCCCTACCACAGTAGGCGGGTGCAGCGCGCTGATGGGCATGCCGTCAAGCAGCGCCGCTGCGCGCTTCCGCGATTCAGCGGCAGCCTCAGCCTGCCCCTCCTTCTCCTGCTGCGACGCCTTTTCCAGCAGCTTCCCACGTTTCTCCAGGGCAGCAGCCACCTTGGCCTCTCGCTCCGTTAGGCAGGCCACCTGAAACGAAATTCGGAAACGAAGTGAGGCAGAAGCATAGTCGGCCGTCAGCAACTTACAGGGGTTTACGCATTAAACTGGGTATGCACTCGACAGCACGGTGATGTTGCTATAATGCATACAACACAGCAATTCCTTCCTATCGCGAGGCTATTGCCATCTCCAGGTGGTTCCAACAACTTCGTCACACCTTGCTGGCTGTCATTGCTGTATCCTGATCAACCTGCTGCACAAAGCGCTCTGCGTTGCGCGCCAAGAAGCCGAACTGCAGCATGTACGACACGTTCATGACGTCCAGGCCATCCTCCCCGTACGCTAACTGCACAATCGAGGCGTCGCAGTTGTCTCGCACAGTGCCGTCGTAGTGTACGCGCAAGGACTCGAGATTCTTAATCAAACACCTGCGGTCCGCAGTCCGACAGCAGAGGCCTTAACAGTATTCATTCGAACCAAGATGAAAGTGCCTCTGGTGTAGTATGGGCAATAAATAAAGGTAGACACGGTCCACGAAAAGGGCAAAAAAGGCGTTTGCAAATTAAACGCCGAAAGGAAACTTTGCCAAGCGCCAATACCTTTACAAAAGCCACGCAAACGAGCATAATTGAGTGATTGCGCTCATAAGAATTGCTGCCGCATCGAGATGCTATTCCAGGCGCATCTGTCAGGACCTTGGAATGGTGTCAGCACCGGTATGTGCTCAGATATTGTCAGGTGAAGGTCATGATTGGGTCATCCTCCAGATGCTCAAAAGACCTGTCTTCGCCGGATACATCCTAGGCATCGACAGGAAGCTGTAGCAGCGTCATTATCACACGGCTCCGTGAACATATGGAGCGTGGCCGCGTGGTCTTTTCGCGGCAAAGAGAATTGCTCTAGGCATCACGCGGCATCCCCCCAGTCACGGTAATGGACAGGCGAATGTTTGACCGTGTGCCACAGCAATACCTCTGATACCATAATGGATATCCCAAGCTACGCCGTTACTAATCCGTAAAATGGACCGAGTGGATAAGGAGACGGTGCGCATTATAGCCGCCCTAGAAACACGAAGACGCCGCGAAAGGCTTCTGCCAGCGTGCTCTTAAGACTGCAGAACATTGCTCTAGGCATCACGCGGCATCCCCCCAGTCACGGTAATGGACAGGCGAATGTTTGACCGTGTGCCACAGCATCTCGAGATTTCCTTCTGCACCAGCCCCTCACCTCTGCAAGTAACCGGAACGCGACGTCTTCACAGCCGTATCGACAAGACCCTCACGACCCGCCATGCAGTGGAAGTAGTACTCCTGCAGGGCATCAGAAATTAACGTCAACGTGAACCGGAGCAAAAAAAGAGCGCCGTCCAAAGTTCCCTTTCGAGCAATCGCCATTTCAGGTCCTGATGTCAAACGCCACACGGATACCGAGTTCTGCATAAACGAACTGCTGAGCATTGGCCTCAGTCCCTTAGATGATGAAAATCAACGCCAATGGCTCAAGATAAGTTTAGGTCTGTTTTGGTGTTCATCATCGGCCGCTGCACAGCATGTTTTGCCCCGTCAGCCCCAAGTTGTCTACTTCGCTGCAACCCAAAGTCGCACACGTGAGCCTTGCATCGCACTCACAGGTCCATTATACACCCTTGCGCTTGCATAGACTACACATACACTACACACACATTACATACATTCATACAAAGCAGCCCAACTAAACCCTCTCCCAGCCCAATCAGCACCTAACGCACGCAAGAAAACTTTCCATGATCGAATCTAGGCTTGGGACTTTAATAGCCTTGCTGCCCACCCACCTGCGGCCTCAAGCCTGTCAGGAATCGGTCCCCGATGAAGCCGTTGGAGCGGCCGCCACCGTCATACGGCCTAAAGCATGGCAGCGTCTTGCCACTGGCCATGCGCGGCGGCCGCCTGCCCTCCAGTTCCTGCTGCCCCAGCAGGCAGGAGATCTGGCTGAAGTTCACCAGTGATCCCTTAGCGCCCGTAATCGTCATGAGGGACAGGCAGTTCTTCGGGAAGGCCTTGACCTGGCCATCTGGAAGGCACACCTTAATGACCTCCGAAGACAGCGCGTGCATGGCGCCCGAGCCCTTCATGTCGTGTGCCTTGCCCGTATCCCGGTTGGCACGGTAGCGCTCGCCCAGAGCCGCTGCCACCTGCACAGGCAACAAGGCAAACAACTGAGGAGGACTGATGCGAGGAGCGACCTGGGGAAAGCCCCTGAGGGGCTCTCTATGCACCGCGCCTTGAAAAGCATCAGATGGACCCGCATGTAGACAACTGAAGACGCCCAAACCGTCATCTGGTTGCCCGGGGCCCAAACCGCCATCTGCCCGCATTCTTCCTGCCAACCGCCAACCAGGTTGGTACCTTCATCTCATACTTGAGCAGCTCCCGGGCATGGCTGGTCGGGTCCGCAAGTATCTTCTCCGGAAGCTCCACACTGTCCTGGGCCTTGTCCTTGTCCCGCAGCAGACCCGAGCTTGCCTGCACTGCCCGCGCCTCAGCACTCGCCAGAAGCGCCTCCCGCTTGGCCTCCGATTTGGGCACTAGCAACAGGTCGTCCATACCTACAGATCATCCAGGGAATTGCATTTAGTGCCAAATTTTAAGACAGGATTGTCTTCCCTCGATGGTTACGATCCACGCCAAATCTGCACACTAGTTTATATCCCCGCTAAGATGTCCTAGATCTCGACAATGTTCAGCAACCAACATCATCCAACGCTGGTCAAGCGGTAAATAGCCTCGTAACCTACCGCAAGAGAAGCCGTGCCATTGCAGGTAGTACGTGAACAATCGGCTAAATGCCGACAGGATTTCACCGGCCGTAACGTTTCCATAAAGCTCCTGTACGGCGTGCACAAGGCCGTACTTTCCAAAGCTGTTCTTGTCCACCACGCCACGAACCATCGCTCCTCGGAAGAACTCGAGTTCATGCTCCATGCTGGTGTTGCCCCAGTAGCTCGCCGGCACCTTGCCACCCGCGGAAAAAGTGAGAGGCGGCAGGCCCCGGGTGAAGTACGACACCACCGTGCTAATCACCTGAAGGCGAGGTTATGGAGCACATAAATGGCATTAGCTCCCCAATCCCGCGGTGCTGTCAAGGGCATGAACCGCAGTATAAACAAAATTCAGAACGAATTCGTCGTCTGCAATTCGGTTCTGAATACGTCGGCAAGACACGAGGATCTTGGCAATTACAGGTCAATATTGTTATTATTTTGGGCTCACAACTACACACCGGCCCTGGGGGCCGTCAGCCGGCGTGTCCAGGTTTGCCGTACATTGCTGTACGCAGCACGAAGTCACATCCCGGCCACAAAGGCACGACATGCCGGCTTAAATGGCTGCGATAAAATCTGGCGAATAACTCGCATGGAGAGAACATGTCAAGAAATTGGTCAACCCGATGCATCCGAGTTTGACTCAGCGCTAACTTGCTAGCTTACCACTTTTACGTATCAACAAGGGATTGCAAAGTCGCACAGATAATAAGTCCTCGACGTACCTGCTTTCCGCTCCAGAGCCGCCGCGGCTTAAGCATGCAAGGAGGCTCGAGCTTAATATCTGCCGCTCGACCCAGCGACGTCACCGTCACCTTGGCGCGAGCTATGCCAGTTGCTTCAGCAGCTGCCGCCACTGCCGCGGCCGCCGCGTTTTTGGCATTCCAGGGCGTGCACGCCACGTACACGAGCTGCCGGTACTCGTCTGCCGTGAACCACGTGCCGCGCTTCGTAATCAGCGTGCCCGATCCCACATGATCCTGGATGAGACCTCGAATGGGCTTGCCATCCGTTGGGACGATGTACTGTTGATCAGCGTGCACAATCACATAGCCCTCTGAGCGGCCCAGCTGGTCCTGCGGGCGAAGAAGTACACAAGGCAACGATAAAGAAGGCGGTCGCGAATGAATGCAACAGCTTAACAAGCGCGCATCATGAGCATGTATCAGTATGAACAAAGAACAAGGCGTCTTGCATCAGATGACGCACCTGAGGAGAAGTAGACGCACCTGAGGAAGGTGAAGGTTGATCTCGTCGCCGTCAAAGTCGGCATTAAAGGTAGAGCAGTTGGCGTAGTGCATGCGGATGGTCCGCTCGCCCTTGAGCACGCGGGCCCGGTGCGCCATCAGACCTGGAGCGATACGCAAAAGAAATTATTGGTATTGGCCATTCGTATTACACAATAGCCTCAAGAACAGTAGCGTCTACCCTTCACAGGTCGCTCACCCGGCTTGTGGAGTGTGGGCTGGCGGTTGGTGAGCATTAGGTCCCCATCGTGAAGGTGGCGGTAAACTATGTAGTTGCCGGGCAGCGAGGAGCAGCCGCCATACGTCACAGCCGCTTGCCCGCAGGCGGCACCGCCCCCTAATCTGGTGGACAGAGGCGCGGTCCGGCCCAAGACCGCCGTATTCGACAGCAACTGCTTAGCCAGTGCTTGGCGGCGCTGCACAGGTGGTGTGAAGCGGCCAAGGGGTCCAACGAATGTGAACAAAACACCGTAACACCTACCTACCGGTTCGCGAACCCTAGGTCTGAATTACAGGACGTAACCTTTCGAGACGCGAGTACAACGTACATGCGCAGGACCCACTCAACCTTTTGCATCTCGCAAACCCCTTACAATCCCCTTTTTGAACAGGTTACCCAGAGGACTCATCCTACCTGCAGCGGCATATTCCCCAGGGAAATCATGCGCCCTGAGGAGACCTCCTCGACGGCCACCGCCCCCGGGTGCGCCTCGGCCCCCACAATGACGGCTGCCCGCAGCCGCTCCACGTTCAGCGGAGTGACACGCTCGGGAAACGACAACCGTTTGGCGAAGTAGGGCGGCACGCCAATTTCACCTTTGCGTCATTGCGTTTTGACGTGAACGCAAGAAAAATCGGAGGGCAAACCATGTATAAATAAGCATAAGACGAAGGCAATAGACCAGCGTTCCAGAAAGGCACAGTACCGACAGAGGCACGAAAACAGAGAAGTGTAAACGACGTGCAAGAAGGCGGACTAATGCAATGCCATGCCGAGCATCCACATTCACGACCTGACCAATCCGGCGGTTATTGCTACCAAATTCACTTCCTCCGCCGTCCCTGCACACCCACCCGGACCTGCCCAGACGAGCCAAACACACCCGACGGGGTGCGACGGGGCCTACCTGCGCCGATATATGGATCCGGTGAGATGACTGAGCGCGCTGCAAAGTTCACGCGTTTGCCCATCATGTTCTTCCGAAATAGGCCCTCCTTCTTCTCCAAAGACTGCCGAATGCCCGGCACGTTGGCGCCCTTGCTCTCCGCCGTCGTCAAGTCCATGAGCGTGCAAACGTGGTCTTGAAGCTGCAGCCATATTGCCACACGCCGCGATAGGTCCAATGCGGCCACCTGCTCAGGATTTGCACCAGTGGCGTTGGTGCCCTGTCGTGTGGCTTCCGTCGCAGATGGCGCAGAAGTCAGGTCCAGACAGGAGCTGATAATCTTGGACAAGGAGACGTTGTGGGCGTGCTCAAACCTGCAGATCGAAAGCGACCGCCGGAATGATGGGAAGTGGCGGGGGCGCGGAGTTGGAATCGGCTAACCCTAAGATACGCCCGCCAAATCGTAAGCCTAAAAACGCTACTACTATGTAACGCGGTCTCAGCTGCTATCGGATGCCGGACGAGATAGCCAGGTATACAGGATGCTTCCGTGCTTACACCACGTAGAAGGCACATAACGAGGAGCATACAAGCAGATACAGGCAATGCGCACCTAGACACACGCGACTCACAGCTACTCACAGCTCTTCGCCGACCTTGGACGGCGGCCGGAACTTGTTTGGCGGGACAGCGATGACCCGCAGAAAGAACATGCGGTAGGCCTGGCGGGCCTCCGCCTCCGTCATCAGCCGGGAACCTACGCGCTTCCCCGGCGTGGGAGCCACATGGGCACTGTAGATGAGCGAGAGCACGGGCCATTCGTTCTGCCACAGCAAGCGCAGATGCTCCTCCACCTCCAACGGAGTCATGTACTTGGTGGCCACGTCTCTGGAAAAGCGCGTTTGAGGCGTTGGGACATTGCCCAAATGGTAGATTGTCATTAGGAAGTAGCTTTTAATGCGGAGGGATGTGTGTAGGTGGTCCCGGAGGTTGCGTCACAGAAAAAGCAGTCAACCAGTGTAGATGTAGTGACCATGTAGTTGCACTGACGACACCAACAAGCCCTCCCTGTGAACTGAGGCGGATTGGCAATTGATGTGGCGGTCACCGCAACAATGGAACAACCCAAACGGCATCGTCCCAGCCGCACGATATAGCCCACCGGTGGGCCACTTACATTGTGGGCTGCACTCCAGGACCCTTCGTGCCTCCTTTGCCCTTACGGCCCGTCCCTGCGATCAGTTCCTTGCCGTCGACCGCAGCGCCCTTGCCGTCTTCTGCCGCATAGTCTCCACCACCACCACCACTACCACCGCGCTCAACCTCGTCGTATTCTTCCTCGTCTTGGTCTCGTGGCTCCCGCTTGGTGCGCTTCTTGCCGTCAACATCGATAGCCTTATCATCCTCAAAGTCAGCCACGCTACCGTACGCTCCCGCGTCCTCCGGTACCTTTTTCTCCGCCTCCTCGTCGTCCGAGTCGCCGTCGGTGGTCCGAGCCCGCTTCAGGTTTGTCGACTTCTTAACCAGTTCTGACTTGAGCTGGCGCTCGAGTTGCCCGACGACCTGCAGCAGAACACAAATGACAGTTACAGGGTGGCGCGCGGAGACGCATGAAAGCGCACAATAACAATTGGGTGGCTTCATACCCCAATAATAATAATAATAAATAGTAATAATGATAATGCCAAACTCCCAGCAGCACCTACGTCGTCCATTACGTTGTGCAAGCTGACTCCCCCTTGGGCATTCTCCAGGAGCGCCTTGCGGCTGCTCCACACGCAAAAGAGCTTCATGGCGCCCTGCTTCTTGACGTCCGGATTGTGGACCTTGCAGTTCTGGCAGCGTTTGCTGTTCATCTTGGACAGCAACTCGGAAATTGTATCCTGGGAGGGAGGACTGACTGTTGGACGGTTTTTAGGAGAATATGCCGCAGGAGAAACGCACTCGCACTCATTACATTTGCCAGACAGGAGAAGATGCAGTCACAATGGCCACGACTGACCTAGAAAGACACAACATGAAAACCGATTAGCACCACTCTTTCAGCAGAAGATTTCAGACAGGACTGTGACGAGGATCTTGGCAATTACAGGTCATTATTATTATTTTGGGCTCACAACTACACACCGGCCCTGGGGGCCGTCAGCCGGCGTGTCCAGGTTTGCCGTACATTGCTGTACGCAGCACGAAGTCACATCCCGGCCACATAGGCACGACATGCCGGCTTAAATGGCTGCGGTAAACCGCCATACTAGGTACATATAAAAAGAGTCGTGAGGCCCCTGTCGTTAACAAGTATGGTAAGTCTGCCGCGCGAATGCCCACATCACTCAATTCATCAATCCTCCGCAAGGATTACGTGGTGAACCCATTTCTGTGCCTCACCCAAGCACCACCCAACATAGCCCCCTAGCCCGTGCTTCCTTACCCGCATAGCTTCCAACGAGTGCTGTGTAATATGACGCGCGGCAGGCTTGGTCACAGGCTTCAATGAAGCCAGCTTTGCTTGCTGCTTCTCAGGATCGGCCGACGACATGAATTCGGCAAGCTCCTTCGACTGCAAGACGGGACATGAATCACCGGTAAGGGGAATGGCACCTAATAGACCGCATTACAGCACGAAGCAGGCATCAACAGTGCTCAGTACGTCGTCGCATCCCACCGCCAAACGCCAACCGCCAGCCAACAAACGACCGAAGGACGCGGAAGGGCACTACCTAGGGCCGGCAACCCCAAACAGACAATGCACCAGCCAACGGGTGGAGCATCCTCCACCCCCTCCCTCCCCTCTCCCCCTTCAGCAGCTCACCTTGGACACCAGGTCGGTGTTGATCTCCACGGCGTCCACCAGATCACCGACAGCCAGCCGTTGCAGTTTGGCCTTGTAAACTTCAACCTACACATGGACGCAAGACCGTACATTCAGACTGAACCACTGCGCAGTTGCTTCGATGTAGCAAGGCGGGGCTTGTGTCCGTGGAGGTCAACCAATAGGTGACGGAAGCAGTAGCTTCGCATTATCGCTGCTGACAACGTATACATGGGATGCAGGGCCCTTCTCGCCCTAACGTCGTTCGATGTAGTCAAATAACACCAGAATATTCCCATTGCGAGGACATTACATTCACATTGGATGTGCAAGGAGATGTGCAGCTGGCAGGTTGGACCATCACTGGAGAAGGAGAAGGAAAGCAGGACGCAGAAAAGGGAAACCCACTTAAGCATGTTCGAGGGATCACACGTGCCTTACCGTTTGCTGGGCCAGCTTTAACCTATGGCATTGAAAACACGTACACCGCATGAGCTTGTACAGCACCCTGCGCGTAGATGTTTACGCAAAAGAGTTTCAGACACGCACATGAACAGAATATCTAGACGCCCTACTTAACCCTTGCTGTCGTCCGACCGGCAACCCTAATGCACCCCCTAAATGTCCAGAGCAGGGCAGGGGACGTGTCCCCTGGTGCCAGGAATGATGGCGCAAGGAATACCACGGTGGAACTTTGCCCAAACTCCATCTGGTGTTTCACAAGCTAAGCAGTTGACCCACACCTACTTAAACACCATCGGGTTGTACACCGGCACTGGAAGCTCGATGTGGCCGAAATGCCCGGGGCACCTGTCGAAGCCCAGTTGGCACGTGCCACATCTGGACGCAGCCCCACGCCGGATTGCCGACAGGGGAACAAGAGGGACAAACGAGCGCCCAGCGTCATCAGCAAATAGCGCTATAAAGGCGAAAGAAAAACCCTTATCAACACAACCGACCGAGAAGATTTGAGTTAGCACAACTTCCTTCTCCTGATGGTACCACAATTTGCTGGGCACCAATAGGCTTGCAACACATAGCACCCATTAAGGCATGCTCACACATGCCGCCAGGTAGAAGAAGTGGGAGCCTGCTAACCGAGCCCCGGGGTGCCGCAGCTCCTCACCTGTCCCGGACGTCGACGGGACCCATACGCGGGTCGTACAACCCGTCCGCCACAGCAACTTTCATGTTGTCGAAGATAATCGGGCTGGTAATCTTGACAACGCTGAGCTTGCGCACCTAGAGAGAGAGCCGGAACCGTTCAAGGGATTACGGGTGTTCCTATGCTGGAGCTCCAGCCGCCGGCGGCGGCGTGGAGACAATCGGAAGAGTGCAGTGCTGAACTTTCACCCACCTCATCTTCCGTGTAAAACCCGAAACGCACAGCCGTGACCTGCCTCGTTGTCACCTCCTTCGCCGGGGCTGCCGCCATCTCTGCTTTGGCTTAAACGAGGGAGACCCGATAGAAGCGCTGGTGCGGCTTTCAGCCGCAGCAGAACGCCAATCGGAAGTCTGAACTTTTGTTATACAAAAACCAAATTAGTGTATGCGGGCGTTGAAGGTGCCCGCATTGCCTGTGCCACTGCTCGTGACTATAAAGGGCGATGATGAGCCACTGCCGAAGGAAAGCGTCATAAATCTCAGAGCAATTTACATCAGCATGCGAATGTAACAGCGCCATGAGGGCATTTGGTAGAGTAAAGACGGTTTGTCTTCTCCAGGGGGGGATCGCCCTCTGAGCAACGAGCGTTCTTGTCCCGGGGCTCCCCCCGATGTCTTTCTCTTTCTAGCTTGTCCCACTCTCATCTGTGGGCGATACAATGGTGAGCACAAATTTGTTAGCATTTTCTCTTTTGGTCGACTTTGTTTCACTGTACCTGGCCAGTCCGGCGGCCATGCTCCTCTCTCTATCCAGTTGTTAAGTACGCTATTTGTGCTATTTATCGTAGGCGCCAAAGGGCAAGAAGGTGGCCCCCACGCCGGCCGCCGCGAAGAAGGTGCGCTTGGCCCTTTTCGACAATTACTTGTTCTGTTTGTAGCTATTTGCAGCTAGTTATGGTCGCACACATGGCCAGATGTATCAGCTCTAGAGTTGCATTTTACAGTTGTGCCCATGTTGCAGGCGGCTGCCCCTGCCAAACAGACCAACCCGCTCTATGAGAAGCGCAGCAAATCCTTCGGTAGGTTACTTTTTGAGGGAAATGTCAGGTTGTTTGTCTGTGTCGTGCCTGTCGAGGTTTTTCTCAGCAATTGCGGAGGCAGTGCCGCCACTATGCTTGGCGGCGGCAGGTCGGGGCGGCATATCAGTGCATCGATGGAAAGCTGCCTGGACTTCTGGAGGCGGAGATGTAGCAAAAAAACTTGCGTGCGGGATACTTTGCAGCGGCGGTAGAGGCTGGGTTCAGCAGCGGCCACGGGGGGGAGCAACAGTTGAGGCGTGACTCCGTGTTTGCTGTGATCGGTATAGCTTCTCAGGGCGTCTGACATCAGCGGACAGCTGCGGAGAATGGGGGTTTTCAGCGGTCCGCTGCATGTCTTACTCCATACGAAGACTTCAACTGTCGCAACCATTTCTCAGCTGCAGTTGTTCCCCGGGTTGCTGTCCCGCAGGCCTGGGCGGTGCGCCCAAGCCGAAGCGGGACCTGCATCGCTTCGTGAAGTGGCCGCAGTACGTGCGCCTGCAGCGGCAGAAGCGCGTGTTGTCCATGCGTCTCAAGGTGCCGCCGGTTATCAACCAGTTCGTCACCCGTGCCCTGGACAAGAACGCGGCGGAGACCCTGTTCAAGCTGCTGATGAAGTACCGTCCAGAGGACAAGAAGCAGAAGGCCGAGCGTCTTAAGGCGGAGGCCGCTGCTCGTGAGGCTGGCAAGGAGGTAGGACAACCACACTGATGGTGTCCGCCATGTGGCGACTGATTAATTTTGCTGGTGTTGGGTGATCATCCTGATTCTTTTACTAGTTCTTGCGTAACCGGGATTCACCAAATACTCCTCATCTTGTTGCTTATTTCCGGCCCCCCAGCCTGAGAAGAAGAAGCCCGTTGTCGTCAAGTACGGTTTGAACCACATCACTACCCTGGTGGAGTCTGGCAAGGCGCAGATGGTGGTGATCGCCCATGATGTGGACCCTATTGAGCTGGTGTGCTGGCTTCCTGCCCTTTGCAAGAAGATGGGCGTCCCCTACGCCATCGTGAAGGTGTGGATTCTGGGCGCCACGGTTTGAGTCGAATAGTTTTTCGAGCACTCCCCCGGGACGGAGACGCATTCGCACCTTCGGGCTCGGGCTAGTGGCATGGTTTAGCGCCTTGCATATGTGTTTGAGTGGATCGCTGCCTGCGAATTGCAGGGCAAAGCCCGCCTGGGCACGGTGGTCCACAAGAAGACCGCTACGGCCCTGGCATTGACGTCGGTGAAGAACGAGGACCAGCGCGAGTTCGCCAAGCTGGTGGAAAGCTTCAAGAACCAGTACAACGAGGGCCCGCGCGTCAACTGGGGCGGGCACATCTTGGGCATGAAGAGCATGCACAAGCAGAAGAAGCGGGAGCGCGCTATTGCCAAGGAGCTGGCGCAGCGTGCGGCGGCTTAAACATCGCCCAACTAGATGGGGTTGTCCTCGCCCGTCAGATGGGGTTGTGCCGTGCAGCATGTGGCCCTTGCGGTTGCGGCTCTGTGGGTGTAAAGTGCCGAGAAAGAAGCCTCTCTTCTCCTTCCTTCTAGTCCAGAATAATTACAGTGACGCGGTTCTAGGGGTAAAGAGTTGGAATTTATGATGGTTTCCCTAGCGGTCCTATAAAACAAAATGCGCAGGGAAACCGCACGTCATTTCTCCCAAAGAATGTCTATGTGCCGGCCCAAATGGAAATACGGCGATTTGCCTGCTGACCTCGATCAAACCTCACTAGTTCAAATACCAGGCGGTTTCAAAGCATTTGTGCATCCCTATGGGGCGACCTAACAAAAGGGTGTCGCGGCCCGGATGAACCCCGCAGTGCCACGTGCAGCGCACGTAAGCACGGGCCAGCATGGCGACGACTAGAGGCGTAAGGCGTGACCTTGAAAAACGATCGGACTGCTATGTGTACGGAACGAGGAGCGCATATAATGCGGCCTATAAGCGCCAAAAAATATCTTCAGATTTACTGACCGAAATCATGCCGCAGCCGTAGAAACCGATTTGCCGACCTCTGGGTCAACTTCCGTACGAAGAGCTAGGACGACGATGTACGGTCGATTCTTTACTTTACGTTCCGATCTACGAGAATTCAAGAAACACTACGGATTACCTACTGCATGCATTAACATTATGGGTACATGCTTCCTTAAAGCGGTTCCGCATTAACCCCTTTCTACGACTTTTAGGAAGGAGCACACCAGCCGCTTCCGAAGCGTGCTTTTAAACCTAGTACCATACGATGGCCATGGACTTCAACTACTAAAATTGTCTTGTGTCGCACTTTCGGACTAAGGAGTTCGAAGGCACCGCCCCAAAATGTCTTCTTACCTTTGAGTAATAGACATAACTTTGCAGCTTGCGCATTTACATGTAACCCTGAGGCATTATCATCGCTGGCAATCCTAGAGGACAAGCCAAATGGACTACAATGGCACGGTGCATGCGACGCCGGCACAACTTCGGCTGCTCGAGATGCAGCAAGAGGAGGTGCAACAAAATGCAGCAAAAATTCAAGGCCTGTTTCAATACCTGGTGCGACCGCTTAGTTGGGCACTGCCTTATCCGTCAGTTCGGGTGGATACAACCAGTCGTCTCTTCCTGCGCAGAACTTCTGTGATGCAGCAGCTTTCGACCGTTGCCTTGGGCGATCGGTAAGACTAGTGTAGGGGAATGAAATGGGGGGGGTTACTGCGATAAGGAGGGAGGTTAAGGCGATAAGGAGGGATGGGGCAAGACAAGATGCACAGAACCGCAAGAGAACACGGAGCAGGTGGTGGGACGGGTTGGGATAGCTCAACCTGGCTTTTCACTCCTTGTACAAGGCCCATGTGGCTGTGCAAATTAGACAATGCACATTCCCGATGTTGCGTGGGTTTGCAAGTTAGGGGCACGGTCGCGACCTTCGAGGCTATTGTTATGGCGGCAGTGCGAGGTGCGGTGGTTGGAACCAAAAACGGTGGATGGGACGCGCAATGTGGGTGATTATCACAACAACTAGCGTCTTGAAACGCAAAAACTATCGTGTTCCTGCGAGAGCGCTATTATGACCACGGCTGCCCAGCGATGGCCAGAACAGCCCCGGGTCTTAAGGTTTTAGGGTGAGTGCTCACTGCATGTGAGGCCAACATCGCACCGATTCCAAATCGCCCCAAGGATGCCGCCGCCGCCAGGAAAGCCGCTAGGTGTGTACCAGCTGGATTACCCTCGCCAGCCCCTTTCATACGAAGACCTGCCACCCTACAGCAACCCCAAGCCTCTAGGTCGCGAGCCCCCTTTCCGGCTTAAAGTATAAGTTGCCCCTGGTGTATTTACCTCCCCCTACTCTGCGGCGCCCCGCCTTCTGCCCTCCGTCCCGCGGCGCAGGGCAAGAGCCCCGACTGCCTATCGCAGGCGCCTCATGGCGGACCAGCCCCCCGCAAGTACGCCACCATAACCACCACCAGCCACAACCGGAAGATGCGGCAACAGGAGGCCTCGCGGTCTGTGCTCCTGATGGCGCAGCGCAAAGAGCCCGCAGCGCTCACCGACGAGGAGACATTGGCACGGCTCAAAGACGTGAGCGTGGGGTGGCCGAGGCCGTGTGCCACCATCTCGGATGGCCGTGGCATGGTGCCGGCTGTCGCATAAGGCAGCCGCCACGCGCTTCGTGAAATCTGAACGGAAACTTCTTTAGCCTTTAGACACGTTACAGGGCCGGACGGGAAAGCGCCACGGGTTGCGGCGTGAGGGGAGGAAGAGCTTAGGGTAGCGGCATGGGGCCCAAGTTATAGCAGGGGCCTGCTCGTATAATGTGTGTGTATGTGTGTTACAACTGGATTCATGGTATATAGTACTGTCCCCTGACCACGTTGACAGAGATCCAGACCGGTGCTTCCACTGCTGGTCTCTGGCCTGAGCCCAGTTACGGAGCAATAATCAGCGCGCGCCGACTGGCGACTTCAAAACCCCTGTTGTTGTCGTCCTTGGGAGTGACTGTGCGGTCAGTAACTGCGGCCGCCCCAAAATGCCGCTCTACGGAAAGCGCATACAGCGCCGGCGTGCAGGTACACAGCAGGCGCTCAGCGGCTGAAGCCTCGCCGGCGGGATTTTGGTTCCTGTCACCATGCATGAAATCGGCCTCCAACGTGCATGTCGTATGCGTCTGGCTCGTCGCAGCTGGCCATATCCACGGAGGAGGCCCACCTTGCGTTCATGCCTATGCCGTTGTTGCATGGCACCCCCCTGCCTCCGTCCGCAGGTCTTCATCGCTTACTCGGACCCCATGTTGTACGCCCACACGGGCCGGCGCGAGATGAACATTGTGGGGTTTTGCCGGCTGATGCGTGACTGCCGGCTGCTTGACAACCGCCTAACGCTGGTAGCGGCGGACGTGATGTTCACCAGGGTGGAGGCGGGCGTGGACGACGAGGACGGCAACGGGGGGAGCACGCTGCTAGGGGTGGGTGGATGGGTTGGTGGATGAGCGTTACGGTCGCATGGTCAGTGGAGCCTGCGCGCCTGTCTCAGCATGTATGGATAGGCGGAGGATTCGAATGAGGGTGGTCATGAGAGATGGAGAGAGAGAGCGAAAGGGCTGTGTTGACGCTTACTGTGCAGACAGCAGCGCGCGCTGCATTGAAGGGGTGCGAAGTAGAGGGGCTGTGGGGTAGCGTCAGGCTGTTCCCGGTGTCCGCCCATCCGAGGTGCGGCCGCCACGAGGTGAGGACAATGTGAGGACAGTGCCCCTGGTGGTTGAACAGGTTGGTTGGAGATGGCCTAGCCGCGGTCAGTTCCACGGCGCCGTGTCCCCTTCCAGTTTTGGGCTTAGCTGCCTCAGCGCTTCCAGGTACCACACGAGCGTTTTGCTCCATCCCCTCTGCCCTCCCACACCCCCACCTGTCCCTCAGGACCTCCATGTCGACTTTGAGGAGTTCATGCGCTGTCTACGTGCTGTGGTGCGTGTCAAGTTCCCCCAGGCCACGGATCCCAAGGAAGCCATGCTGCTACTGGCACGCAAGTGGGTGCTGCCCTTCGCTCGGGACTCGGGCGCTGGCGGCGGTGTGGGCAGCTCCGTGGATGGGCTGTTCAGCCGCAGCACCATGAATCTGATCCGGAAGTACGACGGCCAGCTGAAGAAGCTGTTTGCCTGGTGAGCAAACCCCATCCCTGCCTGGAGGCCCGGAGGCAGGACGGACGGATAGGGTGGTTGTGCAGTAACAGTAACAGCAGCGGACCTGTACTGGGCATTGCCTCCGGTGTGACGGGAGAGTAGAAAGGCGATCTTGGGTTGAACGCGCAACGGCCAAAAGCCGTCAGGCGGTCTGTCCCACTGGTGGCTTTCCACACCGAAACAGGGTGGTCTTAGCACTTTGCCATTCTCAGCAATTTCGTATATCTTGCACTTCCGCCCCTTTCCAGTCCCCCTGCCCATTCTCCTCACGGGTTACCGCCCACGGGCCTCGGCCCCCATACCGCCCTCGCTCTGATCCCCTTCCTGCCTCTTCCCCTGGGCGGGCTCTCCCCGGGCCTGTTGTGTGTACGGCAGGTACTCGAGCATGGACGAGACCGATCCCGCCCGGGTCACGTGGTCCTGGGCACGTGAGCACGCGGGCGCCATCAACAGCGCCCAATTCGTGCTGATGCTGCTCAACTTCAATGTGTTGCCAGTGCTGCTGTCCAAGCACGCCGCGATTGAGGTCTTCATACGCTGCGAGGCAGCTAACGACGGCGACGAGCGCGCCAATGCCATGTTCTACCCCGCATTTCTGGAAACAATTGCAGAGGTGCGGAGAGGTGCAGGAGAGGGGCGGAGCGGTTGGAGGGAAACCATTCCTGCCGCCTGAGAGGCCACAGTGCCATGTCTTCCATCCCTCCCTCGCATCCATCCTAAGACCTCCTGCTCCCCGCTGTACCTAGGTGGCCCTGGAGGTGGGCAAGTACGCGGTGCCCCGAATTCGGGCGGCCACGTCGCCTGACGACTTCAAGGTGCTGCGCCGCTACGCGGACTGCTGTCCCCCCCCGCACGGACCCAAGTTGTTGGAGGTAGGGTCGGTTCGGGGTGGGGAAAGATGATGATAATTTTGACGAGGAGGGAAAGGATTGGTTGAGCTGGTGCAGCTCTGGGGGCTGCGTGCTGCGCTGTCATGGCTCCCTGATCCGGCTGCTGGATGCACTGCACTGCACTCATCGGGCTGACGGAATGCGGTCGCCCAGCCTCTCTCTATCTTTTCGCTATTGTCCCGCTGGATGCCTGAGCCTGCTGAAGTGCATCTGGCTATGTACCACTTCCCCTGCGCACCACCTCTGTCCGTGTCCCGGACGCTGCTCCCCCACTGCTCCCCCACACACGTCTCCACCGGGCGGCGCGGCCCTGGTGCCCACACACCGCCACCCCACACGCAGGTGTACCAGGAAGTCCTGGCCAGTCGCGGTCGCGATGCCAGCTCCCTGGACCAGCACGAGCTGTACGACGTTGAGGCAGCACGGCGACGCAACGAGCAGCAAGTTGCCTCCGCCCTGGAGCATCAAACGAAGACCTACGCCACCAGCGTCGTACAGAGGTAAGCAGTTGCCTGATAATGCTGCTAGCCGTTGCGTCACTGCCGCAGTCCGACAGTGATGTGGCCCCTGCGGCCCATTCAGTGGGGACGGCGCCTCCCGATAGCGACTGTGGAGAGGGTTTCGTGCGCACACAAGGCCTATGCTTCTTTGGACATTTTGGGGGTTTTGATCAGCATCATCAGCATCAGCATCGCCACCGCCATCATCAGCATCGTCGGTGAGGTCGGGTCTACCTGGTGGCCTCCTTCCTTCCGGTCATCACCGCGGCCGTGCTGGTAGCTTGCGGGGTCCGCACCACCCTGCTTGCATCCTCACGCGCCTCCTGCTGCCTGTGCATATATCGGGCTGTTGGGCGTGTTCTAGACGTGTCACGGCTGTCCCGTGCCGACGCCTCCGCCCGAGGCTCCGGACCGTAAGGCTGCACAGCGTTGCCGTAAGGCTGCGCATAGTCACTGGCACCGTCCGTGACGTGCTGTGCGGAGGTTCACCGACGGACCGCAGCAAGGGTGTACACATCTTCTCTTGGATACCGCTGACTTCCCGAAATCCGGCTACATTTCCTACATGATGCCAAGCTGCCAAGCTAATATATAGCAATGGTCTGCCAACATGAACGGACGGCTGCCTTTGCAGCAGAAGGATGCTGGCACAGAAGTCACGTCTTCTGATTGCCTGGATGTTTATTGCAGCTTTGCCGCAGTGTCCATATGCCTCCTGGTGCGGAAAGGCCGTCCATGCGGTCTGAAGGTGTGGGATTGGACTCCTGCGCAGGCGCGAGGGACTACGGCAGCGCTTCGCCCTCACTCGGCTCCGCAACTTCTACCGGGATGTGCGCACCTTCAACAACAATACCACCTGGCCGCCGGAGCGGGACCTGTCGCCCACCAGCCACCGCAACAACGCCCGGCCCGGCGGCGCTGGTGGCGATGGCGAAGGAGTCCATGTCGCCTTCTACGACAGCGAACGTGCCATCAAGACGCCCAGACCGGTGGTGGGTGATGGTGGCTGTCGTGATGTGATGTGCAGTTAGCTATGAGCGGAGTAGCGGGCTTGAACGCAAGGAGCTGAGAATCACCTGCCTGTGGCGTTGCAACACGATGGGAGCTGCTGGGGGCTGTATGATGTTATTCGCGATGATCATCACAGCCGCTATGTTGGGTGCGGCGAGGTGTCCAAAAGCCGAACGCTGTGTCGAACTCGTCCCTGCGGACCACCTGTTGGTTATTGAAAGAGTCATACAGCTCATTGCATCAGCGCCAGCAGCCCAGAGGCGGCAGCCGTCTTGCGGCTCCTCCCCCTCTTTGAGGAGTATCTCCTCCCACGGGCCCGGCTGCACACACCATCCCCCCCCATGTGCCCATGAGCCCCCGCCCAGTCTCCCCTCCTCTCACGCACCCGGGTCTACTCCACCCTCCCGCACCGCGACACCCGCCCCACAGTGGATCCCCGTGTGCAACGCGGGGGCCCGACGGAACCACCTCTCCACGGACCTTCCCACGCCATCGGGAGCCGCGGGCGGGACGGCACCGGCATTCAGCGGCGGTGGAGGCGGAGGCGGAAACTGCCTGCTGCTCGACACCACCCCATCCGCCCCCGCAGCGGCCCACGGCGTCAGGCACTCAGTCTTGTCCGGTGGAGGCGCCGCGGCCGCCGGCAATGCCAGGATGTCGGCACCCAATACCTTCTCGCCGACCACCGCAGCCGCCTATGGTTACATCCGCTCGCCAAAGCCCTACCAGCTCAAGGTCTCCATAGAGGACCGGGACGAGCATGAGGCAATCTTGGACCTCGCCGAGCGCCTGCCGTACATTTTCACGCAGTCTGAGGCAGCGGCGGCCTCGGCGCGCACCTCCGTCTCATCGGTCCGGCCGCTGGTGCTGCCCGTACCGATGAAACCACGCGCCGTCACGGCCCCCGCAGAGCTGAGCCGACGGCTCGCTAACGAGGGCAACGCGGCAGCATCGGAGCAGCAGCAGCAGCAGGCGGCAGGGGGGGGACAGGTACAGGGCGTCGGCGCCTCTGGCACTGCGCTGGTGGGTGAGGCGAGCAGCTCCACCGTATCCTCGAGGCCGCGACTCCCGCCGGTTCATCACCAGCTGCACCGCACGCAGGCGACGGCGGCGGCGCTGGCGATCCTCGCTGGCCAGCCTTCCCCCCCGCCATCATACAGCGTCGACGTGCACATCGCCACCATCCACCTGCCGCCAGCCCTCGGCGCCAGCACGTTGCACGCCGTGCCCTCCAACCCTTCCTTAGCAGCCTCACATTCGCAAATTAGCGGCCTTAGCTGTGGCGCTAGCGCCTACAGTCCCTGCAGCTCCCATCGCTTCAGCCCACACTCATCGCTGAGCCGCCGCCGCCAGGGCACCCGCAAGCGAGTCGATGCCGCCGGCCTGCCCGACCTGCAGCTACCTGCGGATAGCGGACCCGGCAGCGAGGTTGCGGCGGCGTTGGACGAACTGGATAAGTTTGACGATGCGCGGGCGCTTGTGGCAGCGTCTGCGGCAGTCGACGGTGTCGGCCGTGGTGGGATCTCGTCATTGCGGCATCAGGAGGAGGTGATGCTGCTTCCTTGAGCACCATGCTGCATTAGAGTGGAGCTGAATGGAGCTGTTCATAGGGGTTGTATTGGTTGCGGTAGTTGTGGTGATGAATGATCGGTGCCGCCCCAGTTCGGCACCTACCCAGGTGGTGGTGGTGCAGGTGGCCCAGTAGTTGGGGGATGGAGGAGGGTACAGGCAAACGTGCAGGGAATAGTGCAAGCCGGACGGGGCGTGTGGGCCGTTGCGTGGGTCTCCAAGAAGAAAGGCTATGGTTGTTCGCACATATATTACATATATCTTTAGAAGAGGCGCGCCAGCATAACTGCAAGTAAATATCATGCGCTAGGTAGCTGCTGCACAAGCATAGGGGCGCGGCCGGCGGGCAGCAGCGACGTGGACTCGTAGTAAGAGCCCACGAAGGGACCTGGGCTGTCTGGTGGCTCAACATCCTGGCACGGCGTGCTTTGGTGCTGCTCCTCCTGCATGCATGGCAGTGTACTGAAGTCAAGACATGCCCGGTCTTCGCAAAGACGGTTGCTTACGCGGGAAGGAGAGTATCACGGCTTTGAAACTCAATCTTCTCCGAACTCCACGCTTTGTGGCGGGTATTGCGATGCGGGTATGTACGCTGGCATTGAATTATAACGAGCTGCTGGCCACCACGGCAGTGGCGTGGGCGGCCGTACACAGGATGGCCTGTGTGGCGTCAAGTCAAAATATGCCGCCGGGGTCCGCTTGGTTGTATGTTGTTACAGGGTGGTTAACTTCGCCAGCGGCCCCCTTTCCCGGGGCAGTCCCTGCTCTCCCCTGCTAGAGGGGCACCCTAATCCGTCACCCCATCCGACTTCAGAATGTATTCGTTGAGTTCGGCAACTCACCACCAGCATCCAACCAAATCTAGCGGATCAACGGCGCATCAACTTAGTTCCTGGTCAGCTCGCAAGTTGATATTATCACGTCCTACACCGTCCATAAGATGGGGGGCCACCTCCCATTTCATCACTCCTCAAACACCCGAGGAGCCGGCAGGCGGATTTGAACCCGGGTCGACTGGGTCAACTGGGAGCAGAAGTCAGGCCTTAACCTCTGCCAGCCGCCTGCCTATTGTATGTATGTGTGGTGGTGGTTTGTTGGAGACGGTGTACAGCAGACCTACAGCTAAGCCGCATCCCGGGAATGCGGTGCAGATCTTTAGCTATAATGCGTTACTAAATATCTTGATGCGACAGGTACACCAGCTAGCTGCATTGCTTGTTATCACTGGTGTGACCAAGGTTTATTGGCCAGGAATGCAGCTGTCAACTTGGTCGGCTACCACAGGTCCTTAGGATCGGGGCCTTACGATACGACAGTATTGAGAGTTTGCTGCACATTGCTCAGTTTGGTTGTGTTGGGGTACTGCAAGTCAAACGAAACAAGCTTGTTTCGTTTGACCTGACGGGTTTCATGAGGCCCGGGGCGCAACCGCCCAGACGCTGCTGGATTATAATATGGCTAGCTAGCTAGCTAGGGGGTATGTCCGGTTCGTTCCAACGTGCGTGTGATCTCCTTCCGCCGCCTTCCGGGAGATAGACTTATGTGAGATAGGGCCGAACAGGTTGGAAATCTTCACGGAGAGGTGTTGGGGGCACTGGGGGGTTTGACCGGCACTCGGCATTCACTCCATTTACCGGCCAAGCACTGCTAAGGTTCACAGAAATGCGAGATCCCGAGGTTCATGACATGTGAAACGATTTTCACTATTCTCCGGTTTATGGTGAATAGTTTACCGAGCCCCTGCTGGTTGGCTGGATCACAACTTTGAGGAAGCGCTGCGAACTACGCAAGCATGCAGCCAGTCCTTGGCAGTCATGTTGGGGCTTTCGGCTGAGGGTCGGCTGAGGGGACGCAAGCACTAACGCCAAACCGCCTGGCCCACCTCCTCTCTTTCCGCATCCACACTCTTTTTGAAGGCATCGCATACTTGAGCAATCAATGCGATCAGTATCTAATTTTCAGCAAGGAAATGGTACAATCCCCTGCTCCATGCATTTAGCATACGACAGTCTTGTTTGCTGTAATGGGTGTGATGGCCGAAATCTGCCGCCCCCTCCCTGGCTTCCGCAAGCTGCAGGTTGCTTCCCCCTTTCCGGGTACCCGGATGCCCAGCTACAATGAGAGGAGTGAGAAGCAAACCAGGTGGTGCCGTGGGGGTGGCACGTTGTTTATATGCGCTGGGGCAGATGGACGTGCAAGCAGACGTACGACATACAAGGACATGGGTCAAGGCAGCGCACAATTTGACCCAGGAAGGGCGCCAGCATACACAGAAAGCATACACGGCACCAGCGTGTTACAAGAGCCATCATGAAGATAAGAGGCAAGGTCACTGCGCGCCCATCAAGGTGGTGATGACCACCTCCCGAGGACCTCCATGTCAGCACTTTGGAAAGTTATCATGTGGCAAATGGGAAGCGGCAAGCAGCTGGGGCATTGCTACGCCCCCAGCCGCCGTAATAATGCAGGCGCAAGCGCCCGTAGAACCGCCCTTGGCGCTGCCCCCAAAAGTACTCGCTGTCCTAAGGATACCTGGTGTAACGTAGGAAGGGATGCTGTGGGGTGTTTTTATGATCTGAGGCACGGGCACTAGCAACTATAGGTGTTATGCGGGCCAAGGGTTTGCGGTGCGGATTTGCGTTTGGGGTTATTGACTTGGCGGCAAGCTGCCCGGCTTAGTTAGGAGCCCGTACAGAACTACGCAGCAGCACCAATGACATCCTGTGTAGTCGACATGGCCCGCCAAGGCCAAAGCCTCTTCTGAAGTGCAAGTAACGTTGGTGCGATAATGTGTGTTTTGTGAAGATAACATAGCCAAAATAGCATGTGTGCGCGCGCGCGTATGCGTCTTAACGATGCATTTCATGCGTATGTATGTATGTATGTATGTATGTATGTATGTATGTATGTATGTATGTATGTATGTATGTATGTATGTATGTATGTACGTACGTATGTATGTATGTATGTATGTATGTATGTATGTATGTTGTTACAGGGTGGTATAGCTCTACCAGCGCCCCCCTTTCCCGAGGCAGTTCCCTGCTCTCCTCTACTAGAGGGGCACCCCACCCGACTTCAGAATGTATTCGTTGGGTTCAGCAACTACCACCAGCATCCAACCAAATCTAGCGGATCAACGGCGCCTAAACTTAGTTCCTGGTCAGCTCGCAAGTTAATATTGTCACGTCCTACACCGTCCACAAGATAGTGGGCCGCCTCCCATTTCAATACTTCTCACACACCCAAGAGGTCGGCAGGCGAATTTGTACCCGTACACTCCGGGAGCAGAAGTCAGGCCTTAACCTCTGCCAGCCGCCTGCCTGATATGCGTATGTATGTGCGTGGCGCGTGCGTATGTGCGGTGTATGCAACAAAGCCTTCTGGAATGGTGGCCCCAGTCTCAGCGGAGGCCATTCATTGCCAGTACAGCGATGTCGCCCGGGAGGGTTGTGGAGGTAGGTAGGTACAAAAGACGCTGCCTGAGCTTAAGAGTCAAACAGGCGTTGGGAGACAGGTGTAAAGCACTTAGGTCCATGGGTCATGTGGTCCGGCCGGGGCCCCCCCAGGTGTTGAGTCCTTTATAACCCTGGATGGGGCCCTGGATGGGGACCTGAGCGATCCGGGGCGGTGACGGTTACACAGCAGCTGCTGGGCACCTCCCCCGAGGAACTGGCATGCGTTCGCCACTACATGAGATGACAGCGACACTGACACCTTGATCCTCGCCCCTTTTTCCTAGTAGGCCGTGTTCTTAGGGTTTATATCCCCTAAGAAGTGCTTCTGGGCAGGCGGGAGAGTGTCTCAGGTTGCCGGGTGCTGCCCGAGCGCCGTGGTTCGTACGGGGTTTGCCCTGCGGCGGGTGCCTCTTAGGGCCCGTATCGGCCAATACAGTATTTGGGTTATGCGGGCAGCACCAGCTGATGATTTGTAACCTGAATCCCCATCCCTATCCACTGTTAACATCATTCATCATTAGCGTTGCTGCGTGATCTGTATGTGTACGTGCGTGTGTTGTCCTGTGGTGCTTCGGATACGAACCAAGAAAAGCCAGCCATTTGCCAAAGCGAGTTTTAAACCACCGAAAGAGTTGTAGATAGTCACTGCATCCGTTTCGTCATCCAGAAAATCCAGAAAAATGAGTACCAACTGCACGTCGTCCCCCACGTCATACCAAACATCGATGCCTCACGACGCCGATGCCTTCGCAGCCGCCACCAGCCCTCACCACGTCGCACAGCGAAACGGGTGATACGGATCGGTGGTGAACGTCAGCCCTCCGAAGGAAAATCAGAAGCAAGCAAAGAAGTCTTGAAAGAAAGGCCTCCATTCCTCTCCCACCATCACCCCCGATCTAGGGTTTCCCTTGCTGACCTGCACGACCTCAGTACACAACACCGCACGATACCGCCATGCCGCATTTCCTTTCCTCTACTGGGCCCTATGTGCGTCTTTTCCTTGATGACATCAACCAGCTTTACGTCGGGAACTGTACTGCACCCCCCTCCGGAGTTCATTGTCATCATCACAAAGTTGAGGCCACACCCTCGACCCCACGACCCAACGCTATTCCCTAACCAACCGCCTTTCTCCATATACAGCTCCTGCGCACACCCGCACCACTTCCAAATACGTTTGCCGCAATGGTCCGGGTACACGCAGGGGGGAAATGCAGTATGGTAATAGCAACGAGAACAACGCGCGTCCATTGTACAACCTTGAGCTTTCGCGGTCACACTTTCCTAAACAGGCGGTCGTACGAGTGTACACCAGAATACTAAAAGTATAAAAGAATTATTATGAAGTCGAGTGAGGTCCTGTGCGCACTCAGGTATTGTGCTTATAACCCGGGCATACCACAACAGAATGAAACGCCGTAGAAATTAAAAAAAGACGTGCCCCCAGCCCCAGCCCTTTGAGCCCTCTGGCGCAGTGACCCCCCTCCCACCCCATTCACCAAACCGCTGCAGCTCTTCCCCGCCGTGGCAGAGGTCGGCGGGGGGGAGATGAGTGGCCGCGGCTCACCCCTGCATGCCACCGCAGCCACTACTGACGCCAGCCACCTCCCCGGGCTGTGCCACGACAACCCAGTCAGCCCCCGCTGCACTATGGCTGCCAATAAAAGAGACAGCGGCTAGGCACCGGGCCCATAAAGCATGTCTCTTAGTATTCGACTCGCGGGGGAGTAGCTGTATGCGGAAGGCAGGGACCCGACTTGCAGTTTGCGTGTGCGACCCGACACTCCCTGGCGCTGTCCACACAGACAGGCCCACAGGCGCCGCGGGACCGCACCCCCCCACAGCCCTATCCACCATCCACCTGCAGGACTAGAGCGGGAGGAGCGGGAGGAAGGGGGGGAGATATAGACGGGGCAGGGCAATACACTCCACCCCACTTAAGCTCCACCACCACCACCCTCCCATGGCCACTGGCAGCAGCAGCCACCACCGCCGCCATCCTGCGCTGTTCGCCTTCACGTGCCCCTCCTGCCGAAACCGAAACCTGGGGCCTGGAGGTGGCCGCCCCGCCCCGCCCCGCCCCGGCCCTCATACACACACACGCACAGGTTTTCCGCAGCAGCAGAGCACATCCCCGCGGAAGGACTACTTTATAACCGGAGCCTGAACAAACCTTACCCTCTCCAACTCTCTTTTCACAGGCTTTCTTTTAACTCCCCGGTGACGGGTGCAGCACGTTCTAGACCTTGAAACCTGCGAGGGCGCATCTCCGTACAATGCCGTACACTGGAGCCACCCGCGTCATCATCATCATCATCTTATGCTACACACATATACACTTGCGTTTGAAGGGGGAATCTAAAGCCGAGAGACAATCCACCACGGCCCCCGCGACCGACCTGGCCTGACCTGCAACACACGCGGTACCTAAACACGCCATCCAGCGAACCCACCTCCACCACCACCAACAACAACATCGCCCAATCGGAAAGCTTCTGCCTGCTTGAATGCCGTACACACACATTAGACAACGGCCCAATAACCGCCAACGGAACAAACTGCAAGGGGGATGCTACGATGAACTGACAAACTTCACCAGTCGCGCGGCCCATCACGCCCCACCGCTACGACCACCACCACCACCGCCACCACCACCATCGTCGACGTCTCGTCATGCAGTCAGACGAGCAAGCGAAGCCAGAGCCCAATGGGTAAAGCTCTTTAAAGCCTTGGGAAGCCCTCAGGACCGCCGGGCTACCCAACCCTTGCCAACACCACTGTCAGCGTACGGCGGCTCCTCCTGCGTGCGGCAGGACAGCCGTGCCTGTACGGCAGTACGGCTGCTTACCTACCAGCTGCCCCCGTACGCCACTTGTCGCCAGGTCAAGCTGAAAGCCTGTTGGGGATATCTCTCTCGCACACACACATACATACATACATGCACACACACATGTCTCCCAGCCACCCCGCAGAGCCCGTCGGATCGCGCTGTTGTCCCCACGACAAGTATCCAACTGCGCACAGCCACATCATCTCACATCACTCTTAACTAAAAAGCTAACCAACCAACTGACAAACTCTAATGGGCTGACGTAGGGAGGACTGGGATGTAACGAACAAAAAACGTACGGTGAAAAACTAAATTTGCTCAGCTAACGGAATAATGAGAAGGTCGGTTGGTACGGGATACGAGTTCTCAAGGTACGAGAACCACCAGCACCATGTTCAATTCAATGTTGGAAAAAGAAGGCCAGGGTAATGAGCGCCACCACCACTAGAAACGAGTAGCCCATGTACTTGGAGGGTGTGTTGTAGTACTCGGAGCCCAGACCCGCCCCGGGCACAGTGCTGATCCCCGAGAGGAAGGCCTTCGGGTATTGGGAGCGAGTGTGTGAGAAGGGGGGAGGGGGAGCCGGGGGAGCGGGGCGGGGCAGGTTAGGGGGGAGTCATGGGCGATTATGGCACTGCGCCAGCTGTGTCCAAAGTCCACATCACCGGGGGCCCAGGGATGGGCGGAAAGGGGGGGCCCAGGTCCGAGGTCCGAGGTCAGGACGGACGAGACCGACCCCGCGGGTGCACCACCCGCCACCCACATCACGGGGGGACCAACTTCCCGCAGAGAAGGGGCGCAGGGGGGAAGAAGGGGGAGAGCGCGGGATCAGCGACGCACCTGGACACCAGTCCTGCAACAAGTCCTCCGCGAACACAACCCCTCCCTTCCCCCAGCAGCCAAACCCTTTCCGATACCCTTCCTTCTTCGCCGCCTTTAGCTTTACACATCACCACAACGGCTTCCGTTCTTTCTTTTGCTGTCTTTTGCTGCAAGACTTTACTTTGTTCCATCTAGGCGGCTGGGTAATTCTTCTGCGTTTTCCGCCTTCTGCCTTCTTTGGGCTTTGGACTTGCCAGCTAGTCCATTCGCCTCGCAACCCGAGCTGGCCACGTCGCCGCCAGTAAATTTTCCTTCCGCAGCATTTATAGCTTCTCCTGGACTACCCGTCTATCTTTGGTATCTGCTCCATTCGCCAGTGGTCCGTCTTTACCCCCTGGAGCTTTACACATCGACAGGGCCCCTCGAAAACCCTTCACTCTCCCCCACCTCCCCCGCTCCCTCCGTCCCCCGCACCTGGTACGCCGGGTCCAGGTAGTTGTCCCGGGCCCCCTCCCGCACTCGAGCCAGGTACTTCTCCGCGGGGAGCACCTCCGCGGGCAGCTTGAACAGGGGGTTGGAGACGAAGGCGAGGGCCGTGTACTGTGAGCCGTCGTACGTCTGGACCTGCAGGGGTAGCGTGGAGCCACCACACCGCCGCCAGGTTGCATATGAAGGTGGGGGCCGCGCGGGTGCCAGCAGCGCGGGTGCTGCTCTTTAGGAAGCAAGGTTTCATAGAGGGACCTGCTGCTACGTTTGTGCTGGTGGTGGTTCTTGCGGTGGTGGTTCAGCCCGGAGAAAGGATGTGCGTAGGCAGCACGGGATAGTCGCTATTATGGAGCGAGGTGACATAAAACTCCCACCTGCACCTCCTGTACGATGTAGCCACCCTCCCGCTTGGCGAGCTTCTCAAAGTCCGCCCGCGTCACCCGGTACAGCACACCGTGAACCCGACCGTCGTACGGCCGGAAGCGAGGCTCCTCCTGTACGGCACTCGCGTAACGCAGGGGAACGGGTATGGTATGCACGTGAAGGCTTCTGGCAGCACCGGTGTGCAGACCAGGGCACAAACGCAACCTGACACACACAGGATCCCTCCGGTTCCCTGCATTACATCAATAGAGGAAATCCCGCATCACGTCCCCTCCCTCCCAGTACACAGTTATACTTGACAGTGTCCGCACAGGTGCGGAGGAGTCCTTCAAAGCCGGGGGGCTCATGAACAGTTTATAAAAGGTAATGTTACGGGCGGTGTCGGTGGGGCGATTGTCGACATCCTACCGGCCCCGTTTGAGCGTGAAGCGCCGGAGCGCTGCGTGCCTCCTGCCTCCCAGACCTTGGAGGGAAAGCTATAGCTAATGCCAGGGGGGGAACTGCGGCCATGATGGCCATGCGCATGCGGCGCCCCTTGAAACCCATCAGTTCACTCCCATACTTCGCCCTCCAGCCACCATACGCACTGCATTCTCCATAACACATGTAATTCATCTTACACCGCTCTGAAGTCACAAAGCCTGTAGGTACGTGTGGCACGCTAACGGTCGTTGCTCCTATTAACCTCTAGCTCCCAACATCCCAACCACCTAAAGCGCATAAACATTTGGTGCAATCACCGGGGTAAGCCGGTCCCTGCGAGAGCGGGCCACCCGGGGCGGTGCCCCATCACAGGGCGGTGCCCCCAACCAGTAATGGTAACGACATTCGCCCTGACCCCCTTGGCCCCGGTGACCCCGGGGTGGGGAGCCCCCCGGGTTCGCCCAGGGGGTCTTCGCACGTCCATCGTGCGTCAAGCCTCTTCACAATATACATACATACGTACAGAAACCCAGGGACAGCCACTCACCTTCCCCTCTGCGGTCTTCCCGCCCTCCTCTGCTCTCTCCAGAGTCGCATACCCCCCCTGATGCTTGAACATCAGCCGTATGGAGGGGTCTACCACGAAGGCCGGGTCACGACTGTGGGGCGGCATATGCGTGTATGCGTGTATGGGGTTAAGGTGGTGTATTGGGTTGGTGTGTAAGGTTAACCTGGTGGGGACGAAGGGGATCGGGGGCGTGAGGAAAATAATCTGAGACCCGGCCAAGAACCCCCCTTCACACCTTCCCCAGATGTACGCATATACATACATACATACATACATAAGTATACATTTGTAAATGTGCGTGAAACGATTTGGGGTTGGTGCGACCAAAACAGCGCCAAACGTGCCCCGGGACGTGAGGGCCGTGGCCGCCTTTTAGAAAGCTTGTGTGCATGAACGGCCAGAGTTGATTTGGAGCTGTGGCCAGGCGCGGGCTGAACGAGGCTCCCTCCCCACCTCCTCCCAGCCCTGGCACAACGTGCCTCGCACCCGAACTGCACCGCACCACACCAACCACACTAGGCGGGTGGTGACTGAAAGGGGCTGGCGGGCCGCCTGAGTAAGGTCTAATGGGTGTGCAGACCCCTCGGGGGCCCCGGTCACCCGCGCAGCCCACGGCAGGAAGGGGGATGTGTGCACTACGTGACTGCCTGTTGCTATCCCCCCTCCCGCGCATTTGCCTTTCCCTAGACTATCGCCCATTTCTGGTAGTTGTTTCATTCGTCAATGGTTCCTCTTCACCCCCTCTCTCTCCACCCCGTTGGACTTCTACTGCAGTCTGCGGGTTGGATGTCGTCGTCGGCTGCTTCAAGCTGCTTGCGTTATGTGATTACCCTCCTACCTTGCACAGCGCCCCTTCATCCCTCCCCTCCCTTTCACGCGCCGAGCCGAGCTGCGTTCCAAGCTTGAACAACATGGTGAAGCGCGCGAGACGCTACACTACAGTCCCTACGTTGGGGCTCAGCCCGAGCTGGCGGCCCCTTTCCGTTTCCAACAGCCTGGCTCGAAGCTTCCAGGCCAGGCCTAGGGGGACTATCTGACACACCTTCTCAGCGCGCACAGATGGTTTCCGCCTCACAGCCGTCGTATAACAAGCCACACGCAAAAACCCTCCTGCCTGATTCCTAAGCTCCTATGTATCGCAGCGGCCCTCGCACCCGCCTTCTCACATACGAATATACCTACCCCACCTACACACGCGCTGAATGAATCCCCCGTGAGAGCATTGCACGCCAATAACATTTCATCTCTTTTCACGACCAATCGCATGTGCAGTGTGTTTTAAGGATCCATGTTGCTCACCTGAGCACTCGAACCTCCCTCCTGGCTAGTGTCAGGAAGTTCATGTTGGCGCCGTATGCGAAGGTGATCACTGTGTCCGCACCTGAAGCCTGCAGCTGCGGCTGCCGCGGTGGCAGGCGGGGCTGCGGGTTGGGCCCCGCAGCTGGCTGAGTGGCAGTGGGCTGCCGATCCCCCGAGTTCCCGCTGGTGTTAGTTGCGGTGATTGTACCAGTGCCGCCAGCGTGGGTGTCGCCAATGGGTTCTGCTGTTCCTCCGCCGTTTAAGCTTTCCCCTCGCTGGCCGGCTGTGACTGGCTGCGGCGGGGGAGGGACCCTCGCGGAAGATGAGGGCGATGGGGACCGTGTTGAAGGATCTTGACCCTGCTTGGCGCTGCCATCGCGCCAGGACAGTGGGCCAGGCCAGGCCCAAGCTGACATGGCGCGGCCGGCGCCGCGACCGCGCTGCGCGCGCGCCAGGCATGTCCGCGATTGCTGATGGGCCACTGAGAGATGATACCAGCTGTGGTCGTGATGCTGGTGGTTGCTAACGCACTGCTGCGGTGGATGCATTTGATCGACGAGGATGTTCCCCCGGCCCAGGACAGCTGTTAGTTGGGAAACTCAGAGCTACGCCAGGTACCGCGGAGTAACCTATAGCACGATATTAAGGAAGTCAAACTGCCGGAACTTTCTGCCCTTACACTGTGCCAAATGTGGAAAAGCGCAACGCGGGAAACTATGCCAAAGACAAGGCCACAGGTCCAGTGCTGAGCTGCACACAAATATAAGCCGATTAATAGTACATAGTGAGTCTTGTGCGCCTGAGCCACGCAGCCTGTTTGATCGAGAAAAGCCGTACTCACACGGCAGCGCACGCGCCAACCTCCGACAGATAACAGCATGAACGCCGCCCACCTTCTGAGGTGGTTAATGACGACCCATATGACGACCAATCCCTCGTAATTCACCAATCGTTGTAGGCAGTTCCGTCATCCTGTCGCTTTCTTCCGTCGCCCGTATTATGAGCGGCATGTCACTAAGACGTTTAGGAATTTCGTTCCTGAGGCAATGTAACAGTGAAACAATCCCAACGTCTGCAAACGCGCTAGTAGGGCGACCCTTATTCCTGCGGAACAGCCTGTGGACCCGTTTTTACGCATCGGAGGCTAAAGAGGAAGCAAGTTCAGCTGCGAGTGGAGTTGCGGCGGATGAGGGCAAGCCCGGCCCTAGCGTCGAGGGCGACGACGGCGCGGCCGACACGTCGGCCGGAACTGACGTATCGGCGCAGGAACTCATAGCCCAGATAAAGGCAAAGGAAGAACACGCAGCTAAGCTTACGCAGCAGGTTGGGACGGGTTCTGCTATTGTCCAAGTATTCGGTTCGATCGAGAAATTCGGTTCGATCAAGAACGCAGTAGTTTGAGTTCTGCACCGCTGGTGCAGGTCGAGTCGTTAACTGATAGCCTCAAACGCACACTGGCTGATATGGAGAACCTCAGGGCACGAACAGCACGCGAGGTGGACGTCAGCAAAAAGTTTGCTATCCAGGTACGATAGCGGTTGGCCCCATAGGGCGGGGTGGGGCGGCGTCCCGCAGTTCGGGAAGTATGGGCCGAATGAGATGCCGGGAGCATTGGTAACGTTACAACAGCATTCCGCAAAAATGATCAGTCCGCCTAGTTGTACGGTAGCGTCGGTACCCTCGCCCAGACACATGCCTCTGCTATGCCCAGGGCTTCGTCAAAGCGCTGCTCGATGTCCCTGACAACCTTGAGCGCGCAGCAAGTGTCGTGCCGCCGGAGGCGCTAAAGGAGGACGGAGGCTTGCCGCCCGAGAAGTTACGCATCCTGTTGACAGGATTGCTGGAGGGTGTGCGGGCTACAGAGAGCATATTGCTCAAGGTATTAAAGTTTTTGCCTGGGAAGCCTTTGCCTGGTCTACCGGTCTGGCGAGGGGTCGAACGGTTGAATTGGGAAGCAGAGTATACAGGGGATACGGTGCGTCGGTTGACAATTTCGCCAGGTGATGCCCTGGCTGTAAATCCGGTTTCATTTGAAACTGCTGTTTGCAATTCCGTGAACAGGTCCTCAAGCAGCACGGGGTCGAGCGGTACGACCCTGCGGGGCAGCCCTTCGATCCTAATCTTCACAACGCCCTCTTCGACGTGCCGGAACCATCGAAGGAGAATAACACCATCGCCATTGTCACAAAGGTACAGGACGCATGTGTTCGACATTAACATCAGAATCACATGGCCATGCTGTATTGCGAAAGCAACTGCTAAAAAGTGATTAGTCGCTCAGCTACCCAGGTTATTCGTCCAAATGGTTGAAATCCACCTCTTCCGGTCCTATTTTCAGAAAGGTTACAAGTTGAACGACCGCGTCATACGGCCAGCAGAGGTTGGCGTCGTCAGGAACGTCACGTCATAAGTTGGCTCAAGATGCGAGCACACGTAAGCAGGTTTTGACGTCCAAACGTGCCATGCACTCTTCCACAGGTCCTGAAATAAATTACGCCAATCTGCGACACACCATGCTATGACGACTAGGCAAAATGCATGCTTGCTCGAGGGACAGCTAAGCTGCACCGGAGCGGTTCATGAAGACAATCAATCGCTAATCATATGTACATACCGCTCGCAGGCACGCCGCCTGGCGATGAGGGTGCAGTTCTACCCTTACGGACAATGAAGGCGCGTAGACTTTACACAACAATGCTGCCAGATGGGCAAGCGTACGCACGTGGCACAAGGGTTCCATGTGGCGTTAACGGCGCAGCGGCGCCAAATTAAGTCCCAAGATACCCAGACATGTTGCCTAAGAATATGAGTGCTGCAACGCTCATGCGACTGGCAGCTGCTGCGGCAGGAGATGGGCCGGCGGGGAACGCTTCGCAGCCTCGTTGTACTTGGACGAGCTGTACTTCTTCCAGACCGCAGTCAGACTGCTTGTCGGGGCCTTCTGCATAAGCTCCGCGAGGGCAGTGGCAACGGGCAACACCTCTTGCAGGCTGTAACCACAGTGCTTCTCGAGCGCACGCGGATAGGTGTCCGCCTTCTCATACGAGCACATAGCCACGTGCAGTGCTGCTACGGCGATGATGGAGTAGTAGTGTTTAAGCATACCAGCGTCCACCTGGGCCAGCTCAATAAGGTAGCTGGACAGCATTGTAACATCCTTGTCAAAGTGCATGTTGGCAGCCTTCAAGTCGCGGGCCAGGAAGTTGTAGGTAGTTGGCAGCGTCAGCTGGAACTTTAGAGTGTTGAGCATGATCTTCTCCATGCCCAAGATTTGCTCCTTCGTGTAAGCGCGGTCGGAGATGTAGACAAAGTCGCGGACCTCGGGGGCCCAGATCTCCTCATACTTAGAGGCGATCAGCATGGACGTGACGCCTACCTGCGGGGGTTTAGGGGCGAAGCAATATCCGAACGGGATGATGGGGGGATGCGCGACGGAACCCTGAGCAAATCCTGGATAGATGGATAGATAGACATTTGATGCATTTCGATTTACTACCTACCAATGCGAGGGTTGAATCTGCCCAACCTCGATACGAGTACAGTTGCCAAACTTTTATGGACGAACATGTTCTTGATTTAGTCTGGTGTTCGTTAAGTGGATGTAAAGTCGTGTGACAGCACTTACCAGCTGAAGGTTTTTGCGCGTGACCTGCTTTTCCGTAAGGAAGCGGTCGATCAGGTTCACCGTCAAGAATAGCGTCTCCGGCATCAGCTGCAATGCACAGAAGCTTCAGAAGTGAGGTTGACAAGCCCCTTGCTGCAACCCGTTGACAAGGCCTAGGCTGCCAGTGCAGACATGCATGAAAACTTGAAATTGAAGGATATCTCTCTGCTGTCCCCACCTTAAATTTAAGGTGCACTTCAACAAGCCAATCGACGAGAATCGCACGCATCTTGTCGTTGATGTCCGTCTGCGAGAAAGAGAAAACCAAGAAGATTATGCAGTATTCTATTTGATAAAGCTATTATCTAACAGCTACCTGCTTGCTCATGTAATCGGCGGGAACCTTGTACTTGGCCTCGACGCGCTTGTAGTAGTTGTAAATGTCGTTCACGTAGTCTGCAGCCATAAGCGGATTGAGCTTATCTCCACTGTCAATATCCGGCAGCGGCGATGGTGGAGGAGCCCGGACGCTCTGGCTCCCGACAAACGCCTCGCTGCGCTGCGACAAAAGAGAGCTCATGCTCGGGCCCTGAACCCGCTGGGCCTGAGCAGCCTGAGCACGCGTACGCGGCACAAGCTGCGCCGGCCGCAGCGTGGCACCAGTAGGCATAGGCGCATCCTTGACAACAGCTCCGTCGGCCCTCTTGGCTGCGGCACGGGTCTTGACACCACCCTCCACTGCCGGAGCAGGGGCTGTAGCCTACGCGGAGAAGAACCCAAGAGTTAGGTCATAAAGAATGATAGCAAAGGCATCTTTGACACCCACCTTCTCCTTGCCCAAAACCGGCTTGCCAGCAGCAGCGGCAGGTTGCTGGTTCGACAAGTCACCCAGCGCTCTACGTAGGGGGGTTGCTATCAGCAAAGGCAAAAGATTGATAATAGGAGCACCAAGTTTGCATGATGACACACCGCCGTTTGCTTTGGCCCTGAAGACCCAGGGCAGCCTTGGCACCAGCGGCAGCCTTCCCGGCCATGGCGTTCGGCAGGACACCGTTCTCGCCCTCAACAACCTGGTTGGCTGCACGCATGGCCATTCTGGAGAGATAACAAACAAATAAATAAGTCCGGTGCTCAAGAAGGCCTACGGCCACGGGCGCGCGAGAAAATTGGGGGGACTGAGAGCAGCTACAAGGCTACTGGCATAAGCAATTAATACTTCTTGATTCAATGTTGTAGGTGTAAAAGGACAAACGACTGTACAATTCTCCATGCGGATTGAGCTTTTGTCTTTGTCTTTTTTGTGAATTAGTACGGATGGATCCAGCGATACTTCCATTTTCATCCCCTCACCATTTTGACCCTTTGTATCGCTTCAATTTGTCGCATGTGGACCGTGGTGCTGACGAGGATTTCCAGCTGAGTTTTCGCTGGAGAGTGCGCTCCTTCAAGGACAATGCGACCCAGGTCACAGCTTAGGCAGAGACAATTTTCCTAACACAAAGTGCCCATAAATAATGGAATCACACGTTTAGATGTGCGGCTTAACGATGGGTGCATGCCTGTGTGCCGGCTACCTAATTGTTACATGCAAACAGCGGAGCCTTTCTCTAGCCAACATCGCGTTTCTTTTTTTTGGGGGGGAGAATGAGGATCACTACTGGAGTTTCCTCTCGTGGCGTGAACAAAGCGCACTTTACTTCACTATTCGACCCCACCCTGCTGCACGCGGCTTCCTTGGCATGTGGCCCGTTTTACAGACCCTGAAGGCGTAGCAAGAAACTTGAGCTGCACGATGCCGCTCTTTCGTGCAGAATATGAACGACGCGGCCAGCACAGGGCATTCCTGAATAGGGGCCCCTCTGCAGCTTACAATGACGGCGGAGGGGTTGTGCCAAGGAGGCGATAAAAGTGTGATACCCGGCAGTCCTTGTTTCGTTGTAGGCGTTACCCACTTGAAGACAGAGTCAGAATTCCATGAGAGGCTTGAAGAGGCCCCTTACGATTGGCATTATACGCTAGACCCGTGCAGATGACGCTTACCTAATGACTGTCGCAACTGCCCCGCAGACCCCTCAGACCCAATCCATGGTCTCGCCTAAGCCTAGCCGTTTTCACGTCCATCGACTCTACGTTTGTCTAGCTCAGTCGTTCACTGTTCTTCCACCAACGGAAACTTGCTGCAGATTTGCGGCAGTCAACCGTTTTCGTATACCGTTGCCCACACAGGACTCCATAGGGGCGATGGTGCCCGCATACACAGACACCGTTGCGACGCACAAGAAGTGTCGCGTAGCGACGAGCATGTCCCCCATGCCATTACTCCCGCTAGTCTGCAATGCAGGGATTACGTGGGTTTGCAATCTACATGAGCCCACATCGATACGCTATAGCAAGCTGCTGCAGGTCATTATAAAGGTCCGTAATGAATTCTGTGATCGTGCCCATGGTCATCCTAAGGAAATCCATCATGACTCTCCGGGGCAGTGCTTACTTTCGGTCACAAGATTCACTGCTGTTCGAGCACTGCATTCTCTCTTGTTGACGATTCAAAGCTTACGCCATGAAAGTCCATCGCTACGAGACGAGATAGCTTGCCACACCCCACTCGCTCAGCATCTTACCAATCGAAACACTACCAAACGATGACATCGCGACACAGCTGCAATGACGCGCAAAGATCTACTTCATCGCGTATCGTCTCCGTGCCCCCGCATTTTGCACACCTGGCGCGTCCCCATGGGAAAGCCGCCGGCCGCAGTGCAGCGCGAGGCCTTCTCCTGACCGCAAGGTATGGCTGCCACCTACCGAGACCCATGCTTCAACCCAACCAGGTATACAGCATCCCAGCAGCACATGGCAGGATGCTGAGCCCCATGCCTTCATTGGCCCCATAGGTTCCCGCACTGTCTTCCCGCGCGTCAAGTGTAGCACACAAAGACCAGGCCAAAGCCCACGGCTACAGCCGCATAGTGCTATCGCGTTGCCATGGCGACCGCAGCAGCTGTAGCAGCTGTGGCTGGCACCTTTGTTGGGTCCAAGCTCATGAGCACCTGAAGGCGTCAGATGCATGCAAACGAGCATAGGGGCATTGAGATTTTAGCGCGTGTACGCGGGCGCCCATGTTAGCAAATGACGTGCAACTTGTGTGCAAGTCCACTTGCCTGGGTTACGAAGCCCTGGAAGCCGGGAGTTTCCAGATGCGCCGCCAAGGCCTGCTCCACGGGACGTCAGCACACACGCGTGAGGTTGCTGAGTCATGTCGTTACGCGCAGCACAACCGTTGCACAACATCTCATTCCGCCATAAGGCATGCAGCCGTAGACGGGATGTGTGCACACGCGACGTTCCCTTCAATAGCCCCAGTGTTCCGCGTAGACAGTAGGTATGCTCAACACCGCAGGACTCAGGAGCCAGGGGCCCAGGCTCTTTGCCTAGCCACCAAAGTGCGCTGCCTATATCATTGCGAACTCGACACACAGACGTGTAGTTCAGGTCCACGGCGACACGTGGATGGATGTTGAATAAAGTGGTGGCCCAAGAGATGAAGCCCTAAGGGACCGAAAACCTAGGACCGTGCCCTACCTGCCCCTAGGTACGCTCATTCAACATTTCCCAGTCTGCGTTGTGCGATCTCAACAACCCCTGCAAAAGAAATCTCCATCCTGCAAAAACATGCATGACGGAGAGTACTCACCCGCTCTCTGTCTGGGGCTGTGTCGATCCTGGTGAGGAGATCCCGCAGATGAGGGTCCGCCAGCATATTCCGCAGCTCCTCGTTGTCCGCTGCGGTCATCGTAAGAAAACATGTCATAATTGCCGTCATGCTGAGTGCAACAAGCCATGGCGGCGCTGGGCGACTCTAGTGTGGGTGCGGCTATCTTGAAGATCCACTGTTGGGCGAGGGTGTGTTGTGGCAGCGCAAAGACAAATATATACTTGCTCGGGTGCAGGGGTGGTGTATAGGCTGATGCTGTAGTGTGGCCCAGGCTGTGTCATGTCAGTATGCTATCTGCCGGCCAGGAATACCGTCAAGTCTTAGCCGTCTCGCGAAGCTCCCATCACCGTTGGTTTATACTGGTCCTGTCCATACTTAACGACTTGGGCGAACCCGATCTACCATTGCGGCAACGCTATGTTGTTGGGTCTAGCTTTTTCCAAAACCTGAACAACGATGTGTAGCCAACCTTTCAACTCCCCTGCTGGCATCCCATGTAACCTTCCCTTTGGAAATCTGGCACCTCGCGCCAAAAACACACATGCTCTGGAAACTGCCCTACGATGCACAGCGTCTGAAAGCAACGCACCTAGCGCCTGGTACTGCGATCGCCGTAGCTTGTAATCTTGTTCATCGTCTGCTGTGCTGCCGGCCTGGGCATCTCCAGAAGCCGCTTCGCCCATCCTTGCGGTGCCAGCACCAGCACCAGCCGCGACGCTGCCACAACCGTCTTCTAGAACGCCTGCTCGAAGCCATGGTAACCCAGGACATGCACGCCACGGGTCGAGGTAAGAGAAATTCAGTGAGCCTTCAACTCACCGAGGAGTTAGGCTGCAAATGCCATGTTGGAACGGTTGAGTCAGGATCACGGGACACGGGATGTGAGTCTCCTGGACTACCGGTTCCTCTTTAATGGTGTAGCCCTACGAAGCCCCAATGATGGAAGACATGTCGCCATGAGTTTCCGCAGGTATGGGTTAAGGGTTTTATGACATCGCTGGGTCCAACCCACCTGCATCCTCCCCTCGATACATCCGCACTTGGAACTTGTGAATGGCCCCAGCTGCAGCCTCCCGTTTAATGGCCCGGATGATAACCTTGGCGTTGACACAGCTCGCCGCCAAGAAGGCTCCAGGCAACGGTGCGAGCTTAACACCAGCCTCTGTGCATAGGAACAGGGCCTCCCCTTCATCAAGACGCGAGACCTTTAACCGCTGGCCAACCCGCAGAGCTGTCAAAACTTCAGATTCGACATTGACGAGGTGCGCAACGTCAAGGTCCAAGTCCAGCTTGTCCGACATCTTCCACGATAGCCTCCAAATGCTGATTGTGAAGTTGTTGAGCAATGGATAACGCTATAAGTCAGTGTTAGCAAACATGGTGACGTTGATGCAGGTGGTTCAACACGTTCTACAGTTCAAAGCACTGGCTTGACATGTAGCTTGTGGAACGCTGGATTCAAAATCGTGGGAACGAACTTTGCGAAACTTCGGCTTCGGAAACGCCAGCTCCGAAAACGTCAGCTCCGAAGGCACTGAAATCTTATAACCCCTCGAATCATAATAAGAAGTGGCGAGACTTCTATTGGGTTTGCCAGGACCACACAAGTACATCCGCTGCATCTGATACACGATCAAGCTAGGTATACTGATCTTTCAATTGCCTTCACTTAAGGGTAAGATTTTCCCATATTTTAAACAGCTAATCATAAAATAGATATCCCTGTCTTGCATGGACGTGGTCCATATCGTTTTCGGAATCGTCGTGTCGGAACATTCAGGACGCCTGTGCACAGGATGCTGTGCATCTGCCCGAACCTAGATCAGAAAACCCTTGATGAATCCCCAGCCATAGCAGCTGATAGCGTGTGCTATGCGTTGTGCTTTGCGTTGTTCGCAAACAGCTTGCCTCCTGTTTGCGAAGTACATGGCCCAGCCGGCCCCGTCCGGCCTTAATCTCCTGGGTGTTGCACGCCAGCGTCCTTACGGTTCCCTGCGATGAGCGAACATACTATTCATAAGTTAATATGCTCGCCCACACCCCCGTGTCTCTTGGGACGTGGACACAGGCACCTAGATTTATATCGACACGAGAACGGGCAAGATGAGCGCCGCAGTGAAAGTCATGCGCAGCCAGACCCAGGTGCTGCCCGGCCCACGCCGGGCCGTAGATGTGCCAGGGGCTTCAGTTGTAGGGCCCAGCGGGCGCCGGCCAGCTGCCTTCAGTTCCGCATTGCCTTCACGGGCGTTGCGGGTCCGCGCGCAGCCTCAGCAGCAGCAGCAGATCACCGAAGGCCAGGATGAGCAGCGCTGGGATGCGCAGGTCACCGAGGGAAAGGTGGGTCGTTTGGGATCTTGCGAGTGCATCTGGGGTTACGAGTCATGTTCTCCCGTGAACTGGGTCGTAGCAGAACCTTTGTTGCCCTACCTCAGGACGCACGGTTACATAGCAGGGGCTGTTTCCTTACATTGCCGTTTTGACAACCGCCCACACATGTCGACCTTTCCAAAAGCCGCCCCATACAAGCCTCACCTAGCCCTATCCGCGCTGCAGGTTCGCAACCTGTCCGGGTCCGACATTCGGCAGTACCTGGCGGACGGCTGGCTGCTACTGGACGTGAGGCCGCCCACCGAGGCGCAGAAAGCTCGCATCCAAGGAGCCATTGAGGTGAGATGTGGGGCCGCTGACGGGAACGAGGGCTGGGAATTGCATGCATGGGCCTGTGGATAGGAGACCTTCACCAACCTGGACCCCGACCTGGCCGGGCGAATGCTCTGGTGTTAGAGCGGCATCCGCTGGGTTGCGGGGCGTCTTGGGATAAGATTGCGTTGCGTTGTGCTGTTGAGTAGCCGTGTGTGAGGGGGGAAGGGGACGGGACGGGAGGGGTTATCTGGTTTTGTGTGGTTTGCCTAGTCCTTACATCAGGCAGCTGGCACCAGGATAGGTGGCCAGTTGGCTTAACGCGGCTGGGCTGGGGAGCATTGGCATGTGGTCTACAAAGGCCTACGGCAAATGGGTTTTACGTGGAGTCGTCCATAAGCCGAGGTGGATGGCGTTTGCGGCCAGTAAGGGAGATAAATGAGTCGCTGTGGGGCCCTGTGAGGCAACATTAACATCTGAGTTCCGTACGGCGGAACTTCCTTATCCTTTACGGAGTGGATGATCCACGTGTTGCAAGTGAATAGAAATAGCTCTGCCCTATCATGGGTCAAGTCCGTCGGGCCTGCTGTTGGGTGATTTGAAGCCGAAGGGGCTCTGCACGCCGCCCACCCGTCCGAGCCCCAGGAGTGCGCTAATTGAGCCCCCGGCTTCACTCACTCACATACCCATATAAATTAAGCTGCTGCAGTAGGTTTCATCCTCTGTGTGTGTGTGTGTGTGTTTGTCACATGTAGCTGTCCATCACCCGGCAACTCCGCCCTGGCACCTCATCCCTTATCTGTTTGTCCTGATTGCTCGCCCAGGTGCCCCTCTTCGTGGAAGATGAGTCGATGAGCCTGTCCTCTATGATCAAGCGCATGTCGGCATTCGGCATGGGCGGCTGGTGGCTTGGCGGCACCCACATGATGCCCAACCCCAAGTTCATGGAGGTGGTGCAGGTGGGCAAAGAGGGGCGCCGTGTGAGGGGCTATGGTACGGGTCGGTGGCGCGGGGATTGTACTATTAAGCGGCCGGCCTGGATACACGAGGAGTTCCGTGGACTTGGGTTGCGGTGTTGGGTGCGTCGTTTCCTTGTCGCGTAACTGTCTGCCATGTTTGACCCAGCATTTAGAGCCGGGCCCGGGGACCTGACCGGCAGCTCTCAGGCCCAGGGTTTCGCAGTTTCGCAGGCCCAGGGTTGTTGTTTAGGATGGCCGACTGACACCGATTTCACTTAGGACGTGGGGGGATGTTGGTTCTACAGGGGCTGGGGTGTTGTGGGCTTATTTTTGTTGTTATTGTTGTTATTGTTGTTGTTGTTGTTGTTACGTGGTCGTGGGTGCGTTCCCCGTACCTGCAAACCACCCTAATACGAGCCGAGGGCGCAAGGGCTGCCAGATCGCCTATAAGCACCATCCTACCTCGCACTTCAAACGAAACAAGTGATGAAGGATACTAACGACCAAAGGGAACGATAGAGTTGCGGTGGGACCATATACGTTCCAGCATTCTTGCCAGGCGTTCAGGCTCCCACTTCATAGCGTCCTTCATGTGCTCGAAGCGTGGGAAATCCATATCAGATCTGATTTTGTCGTCCACCGGACAATCCAGCAAAATGTGCTTCTCATCCTCGATATGGCTATCAGTGCCGCAGCAGGGGCATACTCGCTCCTCCCTAGGTATATAACGCCGTCCCTTACGCGCTCTGTTAGCCGCCAATGGGCTTATATGACTGAGCTGATGCCACGTTGCACGCGAGCCGCCCGATGCCCGTTGAACCGGCGACCTACTGCCTAGTGTATGCCGTCGCCGTGCTGGGCCGGATGCGCTTTCATCAATCTTTCAAAGTCACAGATGTTATTTCCACCGTCCAATCGGCTTCCATCTGCCGGAGCTTCTTTTTACTTAATTCATGTCCCCTCGGTATAATCCGTTCCAGGCCAAGGTGCCCAAGACCGCGCGGCTGCTGGTGGGCTGCCAGAAAGGCCTGCGTTCCCTTGCTGCGTGCGAGCAGCTCAGCCTGGCGGGCTACGACACGCTGGCATGGGTCAACGGCGGGTTCGACAGCTGCAAGAAAGGTGGGCCGGGTTGCCACGCGGTGTGGTCCACAAGCGGTTTGCTTTAATGTTGAGATCCGCACAAGCGTTTCATATAGGAGCTTGCAGTAGTAGATGGAGCAAAATTGCCGAAGGTCCACCCGCCCTCTTCGTCCCCACAAGGCAGCACGCGTGGTGCCCAGGTTACGCGGAAAGTGTTACCTAGATGACCCATATTCCTTCACGAGTTGCCGGCCAGAAACAGGTTACAGACATAATTTATTTGAGGCTCCGCTTCCTAGCGATGAGTTACAGGTGTTTGCTTTTGGCTCTTCCCTGCTGCTGCGACATCCGCTCCCGTACAAATATGTATGTCTTCGCTCCTGCAGGGGAAGTTCCGACAGTCGGAGATGTCGATATTCGCTATGCGGGCATTGGCGGCCTTAGCGAGGCTATTGGCTGGACGGAGGTGCAGCAGGAGCAAAACAAGGGTCTGGGCAGCGTTGATGGCGCGCTCAAGCTGGTCGGATTGATACTTGTGGCTGACTTGCTGCTCTTTGCTGGGGAGTATATTCAGGCGTACACGAATGGCAAGCTTTAAGGGGCCGTGTTGCAGGCGTATAAGGTATTGTCTGTCGGTGCTATTGTACGTGAAGTCGTTATGTGATAACTGTGGCATTTGGATGGTCCTTGAAATATTTTGTTGTGCATTGTTCATTTTTCCATTTTATCTGCTACGGATTTTTACAGCTTGTTAAGGATGTATATCAGGTTGGCTTTGGGCCAACCACGAAATTTTCGTGGTGACGAGGAAGAGTATGTGCTGACATTAGAACTCAGTTTCTAGAAAACTGTTCTGTAAGATGGCAGCATCCATGGCACCTGCCGGAGAGGCAGCAAGTGGACCGCTTCTTAGTGCAGTGAACCCCAGCGATATCCACGTTTTACTCGTGGACGATGAGCGGCTTACGCGATTGGTAGTTGGCAACTTATTAAGAACTTGCAAATACAAAGGTGGGGGTGCACCCGTTGGCTGACAAACTGTTGGCCACACATGATGTCATACCAAACACCGACATTTTACCCCAGTGACAATCGCGGAGAGCGGCAAACAGGCGCTTGAAGTTCTGTCTAAAGCTGGGCCTGGAGCTTTTCAGCTTATCCTTACGGTGAGGAAGCAATGGTCCCTTGGTTCGGGGGCATCATGTCGCATTGTGATGAACCTTCCTGCACGGATTACTAGCGTCATCGCAACAGGGATAACATAACATTAAATCCTACACACTTCACTACCCTCAGGACGTAATGATGCCGGACGTGGGAGGCCTGGAGCTTCTTCGGTTCGTGCGAAGCCACCAGCACTTGTATAATGTACCTGTCATCAGTGAGTATACCCAAACTGACAGACGTGATCCGCCCACGTGGGGTTTCACAACGGGTGAAGCCCATGTTTCGAAGGGGATGCGTCTGGAGGAGCGTATCCAAGCACTGAGCTACCCATAATTTCTTGCCCGAGTCTGAGGCCGCTTGGCCCTCGAATTGGCCCTCGCGGGCCTTGTGGGGGAGTGGCTTCCCTCCGGTCCGCTGACTCACGCACCGCAAGGGGATAAGCTTCCGCCGGTCCCGCTGCTGCTGCTGCTCCTGCTGCTGCTCCTGCTGCTTCTACACTGCGGACAAGACCGATGGCAGCATCCCCCATCCGCCCACCCCCTCACTCCCTGCCCTCCCGCCTCGGTTCGGGGGCCCGCATCCCGCGGTGCGCCCCGTCGGTAAAGAACCGCAGTCTCCCTCCCTACCGCCCCTCCATATCCAGCGTCCGAAACACCAGGGTGGCGCCTCCTCCCTACCGCCTCCGACCCCAGCCCAACGGGGTGCCGTCAGCTCCCCTCCCGGGCAGTAGCGTCCCGGTGTCTTGGCGTCCGCGTGGACAGGTCCGGATTCGTGTGTATGCATGTCCTCTTTCCTTTCCTGCCACCTCTCCCCTCTCCTCTACATCTCTCTGCAACGTTGGTGCTTTTTGGGAGTCAGCAAGTTGCATGTGACTCTTTGCTTCTTGCTGCTTTTAATTCCCCTCCCCTTCCTCCTTCCCGCTGCAGTGATGTCCGCCAGCGAGGCTCAGGAGACCATGTGTGCGGCCCTGCTGGGCAGTGCGGACGAGTACCTGGTGCGAATAGGAGGGAGGGGGCCGGGGCTGCCGGGGGGAGGGGGCCGGGGCTGCCGGGGGGGGGGAAACTACCGACCTAATG